CCCACCCGACTGACGCCAGAACCACCCCCGACCCACCACAAACCACGCCCCCGTCCAACGCGCTCGCCGAGCTCTCGCTCGCGCACCGCCGTCTCAGCGCCAAGCTCGATCTGACAGAACAGCAGCTCTCCGCGTCCGCGCTCGAGCTCGCGTCGACGCAGCAAGAGCTGCAGAAGGTGCAGAAGCGGGCGGACAGCGACCGCGCCGCGCTCGCCGAGCTCCGCCGCGTCGAAGATGACCGCGAAGAAGAGCTCGAGTGGGAGCGGTCGGAGCGCAAGCGCGTCGAGGAGCAGAAGAAACTCTGCGAGCTCGCCCTCGCCGAGTACGCCGCGCTCGTGTCCAAGCTCGATCGGCGGGCCGTGCCCCCGCCCCAGCCGCGCCGGCGGTCAAACGACATCCTCCAGGTCGTGCCGGAGTTCGGCGACGATGCGCCCCCCACGCCGAATGAGCCTACGGACAAGGAAGACAGGCAGCTCGGGGAGAAGGCGCCGACGCCACCTGCAAAAGAGCCTTCTCCTTCTGACGACAACGAGGACTCGGATGAAGAGGACGATCTCATAGCCATCTCTGGCCCTGAGCCCCCGGCCAAGGACACGCCCAAGCCATCTACTCCCCCGCCCTCCTCTGTTCGCGCTTCTCCTGCGCCTCCGTCGCCCACCCAAATCGCAGAGGACACCAAGCGCGCCTCATCTCCCATTGCTCCCGAAGTCAGCAACACCGCCGACTCCATCTCCAACCTTCTAATTGGGCAGCGTGGCGTGCACCGCCTATTCCGCGACTTCTCTGCCACCCTCTTAGCCAAAGAGAAGGAGATCCGCGAGCTGCAGATGCGCGCCGACGATCTGGAGAGCGACCTTAGCGTCGCGCGGGAACAGCTCAAGACTGAGACTGAGCAGCGCGTTGAGGCGATGTCGGAGCGCGATCGCGCGCTCCGCGACGACGCCAGCGCGGCCAAAGTCGTCGAGCGGTACATGACCTTCTCGCAGAAGGCGCACGAAACTGTGCATGCGCACCTGGGCCAGCTGCGCACGCGTGGGGCAGCGACGCAGGCGTCGCTGCGCACCGAGGCGACGAATCTCCGCCGGCGGCTGCAGAGCGAAGCAGACCGCGCATCCCGCCTGCGCGCCGCTGCGGAGGAGATGGCCGAAGAACTGGGGAAGGAGTCGGCGGGGCGCCGGCGCGAAGTCGCGCTCCGCTTGCAGCTCATCGCGGCGGACGAGGCGCGCGCCCGCCGCGCCGAGCAGTGGCTGGACCGCGTGCGCCGCGCGCGCGAGCCCGAAGCGAAGGAGGTGTTGAGCTCGCCCGTCCTCGGCGTGCTGCTGGATGAAGGCGCGCAGATTTTGGCGCCGACACCTGCCCCGGAGAAGGCTGGGTGGGGCCGCCGGCTGCTCGCGCGCAAAAATGTGCCTAAGCCCGACCACAAGGCCGGCGCGGAGGACGAGTCGATGGCGCGCGTGGTGCTGGCCGAGGAGCTGGTGCAGCATCTCGTCCACGACCTCCAGGTCGAGACGGAGCGCCGCGTCGAGCTCGAAAAGCAGCGTGTTGAGTGGCTTGCGAAGGAGGCTGAGGACGGAGTGCCGCCCGAAGGCGGGCAGGGTGGCGGCTTGGTCTTCGATGCGGACGAGGACAAGTCTGGCAATGTGGAGGAGGCCAAGGTCGAAAAGGCTGAAGAGGGCAAGACTGAGGTCGAGGCCAAGGACGAGGTCGAGAACGACGTCGAAGCAGCAACGGATAAGGCCAAGGATGCTCCTGACGTGGAGACTAAGGACGAGACGAAGGTCAAGGCCGATGCGCCGGCTGACCCGACTTCGTCCAAACCTTCTCCCTCCCCCACCCCCTCGCCCTCGCCCTCCATGACACCGCCTCACATCGACGAGCTCAGCGCCATGTTCGACCCGCTCATCGCGGCCTACACACCCCTGCAAAAGTCGCTGCACGACCAAGCCGTGTCGCTCGGCGCGCTCCGTGCCTCCCTTCCGGACCTCACGAGCGTCGCGGCGAAGAAGGGCCCGCTGCGCGCCCTCGCCCTCCGTCCCGCGCGCACGGCGCGCGACGACCTCCTCTCCCTCCTGGACGGGCTGCACGAAGTGATCGAAGACGCGCGAGTCGACGCGGAAATCGCGGTGGCCGACGAAGACCGCGTCTTCCACGGCTTCGCGGCGCTGCTGGGCGTCGGCGCATCCGGCGTGGTCCAGGCGTCCTCGGTGCTCCGCGACGCGAGGGTGTACGTCGACGCGCGCGGCGCGACGACACCTGCGGAGGGGGGAGGAGGAGCGGGGCTAGAGACGCCGCTGTCGCGCTTGTCCGCGCGCGTCGGCGACGTCGAGCACGACCTCGCGCTCATCAAGCGCACGCTGCACGAGGCGGAGGGGATGGATGCGCCCGCCGAGGAGAATGAGCCCGCGGCAAAGGACAGGCGGCGCAAGAGCATATGGTCGCTTCTCCCGCTGCGCACGGTGTCGGCCGAGGCGCCCAAGCCGCTGCCCCCCGCCCTCGTGCCTCTCGTCGAGGACAGCGACGACGACACGCCCGCGCGCAAGGTCTCGCTCCTCTCGACGGTCGGGCGGAGCTTCTCGTCCAGCGTCGGCGTGGCCGCCAGCAATGTCGCCGGCGCGCCCCGGAACGTGTCCAATCTCGCCGGCGGGCTGTTCCGGCCCCGCCGCGGCACGCTGTCCAAGAAAGGCGAGAAGGAGGAGGAGCGCGAGGGCGAGGTCGAGTAGATGTTGATCATAGATGGTAGAGGCTCGATGCCATGTGTCTGTACACCACCACAGTGCGCAGCCAACTACCCCCTGGTGGCTTCCACTAACGACCAACGACCAGATCGTGTCTTCAACCCAGAGGCACCAGCCGACTTCTCACGCCCACAGCCTGCGCTGCCTAAAACACACATGCATGCACGTCTAATTATTCGAAAAGCTCTGTGAGTTGTGCACGGGCCGCTTCTGCTTGCTGAGACGCCACGAGTCCTTGCTCTCCGCGAAGCGGTCGAACAGGGGCTCGATCTTCTCCTGCTGCTTGCGCTTGGAGATCTTGTTCGCGTCCGCGACCTTGAAAAACGTCGGCGCGACCTCCTGCAACCACTTGGGCTCGATGACCGTGACCTGGTGCATGTACTCTTTTGCGGTGAGGATAAGCTCGTAGTAGATGCACCATTCCGGCTGGCGCTGGAAAAGCGCGGACGAGGGGTGGATCGAGACCGGCGTGCCCTCCACGAGCGTCTTGTACCCCTCCATCGCGTCCTTCTTCGCGGCGTTGCGGAAGAAGCCGCTGCAGATCGCCAGGCGCACGCGGTTGAAGTCGGTGCCGCACGACACCAGGTCGTGCTTGTACCGGTCCATGATGCCGACAAGCTGTTTGCGCACATTCTGGGCCGTCTTCATCGCGCGCGAATGCACAAAGTTCTCGAAGCACCAGGGATTGCTGAACTTGGAGTTCTTCCAGCCGTTGTACACCGCCAACAGGGTGAGCAGGTCGCCCTCGGGCTGGTGGAACTTGGCCTTCTTCGCGTCCGCTTGCGCCTGCTTGTCCTTCGGTCGGTAGAAGACTTGCCCGCCACTCTGGAGCATCGCGACGATCGTGAGCACCTCCTCAGAGCAGCCGTAGTCGACGCTCTTGATGAGCATCTTCGACAGCGGCGGGTCCAGGGGGAAGTCGGCCATCTTGCGGCCCACGCGCGTGAGTAGACCCTCGTCGTCGAGGGCGCCCAGCGCGTACAGTGCTTCAAGCGCCATCAACATCGTCGCTGCCGGCGGCGGGTCCATGAAGTCGAAGTGGATGAGGTCGTTCACGCCCATGGCTTTGAGCGTGAGAATCGTCGCCGCCAAGTTGGTGCGCTGGATCTCCGGGATCGGGTTCGGCAGCATCTCGTTGCGGAACGCCAGTTCGGTGTACAGGCGGTAGCACTTGCCCGGGCCCGTTCGCCCGGCGCGCCCGGCACGCTGCCGCGCCTGCGCCTGCGAAATCGGCGTGACGATAAGCGAGTCCATGCCTAGCTTGGGGTCGTACGCGTTCTGCTTCGAGAACCCCGGGTCAATGACATAGTAAATGCCGTCGATGGTGACACTCGTCTCGGCGATGTTGGTCGCGATGACGCACTTGCGCGCACCAGGCGGCGCGGGGTCGAAGATGCGCGACTGCATCTCGCTCGGCATCGCCGCGTACACCGGAAGAATGATCAATTCGGGTACCGACGGTCCTAACGCTTTGACTCGTTCGTATAAGATCTCGCACGATGTGTCAATTTCTTCTTGTCCTGTGAGGAAGAGAAGGATGTCTCCCGGCGGCTCCATCAGGTGGATCTGCAAGATCGTGATGAGCGACGCCTCGAGGTAGTCGCTCTCGGGCTCCTTTGTATACAGCACCTCCACGGGGTATGTGCGGCCTGGGATCGTGAAAATCGGGCACCCATAGAAGTACTTGGCGAACTTCTCAGCGTCGAGCGTTGCTGATGTGCAGATGAGCTTCAGATCAGGCCGTCTCTTGCATGCCTTCTTCATGAGGCCGAAGAGGACGTCGGTGGCAATCGTGCGCTCGTGCGCCTCGTCCAGCATGATGACACTGTACCTCGTGGCGTCGGGATCCACCAGGAGCTCACGCAGCAACATGCCGTCCGTCATGAACTTGATCTTGGTGTCGGGCGATGTGACGTCTTCGAAACGCACAGTGTATCCGACCTCGCCACCCAGGCGGCATCCGACCTCCTCAGCCACACGCTTGGCGACGGACACAGCGGCGACCTTTCGTGGCTGCGTGCACCCAAGGCGTCCATGCTCAAGCATTCCCTCCTCGGCGAGGTACTGCGCCATCTGTGTTGTCTTGCCCGAGCCTGTGTCACCGACGACAACCAGGATCTGATTCTCCTTGATGGCCTTGACGAGCTGGTCGCGCAGCTTGTAGATTGGCAGCGAGCGGCGCTGCTCCTCGATGCTGAGGTCCGTGATGCGGCCATACGTGACTGCCTTGTTGGCCGACTTCCACGCAGGCTGCTGCATAGCAAGCTTGGTCTGCTGCTGGCCACGCAGATCGGATGCGAACTGCCGTTCACCGGCCTGCGCCATGGGGTCAAGCCATGGCTGCGTGACATTCTTAGCCTGCTTATCCATCTCGTCGTTTGCCTCAAGGCGGCGAATCTCCCTTCGTTCACGCGCCTGCTCGCCACCAGCAAGCGCGGCACGGTTCAGCGACCCGTCTGGCGCCTTGATGATCTTGATCGGAGAGATATCGAGTGTCACCTTTGTCTGGCCAGCCAAGAATGCCGGCTCCTTCTCGTTGACCTCGATGTCAACATCCTCCTCCACCTCCTCGCGGTCGGGGTTGTTGAAATCGTCGTCCAGATCTGGGTAGTCGGCGGCGCTGACGGCGCCCGACGCGATGAGCTGCTTGATTTCAAATCGCTCGGGACTAGACAGCCGCTTCGCGCTCCCCGTGACTCGCCGCTCCGTGGGCAAAGGTTCAGGCTCGTCGCGCCCGTGCAATGGCGCGGCGTTGGCGCCAGTGCCTATCCGCGCCGCCATGCGATGCCGGTCGGCCTCCATCTCGCTCGCCGATCTTTCACGCATGTGTGGCGAGAGATCCTCGCCCGTCTTCTGGTCGACGTCCTTCATGCTTAGCCCAATCTTAGACCCAGCGATGGACATGACCTTGACCTTGACGCGCTGCCCTCGTTGCATCCCCTCGCTGGCGGTCTCGAGCCTTGCGCCGGTGATGTTGGACACGTGTACCATCCCCTCTTGCCGCCCGGCCACGCCCTCAAGCTGGACAAATCCGCCAAAGTCGCGCACATTGCTGACAGTGCCGTTGTAGATCTTGTACAACAGCGGCCGGTCGTCCAGGCCTGGCCGGCCGCGCCTTTCTTCCCTCGAGTCCCTCGCGTCGTGAGGTGCGCCGCCACGGCCTTCCCACCCGTTGTCGCGCCCCGCGTACCCGTTGTCTCGCTCGTGCCCGCGATCACGATCCCGGTCGTAACCACGGTCCCGATCTCCGTAGTCGTTTCGTGGCCGCTTGGCACTAGGCTCCCCATCCATGTAGTCGTCGGCGCCTGGCCTGCCGCGCCGCGAAGCCGTAGCTTCCAGCTGTTTCATGGTGTTGTCCATCGAGAAGTCGGGCAGGACCTCGGCGCCCTCCTTGGCGGTGCGTTCACGCAGGTACTCGTCCTCGCTCTTCCATCCTTGGTCGGGCATCGCGAGGCCCGGGAACTTGCGCGCTTGCAGCGCCTTGGCCGTCTGCGCTTCCTCGCCGAGATCCTTGCCTGCCAAAGCCTTCGCCTTCGCCTTTGCCGCCTTGCGCTTGTATTTTGGGTGCTGGGTAACGATGGTACGGTCGAGGCTCTTCATGAAGCTGTCGCTGAAGTTCGCGCCGAACTGCTGCAGCGCCTTAACAAATTCAGCATAGTTGCCCTTGCTCTTCTCGTGCGTCTGGAGCGTTAGTGGAGGCGCGAGAAAGGCAGAGTGAGAATACTCACGGCGATGACAAACTCGGCGACGGTCTTGTCCTGCACGCGCGTCTCGTTGAGGATGTCTTGAGAGACGCGCGAGACGAGCGACAGAAGCTCGAGCTTGTACAGCTCCTTGTCGGCGCCCTTGTCCGTGCCCATGTTTGCGGCGATACCGTGATGTTGGGTTGGAGGAAAGTACAACGTCGTCAAACCTCAACCGCTCCGACATTCAGTTGAGTGGCAACTCGTTAACTGGGTGGCGGAAACAAATTCCACATCATTGTTGTACATATGAAAAATGGCTATTGGGGTGGAGGTGGTGGTCCTTGCTACGACAGATATAGAAAATCGCCAGCTGCGCTCTACTCCTTTTGCTTAGGCGTCGGTGACACAGCCCTGCGACGCGTCCGACACAAGGCGGGCGTACTTGAGAAGCGTGCCCTGGGTGACCTTGAGAGGCGGCGCAACCCACTTCTCCTTGCGCTTGGCCAGCTCGGCGTCCGACACGTCAAAGCTGATGGTGTTGGCCTCGGCGTCGATGCTGACGACGTCGCCGTCCTGTACAAGCGCAATGGGACCACCGACCTGGGCCTCAGGCACAACGTGGCCGATCACGAAGCCGTGCGAGCCACCGGAGAAGCGCCCGTCAGTGATGCACGCGACATCGTGGCCGAGACCAGCACCCATGATGAGCGAGGTGGGCTTGAGCATCTCGGGCATGCCCGGGCCACCCTTGGGGCCGAGGTAGCGGAGGATGACGACCGTCTTCTCACCCTTCTTAATCGAGCCGCTCTCGACGGCCTCGACGAAGGCGCTCTCCTCGTCGAACACACGGGCCTTGCCCGTGAACTGCAGACCCTCCTTGCCGGTGATCTTGGCGACGGCGCCGCCAGGTGCGAGGTTGCCGCGCAGGATGCGGATGTGACCAGTCTCCTTGATAGGGTTGGAGACGGGGCGGATGATGTCCTGGCCCTCCCAGAGCTTGCCGTGCTTGGCCATCCACTCCTCGCAGTTCTCGCCGAGAGTCTTGCCTGTAACGGTCATCTCGTTGCCGGTCATCAGCCCCTCCTTGATGAGGTAGTGGATGACGGAAGGAGTGCCGCCGATGGTGTAAACGTCCTCCATGACGTACTTGCCCGAGGGCTTGAGGTCGGCAAGGAACGGCACGCGGTCCGAGACCTTCTGGAAGTCGTCGATAGTCAGCTCGACGCCGACAGAGTGCGCGATGGCGAGCAGGTGGAGGACGGCGTTGGTCGAGCCACCAAGCGCCATGGTGAGAACCATGGCGTTCTCAAACGCCGCGCGGGTCATAATGTCGCGAGGGAGGATGTTCTTCTCAAGAAGGTTGAGCATGACGTCGCCGACGCTGTCGCACTCCTCAAGCTTCTCCTTGTACTCGGCGGGGAACGACGACGAGCCGGGGAGCGCCATACCGAGGGCCTCGGTGGCCGAAGCCATAGTGTTGGCAGTGTACATGCCGCCGCACGCGCCAGGACCGGGGCAAGCGTTGCGGATGGTGTCGTAGCGGATCTTCTCGGCCTCCTCGGTTTGGCCCTCCTGGAGGTAGCGGCCGTAGGCCTGGAACGCCGACACAATGTCGACAACCTCCTCCGGGCGGCCGGTGTTGCCGCCGCCACAGTGGCCGGGGCGAATCGTGCCGCCGTACACCATGAGACCGGGGCGGTTGAGGCGGCCAAGGCCGATCAGGACACCGGGCATGTTCTTGTCGCAACCCGGGACGACAACCATGCCGTCGAGCCAGTGGCCACCGGCGGCGGTCTCAACCTGGTCCGCAATCAGGTCACGCGACTGCAGAGAGTATGACACTGGGGTGAGCGACGTCAGCGGTGGGACGTACTGCCGCGTGTGCCCATCGAGATACCGTCCGAGACACCAACAGTGCCGAACTGGTAGCCGGTGACGCCAGCACGCTGGAGTGACTGCTTGATGCGCTGACCCAGACCCAGGATGTGCCCGTTGCATCTGCCATCAGATAAAACCCAGTGAGCCGCTTACGGGTTGCCCTCGTACCTGTATGGTCAGTCACCGCCAATGTTCCCAAGCAATGCAGTCACTTACCACACCGATGCGACACCGATCATGGGCTTCGCGAGGTCCTCAATGTTCTCAATGCCGTCGGTGGCGTAGAGCATGGCCTGAGGTCAGACTTTCTATCCATCTCATCCGGTGTGGTGGCCCACCTGCGAGGCACCCTGCGACTTGGGCTGGGTAATGATCTTGGAGTAGCGGTTGAGGCCGGCCTTAGCGGCGTTGCTAGCCGAGGTGGAGAGCTGGCGCTTGGCCTGGCGCTGGTTTGCGCGGAGAACGTTTGAGCCGAGCATGGTGGGCTAGAGGTGGGAAGAGGTTGTGGACAACGACGACGACGACCTCTTTGATATAATGACAGTGGTGCAGCGACAAGCAAAAGCGATTTCGGACATGGTCGAAGCCGGTAAAGGACTTTTGGTGATCGATTCCACTCGGCCGAGTCCCTGAACCGCTAACCTGGCCCGTTTCTGGCCAAAACTCGATGCTTTTGCAGGGATTGAACTCGCGCTCCAGCCAATTGACGGGAAGCCTCAAGTCAGCCCATTCCTTACCTAACCTCGCGTGCCTCTTTTTTGTGTGCCTATCAAGCGGAAGACATAGGCGTGCCGCCTCGTGGCCGCCGCGCGTCACGATCGACCAGCGTGGAGGTCGTCGTCTTCAACCGCCCAACTCGCACCAACAATGATGGAGGAGGAGCCCGACACCCCGTCCCTCGTGGACCTCCTCCAGCACACCGCCGCGTCCCAGCACCTTCCAGTACCCGATCTCAGAGCTTCCGCGGCGCAAGAGTACCTGGATACGCTGCAGTCGCTGCCGCTCAAGGCATTACTCGCTGAGGCCGGGGCAATCGCAGAGGCGGCCGGCGGCGTCGAGGGAGAGCTCACCAACCTCTGTTATCGCGAATATACTACCTTCATCAGCGTGCACAAGTGTTCGGCGGCTGTCACCAGCGCCTTTGACGACTTCAGCAGTTCACTCGGGCGGCTGCTTGACGCCGTGCCAGCGCTTGAAGATGAGTGCCGCACTTTCGTGCGCAGCACGGCAGGAGTGCAGGAAGCTCGGGCGAAGGCTGCACTTGTGCAAGAACATCAGGACAAGCTATTCGACCTCCTCGAAATACCGCAGCTTATGGACACATGCGTTCGCAACGGATACTACCAGGAGGCCCTCGAGCTTTCCGCTCACACTACCAGCTTGGTCAAACGTTACCCAGCCGTTGAGCTCGTGCAGGACGTGGCAAAGGAGGTCGACGGTGTGCTCCAGCTTATGCTTGCGCAGCTACTCGCCCTCCTCCGTGAGCCGATCAAACTCCCCGCTCTGGTCAAGACCGTTGGGTACCTCCGCCGCTTGCACATCATCGGCGAGAATGAGCTTGGCCTCGCCTTCCTCGTGTCGCGCCTCAGCAACTTCCGGACACAGCTAGGCGCACTCGAGCGTGATCGGCCAGACCCCGTCCGCTACGTGCGAAAGTATGTCGACCTGTTCCGCGAGCACGTTTTCGACATCATCTCGCAGTTCAGCGCCATCTTTGATGGCCAGGATGGTGCGGCGCAGCTCGCCTCGTTTGTCGGCCAGTGTGTTGACGAGCTTGTCGACGTGGTCGCCTCGAATGTGCCGAATATGAACGACGCGGCGTCGCTCTCCTCCATTCTTGTGCAGCTCGGATATTGCGCGCTCGCGTTTGCACGCGTCGGTCTCGACTTCTCCTCCCTCGTGACAGATCCATTCGCGGACGCCGTTACATCTGCGTTCAACGGCGCCGTTGCAGACGCGACGAAGAGTCTGACAGCGACGCTCGCGCAGGCTGAGAAAGGGTCCAACAGCCCAAGCTCCGCCCTCCTTGCGCCGGAGGCCCTCCCCGCCCTTCTCTCAGCCGACACCCCCTTCTCCTTCATCCCCTGGTCCGGCTCGCTAGAGGCTCTGCCCGACCTGGCCAAGTTTTCGCCCCTCGCAATCCTGGTTAACGCGCACCTCTCAGCGCTCAACTCACTCCGCCTCCTCGCTCCTCTCCACCTTCACCCAGCGCTGGCCGCGACTCAATGCGCAGCCCTGACAAAATGCACGCACGCCGTCGCGCAGTATGTCCGGCAGGCTGTGGCAGTGAGCGACCCTATGAACCCGGGTGGCGGGCACAAGCAGTCCGGCTCTGGTCGCGCGCAACTGATCAGAAGAAATTCGGAGACGCAGCTCACGCCTGAGGCGCGCGCCGCGCGCCGACGCGAGGCACAACGCACATGCGTCGCGTTCGCTGATGCGTGGGCGCACGCGGTTGTCCCACTTCTGCGGGCAGCGCTCGACACCGGCGTGTTCGAGGAGGCGCTGGACGATAGCGCCGAGCTGCTGGAGACGCTCGAGACTCTTGATGCGTGGGTTCGTGATCAACAGGATGAGGGCGCGGAGAGTCCCGTGAAGGAGGCGGCTCGCACGCCCAACGGCTCGGGGGCCGTCACGCCCATGGCTGTACACGACGAGGCTGTCGACGAGCCAGAAGAGATGGCAATGGAGGAGCGCGCAGCCTCGCCTGTGCGGACACCGTCGCCAGTCAAGGCAGCTCGCTCACCATCGCCACTGAAAGCGGCCTCTCTTGCACGCTCGCCATCCCCCGTCAATGGTACAACCTTGCCGAGGATGGCATCCCCAGTGAATGAGCGGTCTGCGTCACCGCCGAAGGAGAGGTCGCCCTCGCCCGTTAAGGCCCCCTCACCAATAGCAGCACCCTCGCCAGAGGCAGCAAGGGCACCCTCGCCCGTCAAGGCGTCATCTCCAGTGAGAGGGCCCTCGCCGGTGAAAGCGCCATCTCCAGTGAGAGCACCCTCGCCAGAGAAGGTGCCCTCGCCAACGCCTTCGCCCTCCCCGGTGAAAGCGGCATCGCCAGTGAAATCTCCATCTCCGGTGAGAGCGCCGTCGCCGGTGTCGTCAGGGCAGCAGAGGTCGCCATCTCCAGCCAAGGCCCCCTCTCCCGCCCGCTCCCCCTCCCCAAAACCCCTCCCACAATTCGCCATCGATACCCCCTCAGCGGCCCCTACACCCGCAGCATCTGCGACGCCCGCGCCGCTGGCAACACCAGCCGTCGAAACACCGGCTCGTGTCGTAACACCAGAGCCCGCGGCACAGGAAGTGTTGGCACCAGAAACAGGAGCGGATGCAGCCACCGAGCAGCCAAAGCAGCTTGAGACACGGACCGCGGAGATGGAGGTGCCCAGTGTGGATGCCGCAGCGCCGCCTCCGATCGCCGAAGATGCGGTGACGACGCATGTGCCCTTAAACTCCAAGCCTGAGCCAGTCGCTGCCCCCGCGCCCGTCGGCAGCAATGGCGATGCTGAAACAAGCCAGCGATCGCCGGTCACGGACGCGATCGCCTCAGCATCGGTAATCTCGGCGTCAGACGCCGAACCCACGGTGGCCACCAGCTCTCTAACACCTGAGAAGACGTCCGACATCGTCGCGACGCCTACTCCCGCGGATGTGCGTGCGCCACCATCGATTGCAGCGGCATCAGCTGAGCCCGACGCTAAGGCCGAAACGGCCCCCGCCCCTTCGGCACCCGAGACGCTCGTACCCCCACCAGTATCAGCATTCGAGACGCCAGTGGAAGAAGCGGATGATGACCCTGCCGAGTCGACTGAACCGTCTCGGCCACCATCGCCTACTGCAGCAGCACCGTCGACAAGCGGAGGAGGCAAGAAGAAGAAGAAGAATAAGAAGAAGAAGAAGTAGACGTAGACGTAGAGGGGAGGTGCATTCGCCCACTATAAACGACGCCATGCATGACGCATATTAGACATATCCCTCACAAGTAAATTTGTGCACTCGTCGAGAGCGCTGCCCCGTCAAGGGAGCGGACGCGCCCGTCGAGAGCGCGCAGGGTCATTGGTTGAGTCGTGTGATGTTCGTGCACTAGCGGAACCGGCCGCGACCCATCCTAGAGGAGGGTGAGGTAGTTGGAGGGGGCAATCTGGTATCAGCGGTGGCGTTGCGGTCAAGTTCGGGGCGGTGAAGCGGTGCGGAAGGATTTGCCACCAGCATTCCGCAGCGCGCCTCTGCGTCATTGGTGACGGCGGGCATATATAATGGCATGCAACGACGCCAAGCTGCCGAAACCGCAGCAGCGGTGTGGGAAGTGGACTCACGCCTTGCTGCCCGCTGGCCGTGCGGACCTGGTACCACTTGCCGGTGGTGTCGTGCACCTCAAGGATTTCGCCCTTTGCGAACGAGACCTCATTTGGGTCGTCCGGGCTTGCCGAGTACGCGTAGTTGGCCTTGGCCTTGTGCTTGTATGCGACGGTATCGGTGCTCTGCCCGATGGCGGAGGCAAAGTCGGGCTGAGGCGAGGGCGTAGCCATCTTGACGGGGCTAGGGCCGTCGAGGTTGATGGGTGACGAGTAGCCCATCGTGCCGCCCATGCCGCCGTTGGCGTAGCCACCCGGCAGCTCGTGGCTGGACATGCCGCGGTCGGCGCCGTTCACACGCAACCCGGCGCTCTCGTTGCCGTAAATGCCCGCTTCGGCGCGAGAGGCGCGGCCGGAGTGCCGCCTGTTCGACGCGCCGCCGCCCCAGCCACCAACCGTGCCTCCGCTAAAGCTCTCAAACAGCCACGAGTCCTCGTCAGAGGTGAAGAAGAGGAGCCAGACAAGCTGTTGTCAGCACAGAAGAGATGGCGCTCACGTCGACCATGCACAGCAGGAGCCATCCGACACCGGTGGCAGTGACAGAGCCGGAACCCTTGGCAAAGATATTCTGAACACCAAACACGGAGAACACGACGCAGATTGCGGTGAAGATGGCGATCGCAAATCGGTGCTGGGACAGCGTGCCGCTGCAGGCCGAGATGCTAAATGTTAGTGAAGCTCATGGTTCTCCATGAGTACAGTCATTGTACGTACAAGAAGAATACGATAACCAGGCTGGCGCGTCAGTCGCTGTCCACAAATCTCAAGCGACTCACATTTGCACCCAAATGGCAAACCAGAGCACGCCGAACAGAGGCGCGCTTGACCGGCTGCCTACGTCGCCGGTGGCATCGCTGTATTGTGCCTCACCGACGCACTGGCCGATGAAGGCAATGAACCATGCAACGAAGGCGACGCCGATTGTCACGATAAGTGCCGGGTTGCGCACCACGGCGCCAATGTCGAAACCTCGTCCGACCATTGCGATGAGATGGATGAGACTGCCAGGAGCGGGAGGCTGGATGGAGGTGAAGGGAGAGGTGGATGGAGGATGCGAGTCCGTGGAAGAGTGGGAAGATTCAAAAGAACGGATTGTTTGTGAGACCTTGATGACCTGGGTGGAATGAGAATTCGGCACGTGTGGGTGGAGTCGATTGACGCTGATGAGATCTCCCGCACTGTACACGCCCAAGACCAGTCCACAGAAGGCAGACAGTGTGCTTGGTTCTCGTGTCGCTCCAGACTCTGATCGCGGTGCATGCTCGCTGCTTGCTAAGAATCGGGGGCTGCAGAGCTGCAGCGCTGCAGAGAGAGGCGAGGCCACGACGCTCGCGCCATTATCTAGGGGGCTGGGGTGGCGGTGAAGCAGGTGCTGTGCCTGCTCGGCGCCACTCCCTGGCTCTGTCATCCTGCATCTCTGCAGCTGCCTCCTCGTCTCTCGACATCAAGCTTCGGCCTGTGTGGGATCCAAACGAGTAGCGCCGAGTGCCTTGACGTCTGGAGCTGTCTCTCTGTGAATGCAATGTCCAGGATGAACTGAGATCGCTGAGACAACATCTCCCCTTCCCCCTTGTTGTTCCTCGTTCGCGTCCTCTCCTCTTCTGCTCCGCCGGGCCCCTGGGTATTCCGTTATGACACCCAAAAGGGTCCGGAACTGCCTTAGGCCTTGTACGAATCTGACCCCGTTGCCACCCAACGTCACCGGAGACGCGCCGACAGATCAACATTACTCCGTCCCAATATTCCATCGGCCACCTCGCACGACCATCACCGCGACTCTAGCTCTCACTCTCCTATGGCCCACAGGTAACCCTGGCACACGATGCAGTGCCCGGTATGTGAAAGCACGCGCGACAAGCTCTACTGCCCCCCATGTCTGCAGGAAGGGTATGCGGCTCATAGGATACGCTGACGCAGCGTCAACGGGCACACGGCGATGAAGCACGAGATCGCGGGGCAGGTCGCGACGGCGCGCGCGACCGCTGAGCGGCTGCTGGAAGGTGGCGACGCACCCGGCGCCACGGCATGGCGCGAGCTGCGCGCCGCCGTCGCCGCGGGGGAGGCGCGGGTGGCCGCGCTCCGGGCGAAGATTGCGCGCGTAGCAGACGAGGCGGCAAGAAGTGGGTTGCCAGAGACGACGCAGCTGACGGCAGTACGCGCGTCCACTGCCTCCGCGGCGACTGTGCGTTTGCGGCGGCAGACGCTGGAGGATGCCATGCGCGCCGTCCCCTCCGACGAGGAGGTGGCGGCGCGCACAGCTGCTGTGCGGCAGCAGCAGCGCGAGGTCGGCAAGCGCATAATCCAGGCGCGCAAGGTGCTTGTGCGCGAAGCCGTCGACGTATTTGGCGTGCAGCGTACTCGCGACTGGGAGATTGCTGGCCTCGAGCTCCCGCCGCCAGACCTGTTTAGGGGTATGTCGCTGCCACCTTCCTCACTCACCCCAGTCCACCCCTCGGCGACGATCAACGCGGCTCTCGTACACACCGTGCACCTCGTCTCGCTCCTCATGTCCTACCTTTCGCTCGCGCTTCCTTTCGAGCCCGCTTGGCCGTCGGGCACGCACATCGGCCGGCCCGTGATGGGGCCCAACGTGCCGCTGCTCGCGACCAAGAAGTTCCGCGACAGGAAACACGTGCTGTGGATGTCGTCGACGGCGCCGGCCCTCGCCAGGTCGCGCAAGGGCGGTTTCTCCGTCCTCCGTGGCTCAGCGCTCGCGGCAGTTCTAGCGCGCAGCGCGAGCAAGCACCGCTCGACGCTCACCGCGTTCGCGCTGCTCGCGCACAGCGTCGCGTACCTCGCGTACACGCAGGGCGTGGGCGGCATCGGGATCGCCGACGCGTCTGAAGAGGACGTGGCGGAGGGCGTGCTCGTCAGCGCGACGAATGTGCTCGAGCTTATCGCGCTGACTGCCGAGAGCTCGGATCTGGGCGTGCGCGCACACGAGCCTGGCACCACGCAGACGATGCGACACATCGGCTTCGGGCTGGATGTTAATAAGGTTGTCGAGAGCGTGTTGGCCGCTGAGCGGGCTCGGTGGGGCGGCTCGGATGAGGGCCAGGAGGAACTTAGTGAGGGGTGGGATATGCTCGACGAGGAGAAGGACTCATAGAGGCAGAGAAGGAAGTGTTGTTGTAGCACCAGTCGACATAATCTGGCGTGTGCAATGTAATGCAATGTACTGTACAACATGTGATTGACAGGCAGCTCGTGCTCTGCCTACTTGGTGTGCTACAGCTCCTTCGTATGTCCTCTTCAGATGCACAGTGCGACCGATCAGCCCGCTCACCACGCCCGCGACGCGCAGCACCTGGCCACCCTAATCAACCTCGTACCCATCCGTCTCGAACTCCCAGGTGTCCTCGCCATAGCGCGCACGATACTCGTCGTGCGTCATAAAATGAATGCTCGCAAACGTCGGCTGGTCCGGGAGGTTGACCCACGAGGGCATGGCGTTCAACAGGCCATTCGGATACCCGTCTGCCGCCGTGACGGTGTGCAGGCGGTGTACGAGCTTGTTGAGCGCACGAAAGTCGCCCTCTAGCTCCTGCTTCCGTGCCTCCCAATACTCGGCGACGGCGTACTGGTCAAAGTCGGGGTGGAACTGCCACTGGGCGAGGCGCTCGTCCATGAGAGCGAGGCGGCAGAGGTTCTCCTCCTCGTCGAACAGGTCGTCCTCTTGCGCCGCGCTCTCGGCGCGGATCGCCTTGCGCACCTTGTCGTGGAGCTTGGTCTCCGCGATGCCTGGCGAGACGTTGAGGAACGCGCGCTCGACGCGGTCTAGCCCGACGAGCACGATGCGCTCGACGCAGTGCAGCTTGGAGCCGAGAAACTCGACGACGCCATGCAAGAGACCGAGCGGAGGCGCGTCCTCCTCCGGCTGAGGAAGGTCGTCAAGCGGCTTCCCCGGGCCCCCGAAACGCGTGTCCGGGCCGTACCGTCGGTCGTGGCCGAAGATGACGACGAGCTCGCGCGGATTCTCGATGCGGTTGCGCCGGCGGTTGAAGCTGTTCGTCCGGTGCCGGTGTGTATTGTGCCCGAAGTCGCACTGCTCGAGCAACGCGATGCCGGGGTCGTAGCGGAGGTTGATGACGAGCTTGTCCAGCGGCTCGACGTACATGTCGTCGAAGAGCGCGCCGGGCTCGCACATGTATCCGTCCCATGACGTCTCGGCGTGCGCGAACTGCACTATCGTCTCGGCGCCCATGGAGAAGATGGTGCCCATGTCCCAGCGGCGCACACGCTGCACATTCCCCAACGCCCAGCGCAGGAGGTTACGGTCGTGGTCCTCCAAGATCCGCCGCACCTCAGGATCGGCAAGGAGGGCTGTGTCCCGCACTGGATCTTGGTTGTCGAGACAGACATCGTTGCAGAAGTCCACGACGCGTGTGTATCTCCGGATTCGTGCAGCCCAATGTAGCCGCTCGGCGTCTGAGGCATCCTCGTCCTCCCACCGCACGCCGGGGAGGCGCCGGCCGCTCGCCGTCCGCAGCTCAACGTTGGAGGGTGTCGGACGCGCAGCGAGCTCAGCGATCGGCATATCTGGCGGAATGTCCTCTTCGTAGTCGTGCTCGCGCGCAGTGATGTGGTAGAAGAGTTCAGCGTCTATGCGCGCCTGGAAGAGGCGGCTGGTGCCGCGGAAGGCGAGGAGAACCGAGTAGTGCGCATTGGCGAGGATGTCGTCTATGAATTGTGGGAGGGCCGAGTGGTCGAGGACAACCTGCCCGGGCATTGAAGGATGAGTGGGAAAGAGAGAGAGAGTAGACGTTGATGACAAGATGACAGTCTACGTTCGCCTGGTTCCTGGTGTGTCGAGGACGTGTTGGGCGGCGATTCGACTTTTATTGGGTCGAATTCTAATGGCATTACAGATGATTACACTCTTCCCAATCTGATTCCGTGAAGCTTGTTGACATGGGCTGTGGGCCCAGCTCACGTGTTCGATTCTCGTTACTGGACGGGACGTCGGCGATCGGCGACTTTTGCGCCAAGCATCGGTTAGCAGCGAGCACGGGGAGATGGGTGGGCGCATGGGAGAGATGCGTGAGTGATCGCACGAAACGATTCAAGTGCGTGGACGTTGCGTGTATAGCTTGGCATCGTTCGCATATCTATCTGCGTGTCCTCTCTCGGCGTCTCGAGAATAGATGCCTGCGAGGTGGAGATATCCGATTATCGCCATCGCATCGCTCGCCACCCGCCCTGAACTCCCCACATCCCCCATCCAGCCCCAGGCCATCACTCATCATCGCTCACTCCACCGCATGTCCAGTCCACGCTCCAGCCCTCGCGGGCCGCCCCGCACCCCCACCAGCCCGCACAACGGCAACGGTGCGAACGGCCACCACTCGCCCAGCGCCGCCGGGGAGGGGTACACGAGCCTGCGCGATCTTGTGCCGCCCCACAGTCCCGTGTCACCGCGTCGCGCGACACGCGACTGGAACTTCGCGCGAGGCGTCGAAGAGGATCTCGAGGAGCGCGAGCACAGCAGATGGGAGCCGCTACCCGAGGCTAAGGAGCACCGCCGCCTGAGTCTATGGCGCCTCATCGCACTCACCGTCTCCATGGGTGGGAGCCAAATCGCGTGGACTGTCGAGCTTGGGTACGGCACTCCTTACCTTCTCGAGCTGGGGTTGAGTGAGGATCTCACGTCACTCGTGTGGCTGGCAGGTCCTATCTCTGGTCTCGTCGTCCAGCCCCTCATTGGCGCCATCTCAGACTCGTCCACTTCACGATACCGCCGCCGATACTGGATTGTTGCAAGCACAATCTTGCTCGTCATCTCGACCCTCGGACTTGCTTTCACCGAACCAGTCGCCAAAGCCATCGTAGACGTCTTCGGCGGCGGGCAGGGAGACTGGGATCCCAAGCACCGGCGTCTCGTGCAGCTCACTGCTATCAGCATCGCCGTCTTCTGCTTCTACTGTCTCGACTTCGCGCTAAATGGGTAAGCGACCACATTGATGTCGCTTACGCTAGTCTCCAAGCTTCTCTCCGCAACCTCGTGTTTGATGTGACGCCCGCAGAGCAGATTAACACGGCCAACGCCCTCCACGGGCGCTTCCTTCATCTGGGAAGCATCGTCGGATTCGCGTTGGGCTACATCAGACTCGACTCGGTTCCGCTCATCCGACTGATCGGCGGCGAGCAGTTCCGCAAGCTCTGCATTGTAGCCATGACCCTCCTCGTTGTGACCGTGTGGATTACCTGCTTCACAACACAGGAGGACCCACGGCCGTCTCTCGTGCCCAACACGAATCGCAGCCGATTGCGCGACATGCTGCAAACAATCAACGAGGCTCTCAAGACACTGCCCAAGCCGGTCCGCCGCATCTGCATGGTTCAGTTCGCCGCGTATGGTGGCTGGTTTGGCTTCCTGTGCATGCCAAAGTCCCGGCTCTGCTGACTGCAGGTTCTACTCGACTACATACATGCAGGAGGTCATCAGCCACGAGCAGCAGCGCGACGCGGATCGAGGCGAAGCAACTCGTGCTGGGTCTTTCGCCATGTTGCTGTACTCCTTCGTCGCTATTATCGCGGGCACACTGCTGCCTTATTTTTCGCAGCGCGACCCTAGGCTCCTCCCAGATGACGACGAGAGTGAGGCTGAAGTGGAAGCAGAAGCAGCCCGCATCCGTCACACCGTGGACTCGTGGCGCCAAGACGCTCATCGCCGAGGTCGCCAACTTAAGCTGCCGCGGAGTGAGTCCACAGCAGGTCAAACTAACAACAGTGCCATTCATGCTCCGCGACGTGTGGACATGTGGGCTCCTCGGCTTCTTCGTCCTCATGATGTCGACGTTTTTCATCAGCACCAAGAAGCAGGCGACAGTCATGATCGCACTCGTCGGCATTTGCTGGGCGATCGCTATGTGGGTGCCGTTCGCGATGCTCATGGAGTTCCTCCGTGAGATCGACGCGGAACACGACAAGGGCGATGATCGCGGCGCATCTCGCGGTAGCCCACGCGCCTCCTCAGTCTCACCAACACGCCGGCGTTCCTCTTCACCGACCGACGAACGGCGCCACCTCCTCGCCGACCGCCCATCACCCATGCGCACGTATTCGGCCTCGGACCTCGAGACGGCCGGCATGGAGTATCCCCAGCACGGGCCCGTCGCAGGCGGCACGATTATGGGCATCCACAATTTGGCTATTGTCTTCCCGCAGTTTGTCGTGAGTAGCAGCTCTTTCTGCACATGTGACATGCTAACCACAGATCGCTATTGTCGCCAGCATGATCTTCAGGATCGTCGACGGTGACACCATGCCGAATCGCATGGTTCCAGTGCCACCTGAGGAGTTCCATGAACGCACAGGAGTGTCCTGGGTGCTCCGATTCGGCGGGGTTGTGGCGCTTGTCGGTGCAATCATGTGCCGTGGCGTGCCGCCCACCAATACCGAGAAGGCCATGAGGCGGCGGCTGGCGGAGATGCGGCAGGAGGTAGAAGGAGGGGAGTAGTGACAATCGACATGAATGGGTATGTACATTCGCGTCCCATGTTTTCAGTAGAGCCATGCACAGAGTTGTTTTCAGGGAACAATGATGCAGCATACGACCTTGCAGACAGAACTCAAAGCAGTTTATTACCGATGGCTTACGCACGCGCCTCGCGCTTGGCCCGCTCGGCGCGCTTACGTGCCTCGGCTTCGCGCACCTCTGGCGGCTTCTGCCCCTCCTCCTCCTCCTTCATGCGCTCTATCGCGCGCTTGAACGCGGGCCGCGCACGCATGCGCTCGACCCAGGCGTCCGAAGCGGGACCCAGCTCGTACAGCCGCGGCGCGCCAGGCCTGGCGCGCCCATGCGCAATGCTGTTAACGGGGAAGAACATCATGAACTGGCATCAGCACCATTTGGCGGCGCCTCACATCGCCGAGTCCCAACTGCTCCGAACCAGAGAAGAGGTCGTGTTTCGCCAACCAGCGCTCGGCCTCACCGAGCGCGCCCGTGGCGTGCGTCCTTGCCCACGCCTGGAACCAGTCGTTCATCATCTTGACGCCGGTCGCCGTGTCCCCGCTCACGCCGGCCAGGACCTCGCGCATGCCGAGCGTCGCGAACCGCGCCGGCTGGAGGTACAGCATGAGCGAGCCCTCGGAGAAGTGGCTCCAGAAGAGGGAGTTGGGCGAGGGCTCGGCTTCGATGCCGGGAGTCGGGAACGTGCGCATCAGCGTGGACAAGATCGCCGCGCTCTCCGTCAGCACCGTGTTGTCGAGCTGCACGGCGGGCGACTTGCCCAGCGGCGACACGTCTTTGAGCGTGCTGCCTGCGAACCAGCCTTGCGTGCGGTAGTGCACGCGCACGTCGTAGGGCACGTTCAGTTCCTGGCGTCAGAGAGGAGCGGGGCGTAGCTTGCCTCCAGCGCCCAGAGGATGCGGTTGGAGCGCGAGTTCTGCAGGTGGTGCACGAGGACGCGGGCCTTGCTCATTGTGACAGACGTGGTGGTGTGGGTGGTTGCAAGATGTCGCGGCAAGTGGCGGAATGCGGGGCTCGGTGATCGGAATCGGTTACTTGACCGATCGTGCCGATGCGGATGATGCGAGATCTGGCATGTCGACGCGGGACACGAGCGGTGTGGTGGGCAAGTTTAGCGACGTAACGTCTTTGACATGAAGTTCAACAGAGAGCTTGACATCACTCACTCCCTCCTCAACCTGAGGAGTAGCCCCACTCACTCTGACGGCGCACCCCAGAGGTCTCAGATATCATGCTCATCCTCTCGGACATGTCCGACACGGCGACAACCTCGGCCACGGCAAAGCTGCACCTCACAAAAGTGCAAGCTACGGGCAACGACTTCCTCCTGGTCTTGGATCCTGACGGACTCCGTCCGCTCCGCCGCGAAACGGTCGCGGCGCTCTGCGACCGCCGCCTCGGCATCGGCGCCGACGGCATGATCCGCGCTGTTCGCTCGGCCTCCATCCCCGAGGGCGCGTGCCTCGCCGCGTCCGCCGAGTGGTTCATGGACTACGTGAATGCCGACGGCAGCGTCGCCGAAATGTGCGGCAACGGCGTCCGTGCCTTTGTCCGCTACCTCGTGCACCGGGAACTGGTGAGCGGCCGCTTGGCGGTGGGCACGCGCGCGGGCGTGCGCTGGGTCGAGCGCGTGCGCGGGGGCTTCAGGATCGACATGGGGCCGTGGCGCATCACGGGGCGGACGATGGTGCGCGCCGATGGGATATCAGAACGGAGGGGGCTCGCGATCAACCTCGGGAACCCGCACGTCGTCGTGCCCGTCAGCGGTGAGGAACTCGCGGCGCTTCGGCTCGCCCAGGCGCCCGCCCTCGATCCGCCGGCGCCCGAGGGCGCCAACGTCGAGTTCGTCGTTACTGAGTGTACGGAGGGGATGGGACGGGTGCGCATGCGCGTGAGTGAGCGCGGCGTTGGCGAGACTCTCAGTTGTGGGACGGGGAGCGTGGCGGCCGCCCTCGCTGCGCGGGAATGGGCGGGCGGGGTGCCCAATGTCTGGGAGGTGCGGATACCTGGTGGTGTTGTCGAGGTCGAAATGACTGGTGGGGAGAAGGAGCAGGTCACATTAGCTGGGCCCGCGGAGGTCGTCTTCGATGGCGAGTTCACGTTTCATCATCCTTGAGCGCGTACCACATCATCTAGGTTCTAGAGCGCGTAGACACCATCCAAGACATGCATTTCATGACACTACAATTTACATCTTGGGCTTGGGAAGCTGCGTCTTGCGCTCGTCCGAGACACGCTTCTGCATCTTCTGGTATGCTGGGCGCTGCTTGATGCGCTCCAGCCACGCCAACGTCGCTGGGGCGAGCTTGGCTCCCAGCGGGTTCTGGGCCTTGGTGAACCACGTGAGGGGGAAGAGCATCATGAACTGGTGTGAGCGGGGTCCACATGAGAGGATAGCTTGGGGTGCATCCAGGCTGGGCGACAAGTGGCGGGTCGGCCATCATCAAGAGCTAGCCTTCCAACAACGTATTGACCCTCGGAGCTTCGCGCCACGAGTACCACTCACGTCACCAATCCCTGGCTTGTCGCCTCCCGAGAACCACTGGTGCGTCTGGAGAAACGCATCGGCCTCGGCGAGCGCCTTCTCGCCCTCGACCTTGTACGACTTTGCGAGGTGGGCCGAGTACGCTGCTGCGCCCTTCTTCTCCTCCTCGCTCATGTTCTTGGAGATGACGGGGAGCGAAACCATGTTGAGCATGGCCGCGCCGCACTGCGTCATGATGCGGCCCTCGGCGAAGTGCGCCCAGTACACCGAGTCGAGCGACGGGGTGGACTCGATGTTGGACGACGGGAAGGTGCGCACCAGGCGCTCGATGATGTACCCGGACTCCTTGAGGAGCTCGCCGTCGAGGAACGCCGAGGGAGCCTAGTGTCAGCGTGCACAAAGATCAGGGTGCGTCGTCTAGATCGCAGTGCCTACCTTGCCATCCTTGACGTGGTCCGTGAGCGTGCTCGTTACCTTGCCGCTCTTGGTGTTGGGCATGTGGATGACGACCTTGTAGGGGATGCCCAGCTCCTCGGCGAGCCAGACGACGCGCTCCGAGCGCGAGCCGAGCATGTGGTGGATCGTGAGGTCGGGCATTGTGTGTGAATGGAGTGAGCGAAGCGAAGAGTCGAGGAGAGCGAACCGTTGTGGGCAGCGCGGAAGATGAAGCGGTATCTCCGGAGGGCCGGCTACTTTCCACCCGGCCCGGACCCACATACATTCCTCGGTCCTCGGCCTCAAGATTCGGACACCACCAACCCACTTCGCCGTCAACGGCTGTGTATCACCACTTACCTGCATTGCTGTAGTCTGTCAGTGTGGGACGGCCAATGATCCCCTAGCATTACAGCAGGAAATGACGTCTGAGGTCAAGGGTCTACGAGTTGGGCTCAAGCACTCCTGCAGCGCGCACCCAAGAACGTCGAGACCTTACGGGCGGATCGCGTTCTGTTGACGACCTTCGCTTCCCCTCAACAGACACACACTCGCACGATCGCTGGTGGCGAGCCGCGGTTTATCCTGCCCGTGCTGTCTCGATCACAATTGTCTGAAAGTCAGATCCGCAATGTGCCGGTCTTGCTCAGCCTGCTTCTCTACTTAGTCAGCATCTCCTTAATTGGTTGCCGCTGTCGTTCACGCCGCTCATGTATCAGGTAGTGACGGGTGAGGCTTGCGAGGAGATGTGGTGTCCAATACGAAGAAGGTCTTCGCGCTTTTTGTCATCGCGATGCAGGCGACTGGGCATGTGCGAAGTGGGGCGTAGCCTTCTGAAGTCCTACGAAGCAGAGTACCCAACAGTCAAGTCTAAGATAATGAAAGTGGTGCGTGTAATGATGTTTGGAAGCGATCGCGAAGACCAGTGGTTGGCGGGCCACGTGGTCAACGGCCAAGTTGCGAGCCGGTGTGGCGCCACGAAGAACAGACAGCCTCCACTTGTACGTGTGCATTCTGTGCATAAAGCGAGGTGATGCCTTTTGTTGCAACCTCGGATAACTTTGCGGCCATCAGTTCATGGAACACATGTAACTCGTGATGTCTATCGGACAAGTGATGGTGGAAAAATGGGTGTTTGAACCCGTAACATTGGCCATTCACCTCGGCTCCCTCCTCCTCAACTCTTCTTTTCACGAGTGACATCCTTTGTCTCCAGTGCTCTAATTTTTCTCACGTTTTCCCTGCTCGCACACCGCCGCGTCACACTCTGTGTCCTTCGTGTCTCTTATATTCACACCCAGCTCGCCACTCTTCGTCTTACCCGAAGCGCCACCACTTCGCAGGCCAAGTCACCTGCTGACCAAAACGGTCTTGAAGTCATTCTAACTCCCTTGAGTATCCGGCGGGGTGGCCGGAGGAACCATTGTGCCAGTTCGACGTTTTGCTTGTTGCAACCGCGCGTCAGTCAATACGAGCCACTTTGCAAACCAACTGGGTACTGTATGACATTGGGATATATATACAACTCCCACAGTGCCCCGAATTCGTTCCTACTACGAGCGCCTGTTCTGTATACTCTTTAGGGCATAGTACACCTGCATCTCCAGCGGGCCCAGGCGCGAAGGGCCACCAGGCGACTGGTTGGGGAAGGGCACGCCCAGGGGTACACCACCGTTGAGCTGGATTCAATACACTTCTCGGCCATGCTTACCCGGTGGCAAAGGTACGGGTCCTCGGCGTTGACGTAAACCCAGAGGTTCTACCATCAGCATGTTTTAGTGACCGTCACGTACAAAGTCATTGGGGCAGTTGAGCTGGGCCCTCCAGACGTCGGGGAAGAAATGCTTCAGGAGGTTGAGGTTACGAGCGTGGGCCGCAGCGTCGTCGTCGCGGTTAGACTCGACCTCGTCGCGCAAATTGTTCTGGCGGTTGCGGCGGCGACTCTTCTTGCGACTCTTTCCGACGACCGGAGCGACGGCCGACAAAGCCCCGGTGGGAGCAGCGGGGGTCGAGCCCGCAGGCTTCTTAGAGTTGTTCGTGTTCGTGGGAGTCGCAGAGGTGACTGAGCTTGTGGGGGTAGTGGAAGTAGTGGAGCCCATACGGGGGGAAGGAAAATTGGACGTGAACTCGTCCATGTCTTCGAACCTAAAGCGGTGAAGGAAAAAACGAGAGTAGTGAACAGAATACAGCGGGAAAGACGCCCTTATATCGGTGCGGCATCTGCCGTAGTGCGACGAAAAACATCGTGTGGCCGGTGGGTTCGTGTGGCGAGTGAGTGGGTTGGGAGCGCGAGTGCGTGAGAAGTGCGAGGGAGTGTGGCGCATGAGAGCGTCCGAAGTGTGACTGCGCCACTTTCCCGGTGTGCTGGGGATAATTCGTAACGCAGCTGGAGATAACTCGCGGCACAGCTGTGGGCCAAAGTATCATAGACACGTTTGGTGGTAGCGATTATAACCAGCGCCTTGGATCTGGCACAGTTGTGAACACGGGAGTAACTCCGGGAGCTGGGATTCTGTAAAGAGGTGCATTGATGTACTGCATTTACGATAAAGGCGGACAACTTAGGAAAGAACGAGGTGACGGGAGACAGGAGCCACTACCGAACACAGTAGTCCAGCGAGATCTAAGCGGAGGGGCAGGCCTGGGAGGAGACGAGTTGAGTGCGTAGAGGCTTCTGTAAATGCTGGCCGAGAGGTAGGTGATGTTGGAAGCGACGATTGGTGGCGGAAACGGGGAGGGAGAAGATTGTAGCGGGGTGTTGACATGTTGAAACGTCACTGGAGGAGCGGACCGCCTGGAATGAGCGTGAGACTCTTTTCAGCCCTGCGGAATCGGCGGTGCTCACCTTTCACGTTCGACCGCCGGCATATGTGCTGCTACTCGGCCATCTCTACATCTTCCTGGAAATTCGTGTGAACTCCGGAAAGATGGCCGCCCGTGGTGCCGACGCTTTTCTCGTTGTTCATTCCAAGCGCCTCATCAGCGCCAGAAGAGTAGAATAAGGCGAGAAATTTGCACCACTCGTCGGGTGCGTCCATGGTGATATCCGCAAAAATGGCGGGGTCGATGGTCACACCGGTACGCGTTCCAAGCCCAGGCGTCTCGATGGACAGGAAGGTGCGCAGCTCTTGAACGGCCGGTTCGATAGCGGCACAATGAGCGGCGTTCTCCTCGGCCCAGAGCAGGTCGAGTCTGTCTTGGATAGACTTGCTCGCGATCTGCGCGACGCCGAACACGAGGACCCGGTGCACCATGACGGCGTGGGTGATGTCCGGCGCAGTCTGGCATATGTCGTTGAGGTGACGGTAGATTTTCTGTGCCCACTACGGTCAGCTTAGCCTTTTCTGGGCTTACCCTCATCAGTTCGGTCTGTTGAGCAACAGTCGAGCCCTCGATGTACTGGCGCACCCACTCGTCCACAAGCGCACGCGTACTCATGTGGATAGGAACTTCGACCCCTGCCTTGACCCCGTCTAGGAGCGTCATGACCTGGATGCGCTGCTTTTCGACCTCCAGTATATCGTCGGCCGTCCGCATGGTGGATGAGTGAGAGGGGGGAAAAGGCATGGGGGTTGGAGTGGAGCTTCTAAGAGATGGGCGGAGTTGAAGTACTGCTACAGGCCCACTCGCAACGTTGCGAGAGCCTGAGAAAGGTCGTGGCTCTGAGAACACAATTACGTCGCAACCCACACCCACTACCACGCGCGAAGCTTCAACCTCAATGGATCTGGTCCGAGTTGCTGGCAGAGACACATGGAGCGGGTGTACATTGTTTTCCCACTCCTTAAGTACCCTCATCCACACCCCAAAGCAGCACGTTGTCCTGTAACTTTGTCGTTCCGTCACTGTTGCTTGCGGAGAGTCGTACTTGTGCAGTGGCTGAAGCGCATGCAGATGCACTTTACTCCTGCGACCATCGGTGTCCTCGGCAATCTGCCCAGTCCCACACTCTCATGCCGTCCTCTTCCCTCTCCCTCACTCAGAACCCGTTATACTGCAATGACGGTCGCCGAAGCAGGACAGGTACTCTTGGGTATACCCTAACAACCCCGTTAGGCGAGGCCCTCGCCATCACAAATCACAGAGAGTTCCATCAGCGTTAGGACACTGCCAGATTTCTCCTCGCACGCCCGAATCCTGGCACCGCCACCACGCCGTTGAGTGTCCATTGTGCGCAAATGTGACAATCAACCATAGTGGTCGCGAACGCCTCCGCCGCGAGTTCACGCCCCGATGCTTCTTTTCATGCTATATCCCACGCCTTCAGCAATTGTATAGAGGGCTAAATTCCATGGGCGGTGAGACGAGTGATTATGCAGCAGGATGGGGACATCAGACCCGGTTGCGGCAGTTTGAAACAACGGAGAAGGTAACGGACGTATTCGGACGCGTGTGAGAAATAACGGGGACTTTTCCACCGCTCGTTGGGCATCAAGTGCTTAGCTAAGTTCACGTCACTTTGGATTCCATATGCGACATGTTGTATGCTGTGCTCAGCCACAGTCTCTAGCCAAGTTAAACTCAATGCTGGCGCGCTCCACCAGACTTGAACGCACCCCACACACATGGGGGGCGGTAACATCCCGGTTCAGTAGGCCTCTAGCGTGCGGAATTCACTCAGAGGGACAATAGCTCTAGGAGACAATGATGCGGAATGCTAACACGAGGAAAATCAGGCGCGGTTCTATCACCGTTGATTCTACAACCGCAAACCCTGGCTGCAAAATAGGCCACCGACCTATCCTAGTGTTACAAGTGCATACACAGCGCTCCTGGCGCGTCTAATTAGTTTGAGCTGCGCCCCTCTACGCTACATCCCACCCTTCGACGCTCATTGCCAACGCATGCAAGTCGATGAGGTACGCGTTCAGATCATCGCCGTCCTTGCCATCCGCGCGGCACTGGAGGGCGAGCATGGCGTTGTAATCCTCAAACGAGAATGCCGGTTTGCGCGTGCGTATGCTCTCGAGCATTCGTTTGGGCCCCTTCTCGAAGAGATCCCAGTACTCGATGGCATGTGAGAGCATGCCTTCGTGCTCGAGGCCAGAGCTGACGATGCCTCGCAACGTCTGCTGCAGCGATAGGATGTTGCGACGAAGCTTGCGCGCTCCGGCTGCGTTCACGCGTTTCACCTGACGTGCGGCGTGGATGAAGACGTGGTTGATGAGAAGCGCAAGACCGCGGAACATAAAGCTGAAGTTAGTTATGCCGTGAAAGAGACTCACTCATGCTCATTCGCTGACAGCGTCTTGGATGCAATGTCGTCCATCTCCATCAGCGTCGTGTTTAGGTCGACCACGTCCGGGTCAGGCTCCAGCGCCTCCGACTCGAGGAAGTACTCAGAGCGCTGCAGTGAGGCATAAAGGTTACAAAGCACACGGCAGCGCACTTCGAGGTGAAGCGTATTCAGTGCGCCCTCAATGAGCTGTTCGTAGGTCTGCACTATGGCCTCGAAGCGCTGCGCCATCGCTTGAGTCAGGGGCAGCTTGGGCGTCTGCCCCGGCTCGCGCTCGGTGCGCTTGTCGATCGTTGCTTCGTCGCTCAACTCTTGCAGATCCAGGAGAGCGTTCATGAACCACCGTACTGAGTGGGCGAGGTTACCCAGCGATTCAAGGCGGCGAGAGGAGTTGATCAGATGAGACTCGGGGGGCGGCTTGTCGTTAAGCAGAGCCATCTCGAGCTTGACCTCCTTCAACCCCACGCCCTCGCTTTCACGCGCGTTAGCAGGCGCAGCCGTGCGCACATGCTGCAACGCGCTGGACATATCCTCGCGTTGGCTCCAGACAGCCGGGAGGGCCAGTGTGCCCGGGGCGGCCTGAACGGATGGTGGCAGGGCCACCAGATCCTTAAAGCGAGCGCTGCATTGCTGGTAATATTGGGCGACCACGCCGACAATGAGACGGGAATAGCGCTCGCGGTGGAATGGCGTCTCTTGCAGCATGGCACACAGTGCCTGAATGAGAGCCATAACGCGTACAGTTGACTTGAGCGGTGGCTTGACGTCGGCGCTCGTGCGTAAGGACGTGCGGCGGTCCAGCTGGAAAGCGTCATGCCCAGACACTGCGTGCTGGAACGATGCGTTGACTTTCTCATCCAGCTGAGGGAGGAAGACGTCATCAACAAACTCCTCCAGCACCGTTCCGAACTGCGACATCTCTTCTTCGAAGCCATGGGGAACAATGGCAGTCGCGCGATCAATGAGAGAAAGAGTGGGCTGGAAGAGAATGGTGACGTTAAAGGGATTCGCAGGGATGAGGGTGCGGTGCTTGCCCGAGACTGAATAGCGGTCGTCAGGGTTGACGTGGGTGCCGTTGAGCACGGCGACATGCTCGCCAGCCTGGAGATTTATCAGGCCTGGCACAGACGCGCGAAGCGTCTGCTTGAGACCATCGTCGACCTCCTGAATCTCGTTGTTGACCGCACGCTGGTCCGAGTCACCAAATTTGAAGAGATCGCGCTGCTTGTCGCGCACAAGTTTGCCTTCGCGCAGGATCTCATTGATGCTGGGAATCGCGTTGTGAATAAGCACTGAGGCCTGCGAGTTGTCCTCGAGGTACGTTTGCAACAGTTGGCGTACCTCCTGCTGGATGGGACGCAAGACCTCGAGCACGGGTGCATTGAGGTTCAGATCCGTCTTGGTCATGTCCTTGAAGTCGCGACGCGACGCGATCCACTTGACGACCTCGTACAAGGTGCGGTGACCCTCCATAACGGCAGCAATCTTTGAGTACAGCGTCCAGAAGAGATCGCGAAGAACCACCGCATGCTTGGGTGGCCCACTGGCGTCCAGAGAAACGACGACGCGCAACGTGTCGTTCTGGAACAGAGGCATGCTTTCGAGATCCTGCTTCTCTGCAAGCAGCAAGCTCTGCGGGCGGGGACCTGAGGCCGCAGCCATCTCCTCGGAACGCTGCTCGGCGCGCTCTGCAACTTCGTCAGTTGTCGCGTCGATAAGCTGGTGAATCTCGACCGGCACGCGCTGAACGACAGTGTCGAGGGCAGAGCCAAGTCTTCCCATCGCGGCGAGCGCCTCGAGGATCATCTCCATGTAGCCGAAGGTGTCAAACTCGCCTCCCATTGGCTCATGAGCAGCGAGCGACGAAATCGACGTGATCGATGTGGTGTTGGCGATCTGACTTGGTGTCCTCGCCTGACGGGAATTGGCAGCTATCTCGTTGAGTATTGGCTCATGATTGGGCTTGACGGCAAGTGACGCGAGATAGGTCGAGAACCGCGAGTCGGCCTTTTTTTCTTCCGCCTCTTCAGCCACCTGCTCGCCGTTGACGGAAATGACGGGAAGGCTTTCCTGACCAGGCGTATACGCTTTCCATCGGCCGTCACTGTTGAACGCCCTGAGGTAGAGATGATTGTGAAGCTCCTCGACAAGTATGTCCGTTAATGTGTTCTCCTGGGTGTGGAAGTACTGCTTGAGATCGGACAGCGCGCCGACTTCGTGGAGCACCTCACGGTTAGCTGTCTTGATGCTTCTCTGCAGCAACAACGCAGCCTGCAGGAAGCGCTTGTCGGCTAAGCAGCTTTCGAGTTGCTCAGGCACCTGCTTGAGCTCCTCCACCAAGTCAAGGATCTGCAGCATCTCCTTCACCATTCGTTCTCGGGTGCGAATGGACGCCAGCTCAGCCTTGCCCTTGGCTCCAATACCCTCTCGCGCCTCTTTGAGACCTTCTCTCGACGTCTTGACCTGGGCCTGCGCACGCTCGAGTGTGGCGACAAAGTTGGAATGTGTGGGAAGCGAAGCGGCAAACGTCTGGAAGTGCGACTGCACGGCCTTCTGAAGCGAGCCCGACAGCGCCGCGTGCACCTTAAGGAACGACTGGAGGTCGGGATGTTCTGCGCTTCCTTGCTCTCCATCAGACGCAAGCAAGGAGAGCGCCAGTGAGGAGGGCGAGAACTGTTATTAGGATTGCTGTCGTGGGCTGACAACTCACATCTCCGTCCACGATGAACGGCCAGTCACGGCGGATCTGGCGCATAACCGCTGGCGTCAGCTCATTTTCTATCCAGGGCGCACCATCAATCTCAGCAAAACGGCCACCCGTCGTGCCGACAATGTCATCCCAGTCTTCCTTGCTAGGTTGTGTGCGTTTTGCTCGTGGTGGCCTCCGCGTGGGTTCCGTACGATTCTGCTTACTAGCGGCCATGAACGCCGCCGCCGCATTGCGGAGAGCGTTACCGCCGCCTGCACCTGCACTCCCGCCAGCCGACACCGGAGTGCGAAGCGCGGCGGCCTGCGCCGTATCATTCGTCTGCTGGCGCGCGACGGTTCGCTGCGCGCGGTCCGCAGCCCATGGATCCCCCCCTCCTCGTGGGGCGGGGACCTCGGGGCTTAAGGGCTCATCTTCGCCGTTGCTCATGACACTGAAGCGTGTGGAGATGGGTTGCATTTGCGCACGGGCCGGCGGAATGAGTGTCTCCTCCGGCGTGCCGCGCGCCCTGGATCGAGCTGGGCGGGATGGGGAAGTGGGGAGTGGCGATGAGCCGGGAGGAGGGGAGCGCGCCGGCGGGGAGCGCACCTCCCCGTTCCCATTTCTAGAAGGAGAGGGCCCGGGTACGGTCTGGTTCCCGTTCCATACTTGGCCTATGCCGAGGGGTGCGCCGCGGTCGAGGTCGGGGATTGAGGATTGGGCAGCTTGGGAGGTGGTGGAGATGAGAGTGGGATTAGATATCTTCAAGCGGGACGAGGCGGGGTTGTTGCGAGACATGGCGTCTCGCCCGCTGCGCTGCGTCGAGCGTGATGAGAGAGGAGATGGCGATGAAGATGAGGGAGGGCGATGTTCAGAGGTCGTCAGTCGAGCAGCGCGAGCAGAACGCGTCGGCAGTGATCTCATAGTTCATGTCGCGTGGCATCCTGACCACGTGGTACAAAGTGCGGGGAATTGCGGGAAATGCTTGAGTGGCAGCGCGGACTCGCCCTGTCCTCCAACCATCTCGGGTGTATCCCTCAGCGACATCACCGCTACGCACGCTACTCCGCTCGTTCCGCTGGTCACTCTCTCCGGCCGAGACGCCCTCTTACCCCACGACCCGGCCCCCGACAAGCTCCCGACGCCATGGCAAGCCACCGCGAGGCCGTCCAGAACGACAAGGACTATGTCGACCCCAACCCCCTTCCCCCCTCCGTGCCACATGTCGACGAGCTGGGCACCACCTCGGCACCGCTGAAGTCGGCAGCGTTCTTCATCGGCGACTACTGCCGCGAGGTCAATGGCGAGTATCTCCGGTCGTTGGAGGGCAAAGGAATGAGGCCGGAGGAGTCCGATACCACCGATGTCGAATCGGTGGAGGATAGCAGGTGTCGACCAGCTGACATGCTGCTGGCCGCCTGTCCGCGTGCCGCGCGCCATGCATTTGCGCGTTGGCGGAGAGCACAGAGAATAGTGCAGCTCTGCACTGGCGCTGCTAGTCGCTGCGGAGGTTCGACAGGCATCGCGCGCGATAACCCCGGTCCAACTCACCGATGTTCCTCCGGCCTTTCCCGTCTCCGATTCTCTCTTGACCGCGCTGACCATCAGAGGACTTCATGCTGTGCAAGAACGAGGACCGCGACCCCGCGCACTGCCTGAAGGAGGGCCGCAAGGTCACGCGGTGTGCGCAGGAGATTGTGGGCAAGATCCGCGAATCGTGCTTGGCCGAGTTTGACGCGCACTGGAAGTGCTTGGAGAACAACAACCAGGTGGGTGTTGCGACTGTGCGCGCGTGCTGCGAGCGACGGGCGAGGAGTGTGCCCACGGAGTGGAACGAGGCGCGGTTAGGCCGAAGGGACGGATGAGGCAGACCGACTGCCGGACCCGATGACTGCGACCCGACTGCGTTAGCGGTGGTGCGCGGCGCCGAGTACCGCTGGGCCCACCTCCGAGAGCGAGAAGCCCTACGGGTAGCATCCAAAGCTCGGATACCGCTTCTGGTCAAGCGCGCGATGTGGCTAGCGTGAGCCATCATCGAGGCAGGATGTAGGGCGCATCGTGATCGACATTCCTTTCGCCGGGTTTAAGACAGTAATGCCGCGTTTGCTTGTTCCAGCGCGCGCTGGACCCGCGCAGCGAGTCCGCAACAACAGACCCAGAGCGATTCACGATCACTTGCGTTCTCGATTTGTTTTGCCGGGCCATAATCAGACGAGCTGCCGCACAGCCGCACTACCAGTTCGTGGACTAGCTAATCCTAGTACCTTCAGGCATGCCGCAAGCCCGAGAAGGCGCTCAACCTGTGTGTCTTCACCAAGATTGGCGTCAAGAAGAGCATCCCGGGCGCGCCTGAGGGCGAGCCACAGGTGTTCGAGAAGAAGTACCCCATCTTCTCGCGGGTTCAGAAGTAGGCGGATGCATCCAAAATGGCACTAGAGCATTAAACACATGACTTGCAGGCCAGGCGGCTCTGGAGTTTTAATCATGGGTAGCAGGCGCTCAAAGAGTCTACTTTCCCCCCTCCCGGTCTCACTGGGCAGCCGCGGGTACTCCATGCACATGCATACACGCTCGGGGGGCTCACGACGCTCACCCGCTATGCTATCATCTGCGCCGTCTCTACAAGCTTGAGGTTCTCGATGTGGTAGTTCTCTCCCAACAGCGTCTTGCACACCACGACAATGCTGTCAAGCCGGCTCATGAGCGCGTAGATGGTGCTCACACCCAGCGCGTATCGCATATAGTCGTCAGACTGCAACACGTCGGCCGTGACGTGGGTGGGCATGCCCTCCCACCCCTCCGCGGGGTCCGGGAGCTCAACGCCCTTGTACCGGTTCATGTGGTACTTGGCGATGAGCGGACCGGGCGTGATCTGCGGTAAGGGTGTTGCAGCGCGCAGGGCGCTCGACGTCATGGAGATGACGGCGAGCACGTCGCCGAGGAAGAGGGGGTCGCACATGCGCGTGCGCAGCAGAAGCGCCTTGCGCCAAGTCGGCGGCATCTGCGGCAAAAGGTGGTTGAACATTGCCAGCAGCGACATGGTCTCGACCAGCGTCGACTGCAGACCGGCGTACACATCCTTAGGCCACCGGCCGCGCAGTGAGAGCTCTTTCTGGGCAAACTCGTGGCGCATTCCCAGCTTGGTGAGTTTGGCACGCTGCGACAGCAGCTCGGCCCGTACGTGCTGGTTGAACTCCATGTTGGCGTGCGAGTGGGGGTCGTTGGCTGCAGACAGCTCTTGGCATAGGATGTATCCAACGTTGGCGATCGCGCGTGCGTATGAGTATCGGATCGCCCGCTTGGCCGAATATACGGGCGGCACTGCTGTCAGATCCAATCCCACAATGCCCTTATAAACGTACCCAGCGAGAAGATCCACGCTGCTGTGATTCCAATCACGACACATACGAAGCGCAACCACGCCACGTCGAAGCCCCATGTCGCATTGCTCATCCGGAAAAGGTGTCCGTTGAGGTATGAATACCCAATCACTAGATTCACCGATGTGCAGAAGACAATCGCGGTGAGCGGAGGGCCAGGCCAGTGCACTCGGAAGAGCATGAGGGGAAGGAACAGCACGGCGGTGACCGCTGCGATGCCGTAGGGATTGCCCGGGCCGGAGCCACTCCCGATATACCAAGCGACCATACCCACTAGGCCACCCCAGAAGCTGGCGAGGAGTCGCGAGACCCACGACGAAAATGTGTCGCCTGCGAAAACCGCGAGTGTCATTTGCGCCATGATCGTGCACCAGATGCCGCGGTTGTAGTAGTAGAAGCTGGCTGAGCTGGCCAGAAACGCAGGCAGTGAGGTGAGACAGCCAAGGGCGCCCGCCTTAAGTCCGTACATCGCGCTTCGGCTGAACAGGATATCGGGGACGGTCGCAAGTCGCGACAGCATCCCCATCCCCCAACTTCCGTACGGTTTGTAGTCAGGATTGCGCCGGCGCGCTTGCCCCAGCAGGTCAGTGTCTTCGTTCTCTTCGGCGTGGTTGAACGAGTCGGCCTCCTGCGTCTCTTCGCGCCCATCGGAAACATCAGATTTGACGCTTGTGCGGAACTGCTTGAACAGCTTCACCAGATTGGGGAACCACAGGCGACGGCGCTGCCGGCGCGCATCCGTGTCCACCAACATGTCCAGCAACTTGAGGAGCGAGTCGCTGAATTCGATAAGATGATAGCTCGCGACGAGGCAATAGAAGAGACCCATGTGCTGCGACTGGCTCAAGTGCGCGTCACGCTTATGCGACGGATCGAAGAGGTGACGGTACGGCCGGGTCACGACGCCGCGGTGCTCCTGAAACTCGGCGAGGGCGACGCGCAGTCGGGCCGTTGCGGACGCAACGTCGCGCGCCTGCGCGTACCGCTTCTTGTCGCTCGTCACGACCCATGTGCACGCCTCAGTGAGCGCCCCGCGCAGCGCCTTGACGAGCGGGAGAGCGCTGGTCGACAGCAACTCCAGCTGCTCGATAACCTTCTCGAGGTCGCGGTCGTTTCCGCTCTCAAGATCCATATATCGCTGGCTTTCGTAGACGCCAACGGGCTGCTGAGACTTGCGCAGCTGGTCGAGGAGCGACAGAGCACTGCCCTTGAGACTGTCCTTGTGCTCCTTCAACTCCTTTATGCGTCTCCTGCGCCGGTCCCGCGAGCGACGTCGCTCTTTTGATCGGTCATGATCGCCGTCATGGTGAGGCGACGTGTCACGCGACCTTGGGAGGTGGAAGAGCCGGTGGGCCAGTGACTCGTGTTTGGCCCGTCCGCGCCACATCTCACGGTGCTCCCGTTCGCTTGCCTCGTCATCCGATACGTCCGGCGTCCCAGCGTCCGTTGTCTCCTCATGGGGTGTGTCGCGCGGCGTGTCATCAAAACCAACAGATCGCGGGGTGGGCGGCACGTCCTCGACGTCTGAGGTTCTCCGCACGTCCCTGTACGACGCTGATGACCGGCGAGGGTCGCGCAGATCTTTCAAGCTAATCGCGCTTCCGGGGCGCGAAACGGGCCGCGAAAAGCTACGGCTGGTAGGCCGACTCAGTGTTGCCATACTCAGCGAACGCTGCGCATTGAAGCCCTTCGAGTCCAGGTGGGTGCGGCGCACCTTGTTGACGATGGTGTTAAAGAAGAAACTGAACCCTGACGCCCGCGTCTGTACACTTGCGAGGACATTGAAGATCTCACGCAAGTCGCGTCCTGGAATGCGACCGTAGCTGATGTCAACGTCGAGGTATCGCTGCTGTGCGTTGAGCGGGTGCATCCCAGCCAAGCTTTTGAGGAGCACAACGCGGATCTCGGCGCTGCGGTCGCCCCAAGCTGTAATTTTCTGATCGATCTCGGTCCGCTCGTCGAAGCTCACGATGCTGCCTTGCCGCCCATGGGCCCCGAAGGTGCTCATGCTGCTTGCGTCAGAGAAGAGCGACTCGATATCCCCCATCGCGTCTCGAAGAGGTGTCAGGACGCCGTTAAAGCGCCCGCGGAACTGTCCGGAAACGGACTGCGGGATGAGGATTGAGCAGACCAGCGCGATTGCCCCTTGGAAGCACATTGGCTTGTACACAATCCAGGGGATCAAGTAGTCCGCCACTGGGTAGAGGGGGACCAAGGTGAAGGTCACGTCGATGAGGATGCACGCCAAGACAAGAGGAAGTGTCGCAGGGCTCGGCGCCGTGCGCATCTTCCACCAGAGCTGATATTAGCAGCGTCCGCAATGTGACTCACGAGGGCGGCGGTGCCGACAGACAGCCATACACAGGACACAATCGCCGGACCAGCTTGCAAGTACGTGCCATCGAACATCTTACATCAGCCACGGTATGTCGCGGTGACTCACCACGCGCATCTGTTGGTTTGTGGGACTCTCGCCAGCATACTGCGCCATCTTCGCGGCTACCTTGGCCGAGTCGAAGGGTTGCCGCGTCGCGTCTGCCACACGTATACCAATGCAGCACCATGCCCACGCGAGCGAGATGTAGAAATACAGGTTGCACATGACCTCGATGAACTGCACAAAGGGCGCGGAGGGCGGGACCATGACACTCATGATGAGAACCAAGAAGGCCGCCTGGCCAACCTCCAGCCCCACCGGATGGATGAGGAGGAAAAGGAGGCCGATCCACATCTGCGATTAGCCACCATCACATGTGAGACGTCGCGATGGGAAAGGTAGACGTACGGAGAGTGCTGTTCTCACAACTGGCTTCGCATCGTCCATGTTCAGCTTGGGCTTGATCCACGCGATGTGCGGGTTTGCGAGCACCTTGTCGAGTAGCTGCCGAGACTTAGACTTGGGCTTGTCCTTGCTCCCCTCCTTGTCATCACTTGGCGCCCCTAGCAGCTCTTTGGGTAGAGGATTCCCGCCGCCATTCACATTGTTGACCCCGTTCCCGTTCGCGAGGGAGCCATGGCCTTGGGATGAGCGCCGCTCTTCTGAGTCCGAGTCCGTTGAGACGGTGAACGCAATACGCTTGCTGCGGTGTCGTCGTCGAGGGGGTCGTTCTTTCGCTCGCCGCGGAGCCGTAGTGGAGCTGGGCTCGCCGAGGGCGGGTGCACTCTGCATCGCGCTCGGTATGCGGGCCGCTGCTTCATGCGGTGCGGGAGAGGAGAGGGGGGATAGTGGAGAGGGCTGCGAAGACAGTGATTGCGTGGGCGGAGAATGTTCATATTGAAGTGGGTTGGGCTCTGGTCGATCTCGCGAATGAGCCGGTGCCGATTCGTCGAGATCAGTCACCTTGATCGCCGGAGTGGCCGGCCTGGCGAGTCTATCTGTGTCGTCCTCAACCATGCTGAGTGAGGATGAGTGATGTGTTGAAGGGAGTAGAAGTGAGAGCGAACTGCGACATCAGAGCTCGGTGATGTGCCGCCACCGGAGCAAGAAAACGGAATGACGATATGGCTGCCTGCATATAAACAAACGGCACCGCGACTGAGGCCAGGGATCCCTGTCTCGGGTCGGACACGGTGCCAAGTGGCGCTCCGAACCCGTGAGGACTGCAGTCGACGACAACATTTCCCATGCACTCACAACTACAATATGTGGCACAGCGATGCTGCGGGATGGGAAATAAGTAGGCGCAGGGGTACGATTGATACAGCAGGCTGCGTATGGATGTATCTGGACTGGGTCTAAGGGATACGTCGGTGTCTCACTATGAATTGTGTTGGCGTCGACCGTTTGGGCACGGTTATCTCCGGGCAGATGATATCCCCCCCGCCTATGCATGAATTGTGATGAGGTCTCGCCTAAGCCACCTCGCCGTCGTCTGGCCATACCACAGCCGGCAACGGCGTTTCCCAGTCCACCTTGTCGACATTCTCAGCTGGTAGCCACTGGAATGCGAGGCTGAGGAACGCCCGTGCAAAGCCTGGCAAGTTGGTCTCAGGCAGCACCGACATGGGGGCAACCTCAAAGTTGGGTACGAGGCGGCGTAACACTCCGTCCTCGTAGCTACGTGGCGCCGCACGGCTCTTACGCTTCTTCTTGGGCTTCTGGAACTCCTCCTCCTCCCTCTCCCCCTCTCCAGTCTCACGTACAAAGCCAGGCAGATACTCGCCCAAATCGTTGCCAAGTATCACCGTCTGGCTGGCGAGACGCGGGGAGTAGTTCTTGGAAAAGAACGCCTCGTACAGCGCCTTGCTGCAATGCGGCATGTATACCAGCGTGGGACCAGTGAGCTCGTGCTCGCCTCTCAAGTTCTCGGTGATGATGGTCAAGGAGAGGGAGGAGAGGACGCGCTTGTCGCCGTCATCGAAGACGGGATCGAAGGCCGATATAGACGAAGGATGTGTCCCCAAAGCTGCGGCGAGCTCAAGGGCAAGGGCAAGTTGGATCTTGGCCGTGCGGTCCACGCAAGGCTTTCCGAGTCCGAGACAGAGTATGGCGAGTTGTTGCTGCACGCCGTTAAGAAGCAGTGGCCGGAGGCGCTCCATCAACGCTTTCGTCAGCCACCGCCGCAGAAGCCGCAGCGCACTCACCGTTCCACTCCTCGCCCCATTTTTCGATCATTTTTGTGCGCAATCCATGCACGTCTTCCACCGCGCGCTGAACATCCTCGTCCGTAATCTCGACCTTCTCAGCCTTCTTGGGTGCCTTGCCCTTTCGTTTGGGCTGAATGAACTGCTTCGCGGCGCGCTCCATCTCGATCTCCTTCGCGCTTAACGGCGGGGGCACAAGCCCTGCCTTAGCGGCCTTCTTTGCCTCTTTCCGCTTCTCCTTGAACGCCTCTTTGGCAGCCTCAGCCTCCTCCTTCCTGCGCACCTCGCGTGCGCGCCGCTTATCCCGCTTGGACATCTCCTGCTTAGATGACGCTGCGTCTGAGTCCTCGTCAATGGCGGGCGTTGATTTTCGTGGCAGCTCCTTCTTGGGCGAAGAAGCGCGAGGCTTGGCCTCGATCACAGGTTCGGGCTCGACGGGCGCAGGAGGCTTGGGTTTGGCCTTCTCCTTCCTCTTCTTCGCCTCCTTCATGGCGGACCTGATATCAGCTCTAATAGCGACTGGCACGCTTACAGCTTAGACTTCTCCTCAGCCTCGAGCAGGTCAAGCTCCTCCAGCTGCTCCAGCTCGAGCATGAGCTCTTCGTCATCGAGCTCGGCCTCTTTGAACTCTTCAGCTGGCGTTTCCAATGGCGTAGCGAAATCATCCTCGTCGAAGCCAGCATTCTCCGCCCGCATCTCTTTCGCCATACTGTCGTCAGCTTGTGTTGATATACTGCAAGCTCACCGCCAAACCGATTGCTTGTGCTTCTTGCTTCGCTCGTGGTTCGACCAGCTGGCCTCGCTCTGGAATGTCTTATTGCACGCAACGCACTCGAAGACCTCGCCTCCTGCCCCGTCGTCCATCCGGATCCCTGTGCCATCGCCCTCCTCGGCGTATTCGTCCGCCTCGTCTTCCTCGTCAGAGGCCACCTTCACCTTCTGCCATTCCTGCTCCTGGAAAGCTTCCGCGGCACGCATCCTCTCCTCCTCGCGCCGCTTGGCCGCCTCCGCGTCAACACGGGGCGCCCTCCTTGGAGTCGAGGCACCAGAGCCTGCGGGCTTCTTTTTCTTCGCCTCGGCCTGATAGGCCTTGAACCTGGGATCGCGGTGCTGGATGAAGGAGACGAGAGTCTGATGTCAGCTGCCTCCGCCGAGAGGACCGAGAGAACACTCACGCGGACCGTGTCAATGTATTCCTTGCGGTGATCTTCGCGGGCCTTCTTGTTCTCCTTCTCCATAAGTCGGCGGATCTCGCGAGTTTCTGCGCGATGTGTGTCCCACTTCTCGACCCACTCGAAGCGCTTCTCAGTTGTAAACTCCCCCCAGGCCGTGTAGAAGTCGCGCGCCCAGTTGGAACGCGCCCTTTCGGCCTTAGTAAGGCCCGGTGGCGGAGCGTATGGTGTTGTGGAATCGCCGAAGGAGGGATAGTGCACGGGCACGCCGTCCTGGGGGGTGTGCAATACTTCATCCGAGGCGAGCACATTGAAGAGTGTCCTGTAGACAGAGTAGAAGCCCTGGAGTTAGATATGTCTACGACATCAAGCATTACTCACCTCAGAGCTGTCATCCATCTTGCGCGCCAGCTTTGGGTCAAAGAACCGCATCAGCTGGTCAATCTTGATGCCGGGATCCCCACGCTTGCGCCTGTTGAACTTGGACTTGGGGTCTGCAACGCCGGCATCGCCGGCACGGACATGGTCGTAGAAATCGTCGTCGTTCGTCTCGATGTGGTCGTTCCTGTGACGGTCGTAGAATGCGCGTTCCTGCGGTCAACCTGCATTCAGACGGTCGACGTACGTTGGGGTCAGATAGGACCTCATAGGCCTGCTGCAAGTCGGCGAAGATCTTGGTCGCCTCCTCCACGCGGTGTGGGTTCTTGTCTGGGTGGTTGACAAGCTGCGGTCAGATCTAAAGTGTGTACGTCGCCCAACGCACTGCAAGCTTGCGGTACGATTTCTGGTCGTCAGCGATGCCATTGAGCGAAACGGACTTTGATCTCCTCTGGTGTTGCCTCGATGTCGACCTGGAGAAGCTCGTAATAATCTATAGGTCCATCCTCGGGCTCCTCCTTGTCCGCGGTGCGGGACTGGTCGTTACCCATGGTGACAAGGTGTTCAGAGAAGTCAGAGGATGAAAGAGTGAGGACGCAGTGCGCTCGGAGCCGAAGTCAGACTTCTGGAGTGGAGGTCTTATCAACTGATATGTAAAGTACACGTCGTAAGTGGCGGACCTGAGTGATGGTGCACGGACGCGTGGTGGAGGTGGTCCGTGTCTTCTGCACCGTCACAACCACTCCCGCAACTTCGTAACACTCAACAACATCACTCCGCAACACTGCACACGATGCCATTAGCCTCCTCGTACTCATCCTCCTCTTCCCGCATCAAGCGCCGTTCCGTCACTCTTCCATCCTCGCGCCAGCCAGACGCCTGGAACGACTTCTCGGCCGACGCCGAGTCATCAGAGAAGCACTGGGAGAGCACTCTTCAGTCCCTAGACGAGAGCAACATGGTGAATAACATCGTCAAAGGCGCTGATTCAAAGTCCACGGAACGTACGACCTCCCTCGAGAATCAGGAGGGAGAGATCCTCCGGTTAACCCGCGAGGTTATAGACCTGCGCGAAGAGCTCGCCGCCCGCCCAACAGAGGATGAGGTCTACGCCATGCGCATGGAGTGGGAAACTAGCGAGACGCTATTCGCCCAGAGTCAAAAGTGCGTGTGGCGGGGTAAAGCTCACAGCAGAGACAACGAGCAGAAGCACAACACGATCGAGAACCTTAGACAATACGTCAAAGTATGCCGGCGGCAGGGCATGCTGACGCCAGGCGCTGGAATCCAAACTCGAGGAGACGTTGGGCGAGGACTGGAAGGTGTGCCTTTGCGATTGGGTAATCTGACAACAGGATTACTGTGTGCTTCCCGACCCACGAGGATCAAGTAACATGTGCGGAAACGCAACACCACTGCCCAAACCGGGCAAGGTGCGCTCGACGAGCATCAAGCGCACCTCGCGCCACAGCCACTCACGAGCAGTGAGCGCCGCCGACGCACGTTCCCTTCGCGAACTCGAGATCGCAGTGGACAAAACGCCGGCAGGGGCACTGCGCGCGCTCGAGGGCATATGCGAGACGAGCCGTCCGACGCCCGCCGAGATTGTCGCGTCCTTCGAGTCGCCGCATAAGGACGCCCGGATGGAGCGGTCGACGTCGCACCAGAGCATGCGGGATACCAAGGACAAAGAGATCGCAGTCCTAGTGGCAGCCGTGAAGGCGCTGCCGGCAACACTAGGGGCACATGTGGAGCGGGTGCTAGCTCAAGATGAGGCTCAGACTCGGCGTGAGGAGGCGCGCCAGGCCATACTCGACATGCTAGACGCTGCGGAGAGTCGCGCAGATGCGCGAGAGATTCGTTTACAGGGCCTTCTTGCTGAAGTGAGTTTAGTGAGGGCGAGCTAAACCTAGGCCAAGACTTGCAGTGGACTGATGGAGTGGTAGAGAGGGTTGTGTACGATTCCGGAGTCCCCTAGACTGTTACAGATGCCCCGCACGAGTTGTTTCATGTCACGACACGATGTCGCGTAACAAGCTCAAGATTTGGTTCAAAGAAGTCACTAGCGATGGCTGTTGAATCCCCAGTGATATGTCGCGTCTGGCGTCTGGAGGTCATGACGGCCGCGTGAACCACCCATGTGCCAACACTATCTCCTTCTACGGCGTGTAGCATATCTTCTACTGTATCAACTCAACGAGTGGCGTGCTGTGCGGTGGCGCTGCGCGAGGCGGGACGATGGGGGGACGGGGCGGCGACAGTGTCGGAGTACTCCGGGGAGGCACGCCGGCGCACCGCGTGCCAGGATATAGCGAATGTGGTGGCATGAGTCATTAGGGGTGGCGGTACATGGCCCGGATTCGGCCTAGACGTCGATATACAGCAAGATTGGCTCTCCAACCTCTTCGATTTCTGGAATCACACACTGTCGTCAGTCCTGTCTGCATTTGTAACTCACCTTGAGATCAAAAGCCTTCGCCAACACAATCTTGAAGATCTTCTGCACATTGATAGAGTGGCTCGTTGAGCAGAAGATCTGGTGTGAGTTGAGCCAGATAACTTATCGCTTACCAGCGGGGCGCGCATAGCCTTGGAGAATCGCTTGGCCTGCTTAGTGATCTCCTCTTGTTCCTCAAGCGGTTGTGTTGCAAACAGGTCATACTTAGTCCCAATTAGGACTGGAATAGCCGTCTGCTGTTAGCTCAGAGCCTGCGGCCCAGGGCACCTTATTGAATCCGCGCGCCTGCCGGTACCATTCCTTTATGCTGTTGAGTGTGGCTTTCCGTGTGAGGTCGAACATGAAGAGGATCGCAACAGCATCGTTGGACACGAGGGGAAGCATGGACACAAACTCGCGCTGTCCACCTAGATCCCAAATCTGGCGTTAGTCATCGTTCGCTCGGGCCGCAGGACCACCACCATACGGCGAGCGGCAGGCAGCTTCTCAAGTGCACTCGTAACTCACGGAGAATGTGATCTCGGTATTGCGGATCGTGATAGCCTTCTCCATGAAGTTGACACCCAGTGTTTGGATGTAGTCCTCGCTGGTTGTTAGTGTGTCACCCACCCCGCCTGCCTTTAACAGGCGGCTGCGTGACGTACTCGAAGCTGCCCTCCACATATTTGACCATCAGCGACGTCTTCCCGATGCCAGCGTCGCCGACCATGCCGACCTTGAGCACAACACTGAGGTCAGCTGTCTATATGAAGGAGGCTCTGCCGTAGGCATCACAAGCTTGGGAAGGGCGCCGACGCGTGCAACTGCGCACTTGTCGACGCGCCACCCAACCAAGCCGGCGCCCCAGAAGGCGGACGTACGCGTTTCGATCTCCTGCTTCGCTGCCCGACACACGCCCGCTGCCAGAACCGGACGAGGCATAGCCCTGGTCGGTCATGGTGGATGAATGGAGTGGACGGCAATGGCGTAAATGATTGTGGACGTGGTAGTGTGATCAGCGCGAGGAAGCCCAAGAACGCCGCGATAAGTCGCCGGGACGGGAGAGCCGACGCGTTGGAGACAATAGAGAGTGAGCGATGGGGACTGTCGGAGCGTATGCGCAAAGGGATGATGATGAGAGAAATGAAGATGAGAGAGAGAGAGAGAGAGATGAATGAATGAATGAGAAGGAGAGAGGAGACGTTGAAGAGATGTGTGACAGTCAACACGCCACTTTCCAGCCTCGTTCCAGGTGTTGCACCTTCCCCCTCCCCCCAGGGCACACAGGGCACTCTCTGGCTGATGACCCACGATCAGCAGAATCGTCCACGTGGAAATTTACGTAACTGATCTCGGTCACTCGCTACTCTCCCATCGGGAAGCTTGAAAGCATCAACTTCACTCTCATCCTCCTCCCACCCTTGCATGTTCTCAACATGAAGTCGCGCGCGACGAGGGTACTCCTTACCACGAGACCTCCCCTTCGACCCGCAGCGCGCACCCTGCGATTCCCCAGCAAATCCCTCCCGCCGACAGCGCAGCTCTGCAGGCAATGGACAGCGCCATTCACCACCTCCGGTCCCTCCTTGCGACGGTACGCGACGGCCGCAACATCAACAGCAACGACATCAGTGACGGGTGGAGTGGGCGGGCAAGAACCACCTCTCGCGCCGTTTCTTCCAACGCCTGTGGCCGCCTCGGAGAACCTGCGCGCTGTGCTTAAAGACGTCGAGAAGTTGCTCGTCACGGACATTGGCGGGTCGTCGGCATGGTACGATCGAATCAAGGCGGCTAATGCGGACCTCTCGGCGACACGCCGGGCACGTCTTGCTGGTGAGTTGACTGCCGGAGATTCAGGCGGGTATGCGACCCAGGTTGTTCAAGTATCACAAGTTGCCATATGCGTTCGTGCTGGGCCTGGGAATGGTCGCGCGAGCAGTGTTGTCTGGCCCCAGCCACGCCGGAACGCGAAGGGCTTCCAAAGTAGGCGCTGACAATAGTGTACGGTGACCCGGTCGCTGCGCCGCACGACGTGGTTTCCGCGTTTCTGCAGGACCCACTCTCGGACTCTGATGTGATGCGCAAGGCTATCCTTGACCGCTACTTCGGCACAAGCAAGGATACACTCTTTATTTCGTGCGTGTGTGCACTCCTCCCACTAACAGCAGCCTTGCCAACGAGCCATCTCGCACCGATGGCCGATTGGGCGCCCCATCTTCTTGGCTCCAGGCGTCGGGCTGCGACGTGGCCGAGATTGCGCAGGGCCCGCAGGCCGAGTCGCAAATACTGGCGTGCGATGCTGTTGCCTTCGTTCTCGACCCCGTGCGCCTCGCCACGACGCCCTTCCTTAGCAAGCTGTTGCCCCTCGCCCTCGGCAAGGGGCACGTTCAGTTCATTGTGAACGGTCCCCTTCCCGCACATCAAACAGAGGAGACATTGCGGGCAATGCTGGACAAGCAGCTTGCGGCCATCGCCGTGCCGACGGGCTGCAAGAGCTACGATGTCACGTTTGTTCAGGCGGATCTGGCGCTGCGGGCGTTGGATGCTTTGGCTCGCGCTTTAAGCGAGCCTGATGGCGAAAGCAAAGGCCTGGCCTTCGACACGTTCCAGCATGACTTCCCGGCATCCAAAATTGGCCCGCTGCAAGCACAGTTGATGCACCTTGCGCCGACCGACGCGCAGATAGCAACCGCAGCCAGCACCGCCCGGCTGGCGCTGGCATACACAAACGGTGTGGTGGCCAGCGACCGCGACGTTCTTCGAAAGGCGTCCGATGTTGTGTCACAGCTGCGAAAGGAAGCAGTCGACGGGTCGGGTCGTGCGCGTCGCCTAAGCGTTGTGAGCATGGGGAGCTCGAGCGGCATCGTCGACGGCAGTGTCGATGCGAGCATTCGCACTAACAAGCATGCCCTCGAGCAGCTGTTCAAGGGGCGGCTGTCTTGGCTCGGCATCCTTACGCGGTTGCGAGTCGACGACGTGAACGGCGACATTGGTGGCTACATTGCGCGAAACTTTGCGCGCGACATCGAGCAGCAGCTGGTGTTCGAGGCCGGGCAACTTAGCCAGCTGCAATCGCAGCTTGGGAAGCAGAGTGACGAGACGGCGCGAAGCCTCACCTCCTCATCTACCTCAGAACGGGCGGGCCACCCCTTCTCCTCACCTCTCCTTCTGAACCACCTCGCCTCGCTTGCCCTCGCCATTCCCTCGGTGACGCCTACGTCCCTCCTTCCCCCTGTCGCGACGCGGCGCGCGCAGCTCGTCAACACCGCCGTTCCTCAGCTGCAGGTAACGGCGCAGCGCGCGCTCGGCTCCTCCATCACCTTGGCGCTTGCAGGCACAGCGGGAGCATGGACAGCCTTTGCCCCACCCCTTAGCTGGATTAGTGGCGCCACCGCTGTTGGGCTCGGCGCGCTCGCTGTCGTGTCTTCACTCGCCCTCGGCCAAGCGTGGTGGGCTAAGGGCCAGCGTCGCTTCTGGAAGGACTGGAACCGCGTTACTGCTATGCTCAAGGACGACCTTTGTGCCAACTTTGACAGCACGGTTGACAAACTCGTGCTTGCTCGCCCGCGCGTGACCGCCGACGGACTCCAGGAACTCGTGCGGAAACGTGAGGAGCGGTTGAACAAGCTGGAGCACAGGATTATCACGCTTGAGGAACATGTCGAGGCGCTCGAGCCTAGCCCTCAGCCTGCATCGAAGCGATAGCATAGACTAAAATTAATGTATAGCATACACCTGTTGTTGGTATAACGGGCTCCAGGTGCCGCGGACACTCCTCTACGCGCTCCTTGCGGCGTGGTGACAATGTGCTTCCATTGTGAATCCTGGACGTCAATAACAATGGACTGCGAAGTTTGAGTGTTTCGCATCACTCACACCCAAACAACAGACCCTTGCAATCACATCATCTCCATTCATCCCAACTGTACATTTATCCATTGAGAGCCGCAGTCATATCGAGTCCCCAACTCCCACTCCTCTCGTTCTTCACTACTCTGACACGTCCACAGCCATGTATCCATCTCAAACACCGCGGACTCAGCGCATCACCAAGTGGCTCTCGGCGAGGGACGCCGTCCTGGGAGTGAGTCCACCGCACCTTCCCGGCCTGACCACAGAGCCGTGACACCACTCCCACCCCAGTAGGTGACGTTCTATCCCCATTCTAACGCAGTCTTCTACGGCGGACAAGCTCGCCATGCTCATCATGGATGCTCTACTAGTCATCTCCGACCTTGCCGCCTGCTCCTTCCTTGACATTGCACGAAGCATTCCGAGGGGCGTCATGTTCGCCAAGACCCGAGCGCCCTTCATGTGTTGGTACAACGCCGGTCACTATCGATCTCACACTTTACTCTCACACCTCCGAGCGCGGGGGCACCCCTTGTCGCTCAGCCAGGCGGAAGCGCTGCTCGAGTTGGCCGGCCCCGAAGACTTTCTCCGCGTGTGGTTAACCAAAGATGATGTCCGGGTGGGTTTAGACAAGGACGAGGAGGACAAACACCACGGGTACGACGGGTACCATGACGGCTGTGAGGACGACGAGGAAGACGAGGGTGATGAGTGTGATGAGTGTGATGAGTGTGACGAGTGTGGCGAATACGCTGAGGATATTGAAGCCTATGTGGACGACGAGGGCGATGAAGACGACGAGGGCGATGAAGACGACGAGGGCGATGAAGACGACGAGAGTGACGAGAACGACGAGAGCCACGCGGACGTCGAGAATGACCGAATGAAGTATGTCGACACAGTGCAAGTGCTTAGCGGGCTCTTCGCCCCGGAGATCTGGGAAAACAATCACGCACGTCTCGCCGTCATGCTCATTCTTGAGACCGTCCTGTTCCACGGCGGAATCAATGAGGTGATGTGGACAATGAGGCAGGTGTTGAAGAGAATTGACCTCTCGGACGAGCAAATCCAGACAATTCAGTACAGGTTCGAGGATGAGCGGGAGTGAACAACGCGCGAGGCTGTGTTAGTATCATGTATGCACCGTTGTCTGCCATCAAGTAGGGCACTTGAGACTGCAGGTAGCCGTAAAGAGAGGCATAACAGAAACCTGCCGTGGCAGAGCTCTAGAAGGGCTTGAAGGGACCACCCTTGTCAGGAGAGGCATCGCGAAGAGGAGTACAGTACACCAAATCACACCATCAAATCCTGTTCCATTGTTGTCACAAGGGGTGTATGGGCCAGCTGGGGATGTAGCAATGAGTGCACGACGATAAGGAGGAGACCTCGCGTGAAGGAGTTAAGTAAATCAGTGGCCTGGAGTGGGGCGAGGCTCGAAGGACAATCACATTCTTTCTCGTGTATACTGTCTTTACATCGCACCACGTCGTCACTCCCCAAATCCTCACTCGTACCCCTGTCCACCTTTTATACTCACACTCATGGACCCCGTCAACGTCCTGACCGTATTCAGCGCTATCATAAGCCGCCTTGAGGTCCTGAACGCTGCAAGGCCCTCGGACAAGCTGCCGGCCGGAGTGAGTCTCAATAATTCCCATGACTCACGCCAGCGCGACGATGTCACCTTTAACCGGGTAAGTATCACGGACTTAAGGCGCTGACGTAGATCTACTGGGCTACTTATGGAGAACTTCAGCCCATTCACATCGCCTTTGCCCTCCGTCACATAGGTGTGATCACTGGCGTGCCATTCAAAGACCTCGCGGACGGCACCGTCACCGGCGTCGGTTTCCGCGCACACCTCGAGAATCGCGGATATGCGGACGAAATTGAAGGTCTCATGGCGTTTGTCGGCCCCGGGTACATCGGGGATGATGTCGACATGGCGATACCGGAGAAGGAGGCCGTGCTGCTCGCCCTCTTTCAGCTCGACTGCCTTTTCCCAAACGGACCCTCGCGTCGCGTGGCGATGCTCCTTATGGAGGCGGGCCTTTACCGCGATGGCCCTTCTCAGGCCGCGCTCACCGTTGAGAGCATGCAGCGTTATTCCAATTATTTCGCGCTCACGAGCGCTCAGAAGGAGGTCCTCCACCATCGCTTCATGGTCACCGCGAAACAGGTCCAGGCCAGCCCAGCGACTGCTCAGACGTTAGCGGTCAGAGGTTAAGCGTCCTGGATGTGCGACGAGGCCTTCGGATACACAGTAGCCCACAGCGCGAGAAGTGCGCAGAGCGAAATACATGTACGGGTGTGCGACGTGAGGAGCGTTAGTGTGTATTAGGAGCGAGCGTCGGCGGTGGCGTCGCGGGGCCTGGACAGCTAGCTTAGTTAGAGATGCTGTGAGTCAATGTTGCTGCGCTTGTCGGTTTGGAGAGCAATAGTCATTTCGGTCAGAGTTGATATCTGATAGGCAGTCACACGACATCGGCCGTCGGCATGCTCGGCACGCTCGCCTGCGCATTGGCCGCCACCCAATAATGCTCGGTGCCTGCAATTTCGGCCCAGACCGACTGCCCTCCCTCATGACACCGCGCCACCATCATATCATGACGCGCACCGAAGCGGAACTACAGCTCCATCGACCTCCTCATCGCGCTCGCTGCTGACAGACACTTCAGCAGGCTTGGGTTCATGGCGGTTACTAAGGAGGGCGCTGGACGGCACGGCCAGCCGCCAACACCGAGCGCAGATCCCCCCCTCCACACACGAACATCGTCCATCATGGAGGACATCAAGGGTGACAAAAACCACACATACCCGCCCACGGAACAGGACGATGCTTCCTCAGCCACGAACAAGAGCTCGGATGGCGAGAAGGAGGAGACGGAGAAGAGCGAGCACATGCGCCTCCGCGACATGAAGGGGCAATACAGCTACCACAAGAGGGTGCACTGGTGGTGGGTTTCTCAAGGGTGCTGGGCGGGGTGATGCGAGTGTGCGAGCCTCCACTGCCAGCGACGTCTGAGAGAGCACTGTGAGGTTTTGGTGCTGACTGTAGGCAACTCTGGCGGCCATCCAAGCCGCCTCGTCCACCGCCCGAGTCGTTCGCGGATGCTCCAGAAATCCCTCTGGCCGTGGCAAACTTTCTCTCCATTCTGACCTTCCATGTACGTGTCGATACCCGGCTGCGCATTCCGCAGTTGCTGACGGCAGTGGGTCTCGCCCCTCATGCGGTTGGGCTACCAGCGGCCCTTACAGGCGACCGACCTATGGCGCGTCGATCCAACACGCGAGGGTGACTCCTCCTCCTGACGCCACTGACATCAGCCGATTACATGTCAAACAAGTTTCTTGCGAACCTCGAGAAACGACAGGTCAAGGCGAAGGCATGGAACGCGGCACTGCCGACAGCCAAGCCACCATTGCGCAAGCGCGTGCGCTGGGCCGCCAAGGCGCTCCGCCCACTCCCAGAGGAGGTGAAGCCACACGCGAAGGGGTCCGGCTACGGCGCGAAGCGCGCTGCGTTTGAGGCCGAGTGGCGCGCCGAGAGTGGGCAGAAGCACGGCTCGATTGCCGGCGCGCTCAACGAGGCTTTCCCAAAGTACTGGCTCGGCGGCTTGTTCAAGGTCGTCGCGGACCAGGCGCAGCTCATGGCACCGCTCCTCATCAAGGAGATCATCCGCTTCTCGCAGGCGACATACGCCGCCAACCGCGGCGACGGGGACAAGCCGTACATCGGGCGCGGGATTGGGCTGGCGTTCGGCCTTCTCCTCCTCAGCATGCTGCAGAGCGTGTGCCAGCACCAGTTCTTCTTCCGATCCATGACGCACGGCGCGCTCTTCCGAGCCTCTCTCATCAGCGCGACGTACAAACGCGCACTTACACTCAGCGTGGGCGCCCGCCGCGCCCACTCTAACGGAACGCTGATGGCGTATCTCTCCAGCGACATCAGCCGGGTTGACTACTGTGCACACTGGTTCCACGCCATCTGGACGGCCCCCATCCAGCTTGCGGTCACGCTCATCTTGCTGTGTCTTCAGATTGGGCCGAGCGCGATCGTCGGCTTCGTCGTTTTCGTCATCCTCGCACCTGTTCAGACATATTTTATGCGCACAAGTTTCAAGGTCCGTAAGGGATCTATGGTGAGTTTCCAGGTCTGGCACTAGCTAACGTAAGAAATGGACAGATGGGCGCTCAAAGCTCCTCTCCGAGCTGCTTGCCAGTATGCAGATTATCAAGGTGTTTTGCTACGAGCTGCCGTTCCTCAAGCGTGAGCAGTGGCTCTAAATATCAGCTGACAGCAGGTTTGAAATTCGTGCGTGGACAGGAGATGACGGCGGTACGAAAGCTTCTGATCATCCGCGCTGCAAACCAGGCGCTCGCATACAGCGTGCCGGTCCTCGCGGCCGTGCTGTCTTTTATCACGTACTCAAGCACCCATGATCGCATGGACCCCGCGCTAATATTCACCTCGCTCGCGTACTTCAATCTTCTCCGACAGCCGCTCATGTTCTTGCCTCGCGGACTGTCGACGCTTGCGGACGCACAAGCCGCCGTGCTCCGACTCGAGAGCCTTTTCGAGGCGCCGCTCATGGACGAGAAGGAGCTGATCAATCTCGAGCTGGACGTCGCGATCCGCGCTAAAAATGCCACGTTCCAGTGGGCGACCGTGAAGGAGCAAGAAACGGTCGACGAGACGAGCGGCGGAGGCCGGGGCGGTCGTGGTGGTGGAAGAGGTGGCCGCGGTGGCCGTGGCGGTCGCGGTGGCAGAAGCGGGAGGGGGAGAGGAAAACAGTCCAGGGAGCCGAAAACCGAGGAAAAGAAGAACGAGAAGGAAGAGGAGCCATTCATGGTGCAAAACCTCAACCTCGAAATCCCCCGGGGCAAGCTTGTCGCCATAGTCGGGCCTGTCGGCGCCGGCAAGTCTAGTATCCTCCAAGGCGTGAGTTGCATCGGTGAATAATGCTGACGCCAGCTCATCGGTGAGATGCGGTACATTTCGGGGTCGGCCGAGTTTGGTGGCCGTCTCGGCTACTGCCAGCAGACTGCGTGGATCCAGAATGCAACTCTTCGCGACAACGTGCTTTTCGGGCAGCGCTGGGACGAGGCCCGTTACTGGGAGTGCGTCCGTCGCGCATGCCTACTTCCCGACCTCGAGATCTTGCCAGATGGCGACCTTACGGAAATCGGCGAAAAGGGCGTTAATCTCTCAGGCGGGCAGAAGCAACGCGTCAACATCGCGCGCGCACTGTATTTCGATGCGGAGATCGTGCTGTTCGACGACCCGCTGAGCGCAGTGGACGCACACGTTGGACGAATGCTGTTCAACGACGCAATCATGGGCCTACGTGCCACCGGCAAGACTGTCGTTCTCGTTACCCACGCGCTGCACTTCCTCCCACAGGTCGACTACGTGTACACCATCCAGCAGGGACACATCGTGGAGGAGGGGACGTACGAGGCGTTGATGGCGAGCGAGGGCGCGTTCCGGCGCCTTATGAATGAGTTTGGCGGCTCAGCCAAGCGAGAGGAAGAGGACGGGCGTGAGGAGGAGGCGATCGAGAACAGCCAGGCGGATACCGCCGACGCGGCCGTCAAGGCGCAGGAGAAGGCCATCTCCAGCAAGGCGGCAGGCACGGGTAAGCTTGAGGGCCGCCTGATGACGTCCGAGGTTCGCAAGACTGGTCGCGTCGGCGGCAAGATCTACGGCGCGTACTTGCGAGCAGGGAATGCGATTTACACGCTCCCGCTGTCGCTGCTTTTTGCGGCGGCAATGCAGGCCGGCAGCGTGTTGTCGACCGTCTGGCTGACATGGTGGGAGGCCGACACCTTCGGTAAGCCCAACGGCTTTTACCAGGGCATGTACGCGATGCTGGGGCTCGCGTCGACGGTGTTCATTTTCGCCCTTGGCGTTTCGATGGGCGTTATGGCCTACTTTGCAAGCAGGAACCTGTATGGCGGGGCGGTGCGCAACGTCTTCTTCGCCCCGATGAGTTTCTTCGACACGCAGCCGCTCGGTCGCATCATGGGCGTGTTTGGCAAAGACATTGACATCGTGGACAACCAGCTCCCCGATTCACTGCGGATGCAGGTCTTCACGCTCCTCTCACTCATCGGCTCCGTCGTCATCATCACTGTCTACTTCCACTACTTTATTGGTATCATTTTCGCGGTCGGCGTTGGGTACTGGTACTTCGCGCAGTTCTACCGCACCAGCGCACGCGAAGTCAAGCGCCTCGACTCGATGCTCCGCTCTCTCCTCTACAGCCACTTCTCCGAGAGCCTGTCGGGGCTCGCCACAATCCGCGCGTACGGCGAGACTGAACGCTTCATCCGCGACAATTGCTATTACATGGATCTCGAGGATCGGGCGTACCTCCTAACGTCGAGTAACCAGCGCTGGCTGGCGGTGCGCCTCGACTTCCTCGGCGCACTGCTCGTGTTTATTGTCGCCATAATGAGCGTCGTTGGCGGGACGGGACTTAGCGCGTCCCAGATCGCACTCTGCCTTACGTACATGACGCAGATCACCCAGATTCTGTGAGTGGCCGCGGGTTTCCGAGCTGACTGCAGGGGTATGGTGACTAGGCAGAGTGCCGAGGTCGAGAACAACATGAATGCCGTGGAGCGGATTCAGCACTACGCCGGGCGCGGCATTCCGCAAGAGGCGGCGTATGAACTCCCCGACGAGCCGGGGCCTGAGTGGCCTGCGCGTGGCTCCATCGCATTCGAAGACGTTGTCATGTCCTACCGCAAGGGCCTGCCACCAGTGCTCAAGGGCATGTGAGTTGGCTGCCATAGCTCCATACTGACCGTAGATCGGCGCACATCGAGCACGGCGAGAAAATCGGCATCATCGGGCGCACAGGCGCAGGAAAGACATCCATCACTGTGGCGCTGTTCCGCCTCGCCGAGCCGACGTCAGGGCGCGTCACCGTCGACGGCGTAGACGTGAGCACAATCGGCCTGAAGCGCCTGCGCTCGGCAATCGCCATCATTCCTCAGGATCCCGTGCTGTTTAGCGGCACGCTACGGACCAACCTTGATCCCTTTGACGAGCATTCCGACGCTGAGCTGTACGATGCCATGGGTCGCGCTTGTCTCCTCGAGGAGGAAGGAGGCAAGCGGTTCGCGCTCGACATGGTGATCGACGACGAGGGGGCCAACCTCTCGATCGGGGAGCGCTCGCTCGTGTCGCTCGCCCGGGCGCTGGTCAAGGACGCGCGCATTGTTGTGCTTGACGAGGCCACGGCCGCCGTGGACCTCGAGACGGACGCAAAGATCCAGCAGACGATCCGGCGCGAGTTCGCGCACAAAACGCTCCTCTGCATCGCGCATCGGCTGCGCACCATCATCTCGTGGGACCGCATCCTCGTCATGGATGCGGGCGAGATTGCCGACTTTGACACACCGCTCGCTCTGTGGGACAAGGGCGGACATTTCCGAAGCATGTGTGAGCGCTCGAACATCACACGAGAGGAGATTGAGAGGGCGCGTCAAGAAGAGAAATCCAGTTAGGAGCTAGATCTTTAGATGTAAATAATCGCATGTCTATGCCTCCCTCTAAATCCTAATCATACACCTAGTCGCGCCTCAACATGTCAAGACGGCGCTGGAGATCGTCCTCTTCGCTCCCGCCGCCGCCCGGGGGCGGGGTCGGTGCACTGGCTGCACCCGCGCCTTCCGCGACCGCCACACGTGCACTGAGCATCGGCTCATTGACAGCGGGGTTGGCCGTTGGTGCGCTTGCGAGCTACCGTCAGTCCTCGCCAACCTTCAGCTCACCGAGTCACTCATGTTCATGCCGATCTCGTCCAGCACCTCCTTGAGGATCTTGTCGCTCTCGACCTCCTCGCCTTCCTCGTCCTCGTCCTCCATCGCGTCGTCCACGGCATCGCTCATCATCTCCTCCTTCATGTCCATTGTCGCGCTCTCCTTCTCGAAGTCGTTCATGATCTTCTGAATCTGTCGTTAGCCCTTCCATAGGTCCCACTTGCCTGTGGAAGGTTGAGCGAGCGATTCATCTGCCCCATCGCACGCGTGGCGCCCTTCATCGCGCTCGCCATCTGCTCGTTCGAACGCAGCGTCTGCATCCGCAGCGACACAGCCTGCAGCTGCACCCGCATCTGCGTAAACTTCTGCATGTACCGGCGCGTGCGGACGAGGTCCTTGGCGAGGATCTTGCATGCGTTCTGGTGTCAGCAGTGCCACCGGCAGCGGCGCACCATGTTGCCGGCCTTGGCGTTCTTCTTGATGTCCGCCATCGTCTTCTTCTCCTGCTGCTCAAGCTTCGCGCGCTCGCGCTCCAGCTCGCGCTGGGCCTTCTGCAGGCTGCGCTGGTGTTGTCGCAGCCGCTCGGCGGGCGTCATGGAGCGCCCGAAGAGTGTGTCCTATGACGTCGGCGTAGAGGGAGGAGGCGGCGAAGCGGAGGCAGTGGAAGGCGGCGTCAGCATTTGAACGCTTGCAGAGGAGGCGGTCTCACGAGGATGTTCATGGTTGCGTCTTGAGAGGGAGGTGTTGACGAAGAGCGAGATGCTGTCCGCCTCGTCGAAGTGGACGATGTATATCGGGCCCGATGACGGCCCCCGCAGCTCACAGCCGCCACCCAACATTGGTTCCGCCCTGAGGCGCCGGATCTGCTTCCGTTCGGCCACTTATGAGGTGGAGGGTGCTGCGCGTACCGGTGGAGGAAGAGGGCGCGACTTGCTCTCATCTCTCAGCACAGTAGAGATCACCATCGCTAACCTCGCTCTCAAGCATTCGACACTGGGCCTTGGACTTGTTGGAGCGTATCAATACTCGCACGCACGCTTGCGCACTCCAAAAACCATGCTGTGGAGGAGATTGACAGCGTTGGCGCTGCTTGCCACTGGCGCCTTCCCACAAGAAGAAGTGGAGCTTCGGCAACTCAACGAAGATAACTTCAAGGCGACTATCGCACACGGCGTCTGGTGGGTTCCCCGTAAATGGAGCGAGCCCAGCTGACAACCAGGCTGGTTGAACACTTCTCACCACGGTGTGCGTCGGCTCACCCGACATCTTAGACCGCGGCTGACGGCAGGTTCCCACTGCAAGGCGTTCGCGCCGACATGGGAGGAGCTTGCACACGAGAAGGCATACCATGAGCAGCTTACCGGCTTTCACATGGCGCAGGTCAACTGTCTCGCGCAGGGCGACTTGTGCAACTCGAACGACATTCGGGGATGTAAGCACCTCCTTCGGCTCGGCTGACTCAGACCCCTCCCTCATCCTTTATGCCGACGGCAAGGAAGTTGGCGAGTTTAAGGAGGACCGCGCGTATCCTATTCTCGAGGCATGGATTGAGGAGAAGGCGCTTGCGTATGCCCGCGGGGAACCCCTTGGCGCCACGGTCGAGGAAGGCGAGCAGGAGGAGGAGCGGCCAACCCAACTCAGCAGACCAAACCCGGACGGAAAGGTCGTCGAGGTAGACGAGGCTGGGTTGGAGGCGCTCAAGGCAAACGGCCCCGTTTTCGTTGACTTCTTCGCCCCGTGGTGCTCCCAGTGAGTCGCAGTGTCGCTAATAGCCTGACATCAGTTGCAAGAAGCTGCGACCAATATATGAGAAGCTCGCCGCCGCTTACAAGGGCGCGCTGAACATCGTTGCAGTTAACTGTGATGACCATCCCTTGGTGTGCAGGCGCAACGGTGTAATGGGATATCCTACCATCAAGCTGTTCCAGGACGGCGAGGTGAAGCCGTTCGAACAACATCGCACTATCTCTCTCATGACCAAGTTCTTGGACGAGCAGGTCAAGGGGTAAGCTGAGTCAGCTTGTGCGATGACTGACGATAGTGTACCCATGAAAAAGATCATGAGCGAGGACTTTGAGAGTATCGTCGCGAACGACGACATCTTCTTTGTCTTTGCCACCAGCTATGCTACGTCTCTGGAGGAGATCGTACGGGCACGCCGAATGTAGCCGCTGACCGTCTCAGGAGCAGGTAGAACGGGCCGTCAAGCCATTAGGCCTCTCGGTCCCGGTGTACAAGACGAACGACCCGCTATTCTACAAGAACCAGAGCATAGCCATGCCTCCCCCCACGTCGTCGCTTCTGGCCTTTGCTTCTCACGACCCTCAGCATGTCAGCGCAGTGGCGCTACCAGCAAAGGATGAGGATCTCCGCCTCTTCGTGCAGAGGAATCGGTATCCGAACTTCTTCGAACTGTCCGGGGACAACTACAATTCTTTGTTCCAGGCGGAGGACCACCCACTCGTCGTGTTGGGGGCTATCCGCGATGGTGCAGACGGGGAAAGTGAGCGGCAAGAGATGCTCAAGACGGCGAAGGCGTGGAAAAAGGGCGGGCGGCCATTTGAGCAGCGTGTTCTCTTCGTTTCGGCTAGCGCCGTGAACTGGGAGAAGTGGCTGCGCAAGATGGTCGGCATTTTCCCGGTCAACATTCCCGCCCTCGTGGTCATCGACACATCCAAGAACGAGTTCTACGACCAGACAATCGAGGGCGAGCACGCGCACGTCAGAGGTGCGGACGCGTTCTCAGTTCTCGAGGGTATCTACCAAAACTTCCTGACCGGCAAGGCGATCGAGAGCGCGTTAGAATGGGGCTCCCGCAGCGGCACGCTCTTGCTCTTTGAGGCTGGGCAGTGGAGCGCTGCTCACCCCTTCCTTGCGACGCTCGGTGCGCTAGCATGTGTCGTGGGACTCGTGCTTGCCCTCGCGCGTTGTCTGGGTGGCCGTCGCCCCAGCACTCGTGGTGGGTACATGAACGAGAAGGGGGTTCAGCGGCTCGACTAGTGTTGGCGCCTGTTTGTACTGGTATACATCTGCACTGCATCGCGTTATACAACAGAATCATGTGGGAACATGTGGGGAGTACGTGCACTGGGGCGCGTTAGTCTGACTGCGACCTCCGACTGAGCATATGAGGACCACGAGGGAGACAATCGCCCTCTGATTACTACAGAAGTCGCCGGTCGCAGACTGGAAGTCAGAGTGACGTCGATGTATCAAAGTCGCCGGTGGACGATCGGAGATGACCTGGCCGGCGACTTTGTGCAAGAGGATCGATTCCTGTGGGACGCAATTGCGAGCATTATTCCTGTCCTCGTTCTGCCTCTTCACATCTCTCTGCGATCTCTGCTTTCTGTTCTCCTCACTTCCTTCTACTTTTCTTCACAATGTCCAAGGCGTGTCTGGTGCGCGGTTCGATCAGTGAGTCCCTTATTGCCTTGCTCCCACCTTCCCACTAACGCAGACATCGACGAGATCTACACCCTCCCACACATCGTGCGGCCAGGGGAGACGATCGCGTCAACAGGCTACGACCAGAAGACGGGCGGCAAGGGCTCAAACCAGGCGTACGCTGCCGCACGGGCGGGTGGGCGCGTGGTGCTCGACGCCCAGATCGGCGCCGACGGCCTAGCGGTACGCGACCGCATTGCGGCCGGCGGGGTGGATGTGAGCCGCGTACGCGTGGTGGAGGACGAGGTGAGTCACGGTCACGGTGTTGGGTCTGTGCGGTGCGTGGGTCACTAACACCAGGTGACCGGCCGGGCGATCATCCAGCGCTCTAACGAGGGCGAGAACTCGATCGGTGCGTGTACCTTTTTCGCCGCTCACCCCAGTCCTGCACGCCGGCGCCAACTTCGCCAACCCAGGCGCCAAGCCCGAACTGGACGGCTTCACCCACCTGCTGCTGCAGAACGAGATCCCGCTCGAAGACACGCTCGCGTACCTGCGCGAGGCGGGGCGGCGGGGCCTGACCACCATCTACAACCCCTCGCCCATGCCGACCCGGGAGCAGCTGCGCGCCTTCCCCTGGTCCTGCCTGACACACTTGATCGTGAACGAGGGCGAGCTCGCCGACATTGCGACGGCCTTCGACGCTGCGCCGACAGAGGGCAGTGTCGCGGAGACGGCGCGCGCGCAGATGCACGCTCTCAGCCGCGCCGAGGGCTTCAACCCCTCCATCGTCATCGTCACCACGATCGGGCCCGAGGGCGTCCTCGTTCTCGACCCGCGCAAGGGGGAGACGTTGGCGTGGCCGGCGGCGCCCGTGTCCAAGGTCGTGGATACCACCGGCGCGGGCGACACGTTCGCGGGATACTTCGTGTCGCTGCTTATGGAGAAGGGCGACGACGCGCCACTGGATGCCATCATCCCCATCTGCCTCACTGTAAGAGGTGCCCGGAGTAGAGCTGACAAGCAGGCGTGTGCGCTCACTGTGGAGACGGCTGGCGCGATGGAGAGCATTGCTGCGCGGAAGGACGTTGATGCTCGTGTAGCGCGGTAGTAGCTGGACAATATGTATTGAGATCCCTTGCGGGCTGTGTTACCGCTTGACCTCTCCACTAGCTGCACGCCCCGCCCACCGCGGAAGTGATGATGCTTCATGCAATGCAAGATGCGAGATACGTCTATATCTATTCGTCGGCCTTGACGCGGCCGAACCCCTTGGTCTTCTCGAGCGGCAGCTCGCCAAAGCCGAAGCCCTTACCAAACCCGCTCTTCTTGCCCGCCTTCTTCCCCCCTTCACCATACTGCTCCGCCCACTTGCGCAGCTCCGGCAGCGTCCCTTCCTCGCTCGACGACGGCCGAATTTCGGTCAGCGCCGTGTCAAAGTGCTTGGCATGCACGACACGGTCGGCGTACGATGGCCGCGGGGCAGTCTCAGCTGAGGCCTCGGAGGAGGCGTTCTCCGCGCCCTCCGTCTTAGTTGCAGATTCAGTCTCCGTCTCGGGAGTGGGCTGGGCGCCCTCAGCTACGCCCGCCTCCGCCGCCCGCGTGTCCGCCTCGTCCTTCGCTCGCGCTTCCAGCTGCTTCAAGTACGCCTCCTCCACGAGCTTGGCCGCTGGCGAGTTCCCTGCCGTCAAGTCGACAGCGGTGGCCTGCGGCGCCTGCGGGACCGTCACGGGCTCGTGCGCCTCGCTCGCGGCCTCCTCCTCCACCGCGATGGGCAGGTCCTCGCGCGCGCCAGGCCCATGTCCAGGCGACGAGGTCGGTACTGGCGTTGGCGTTGACGAGGCAGCCAGCCCGTTCTTCCACGGCACGACGACCATTTCCTTGACGGCCGCGAGGGCGGCAGCCACACAGAGGTCTGGGGTCAGCTCAATATCACCGCAACTCACGCTTCAGGTCCGAGCCTGAGAAGCCCTCGGTCTTCTTGGCGATGGCGTTGATGTCAACGTCAGAGGCAAGCTTCTCGTTGCGCAGCAGGATGTTGAGGATCGCCTTGCGGTCCTCCTCCGTCGGCAGGTCGACGAGGAGGCGGCGCGGGAGACGGCGCAGGACCGCATCGTCGAGATCGAAGGGCCGGTTGGTGGCACCGAGCACGACGACGCGCTTGTCGCGGTTCGCGTTGGCCGAGCTTAGACCGTCCATCTCCTGCATGAACTCAGTGAGGATCTGATTGTGGGCCTTGGAGCCGCCGGACGAGTCGCGGGCGCTGCGCGCTCCGAAGAGCGAGTCGACCTCATCAATGAACACGACACATGGCGACAGGCGGCGGGCAATGTTGAACACAGCCTTGACAAGCTTCTCGCCCTCACCGACCCACATGTCGTTGACGTCGCTCGGCTGGATGGCCAGCATGCGCGCGCCGCTCTCTGCAGCGATCGCGCGCGCAAGCAACGTTTTACCCGTGCCAGGAGGACCGAAGAGGAGCGCACCAGACGTGACATGATCCTTAAGAATACCGCCCTGGAAGGCCTCGGGGAAGAGCAGCGGAAGCGAGATGACCGTGCGGATCGCATCGATGGTGTTGAACGGAAGGTGGACGTCCTTGAAGGACGACGATGCCAGCTTCTGCTGGTCGACGATGCACGACAGTAGCCGCTTCTCGTGCTTGTTCAGATCCTTGGACTTCTTCAGAGCCTCGACAACCGGATCCGTGGGCGCGTGTGCCTTGGACTGCTTCTGCCGCATTTTGGCCTGAGCAATGTCCGATGCCGCGAGGTACTGCGCCACTGTGTCGGTGACCTGGCGTTCGTGGTCATACGCAATCGCGCGCGCCTCCTGGATATCCTTCCACTTGAGTACGAGCTTGTCCGTCGGCTGCTCCACGGAGACCGCAGCCTTGCCAACAGCGGTGCTCGCGAGATCGATGGCGTCCTTCCATCCGATCACGAGCTCGCTCCACTCTGGGTCGGGCTCCTTAAGGCGTTGGAGGCGACGCTGGCGACCGCGCGGTGGCGCCGAGTCAGGGGCCTCCAGCATTGACAGCGGCTCGTCAAGAGTAGCGCCGAGCTGACCGACGGCGCGCATCATAAGCGCAGCGTTGAGCGCGCGACGGCGGCGCGTGCGCTCGTGCTGCTCAAGCGCCGTGTCACGCGTTGAGGGCACGATAGCAAGCGTTTTCCACACAATGGACTCGGATACACTGTCCTCCTTGTTCTTCTTGTTGCGGCCCATCAGCATGTCGAGAATAGGATGAGAAGTTGGCTGCTGTTGCTGGTTCGAGGAGGCGCCGAACGGGAGAAGCGCGCTGGCACTGCCGTCAGCTGGGGACCGCGGACTCTCTCCAACTTACCCGTTGTGGAGAATGGCGCGGAGGCGGCGCTCCTCGCGTCGCTGCCGACCCTCAACGTCGTGTTCCTCGCTGCTGAACCAGAGCTTCTCCTCACCCTTGTCCGCGCCGCCATCGACATGGATGGTGCTGACGGTCGCGCCAAGCGCCTCGACAACCGAACGGAGGCGATCCCTGCCTTCCTCGGCAGCGGCTTCTCCCCCTGGCTCAGACATATACGCGGTGTGAGGAAGTAGCAAGCTCGGCGGAATGGAGAGGACGATCGTAGTAGGCTGCAGCGTCTCGCTCTTCTTGCCCTTGTGCACCGGACGGCGGCGCCGGCGCACCGCCTCGAGTAGGTGAGGCCACCACACGTCAAGCGTCTCGGCGAGCGCGGCGGTCGACTCAAGCAGGATAATGCGGCGGCGCGTCGACGCCTGCTCGCCCTCCGTCTGCATGTTGATAAGGCTCGAGAAGAAGGAAACCCACTCTTCCTCATTCTCGGGGCGGCGCGGAGTGGGCCCCGGCATTCCGAAGGGCGAGCCCCCTGGGATCGCCGCCATCAGAGGGATCCGCACCATGCCTGGCATGCCGTTCTGTTCCTCTTCGTCTCCAGCCTCCTCCTCCTCCACCATCTGGTGCCCGTGCTCGGCAGCAGGCGGAGTCTGGAAGAGCGGGTTACTCGCCTGCGCCATAGGCGGCGCGGTGATGCCTGTTTGTCAGCTCAACCCCACATGTTGCAACCTACCCGTCTCAGCGAGCGGGGCGTACGGCCCGTCAAAGCCCACGCCGAGCGCAAGGTCAAGTCGCACAACGTCTGCCGAGAGGTGGCTCGCGACCTCATGCACTGCGCGCGCGATGTACGCGTCGCCACCTTCAAACGGCGTGACAAGCGCGATAACTGGATCTTCGCTGGCGGAGTTGGAAGGGCGCTCCTCGGAGTGATTGTGGTGATGTGGCCCCGCCTGTGGCAGGAACACGCCGCGGGGACCCTCGGCAATAATGGACGGCCGTTCGCGACCAGTGTCTTTCGGCGTTGACGGCTGGTTGGCGGGCACAAACGATGTCGCTAGATGATTGAAGAGAACATGGTGCTCGGATGGCAAGGGTTCACCCGGCGTTCCCGGCGTCGTCAGCGTGGTGACGATTGCGGGAAAGGAGGGCGGCGTTGGCTCATCGCCCTCCGGCACCTCAACCTCTTCTGGTGGATCGGCGGCGTTCTCAGTCGTGGTCGCATGTTCTGCAGCTGTTGTGGTGGTCGTGCGCGATCCTTTAGGCGTCCGCGCGGAACGCGGGAGGCAGCGCGCCGATGTTGTCGCTAGCGGTCTCGCGATGCGGGAGACTGCGGGAGACCATTGTGTATGCAATGCCGAGCTCGCTACGCGTGAGCGTAGCGAGTTTATTGTTTTTGCATGTCGTGGTCGCATTTGATGATAGATGTGGACGATGTCAACCGAATCCCCCGAAAATCGGTCGGTGACTTGCACGGTCTGGGTGGCAAAGCGGCATCAACTCTGCCCATCACAATCGGACATGTGCGGACGACTCGCGTCCCTGTTTCCGAGATCTTACGCCGAATCATCGTGAGGATAAACATGTGCAGTATTGCATGCCCGGGGGAAACTGTATGCGTGAAGAGCAGCCTGTGCAAGGCCGCTCCTGTTTTACATAGTGGCTGACGTCTAGAATATTCTTTACAGGTTCTCTTCCGCTTCCAACTCGGCGTCGGACGCCGCTTTCCTCTGGAGATCTGCTTGCCTCTTAGCCTGACGCTCAGCGTCTAGGCGCTGACCTGCGTCCGGCCGAGGACCATAGTGGGTCATAGCCCAGTCCGCTCCAGAGACCTGCTCGTTCAGCTTTGTACTCTTGCTCTGTAGCTCACCCAATGACTCAGTCTCAGCACAATGTCAGGCAGCAGGGCCGATGCGGGATTGAGCAACCGTGCGGATTGAGTAAAGAAGGGCAGACGAAGGACCGTGTTGGCTCGTCCCCCGCCCAGAGCGCCAACGATCGCGTCCGCCACCTCTGGTGGCGTCAAGGATGGCACAAGCAATCGGAGGAAGAAGGACTTAGGAAGAATGGTCTTGGTGAACATGCCAGTCAAGATATGGCCGGGGAGAACGAGTGTTGTCCGGACCTCAGACGCATCGTAGCTGCGATGTCAGACTTGTATAATACGTCATGACCCACCGATAGTCAATCTCATTGCGAAGGCACTGGTGGAACGCGACTGTGGCGGCCTTTGACGCGCAGTAGTCGGCTTTCCGTCAGATTCGTCCCCCACACAGCACATACCGCATTGCGCCACACCAATGAGGCCTAGAACGCTAGAAATGTTGACAATGTGGCCGCGTCGTGCACGTAGCATGGGAGGAAGGAACTCCTGGGTGATCCAGAACGCGGCCATGGTATTGACGCCGAAGGAGCTATCGTTAGTTGTGATGCGTTCACGGTGACTCACTTCTTTATCTCCTGTTCGGACAGGTCGAGAAGCAACTTGCCGTTTACAACGCCAGCATTGTTCACGACGATAGAGGGGTGTCCAACCTTGAGTGTGAGCAATGTGTGGAAGTTGAAATATCCAAGCGCACCTCTTCGCGCACCACCTTCGCCACACGGGCAACAGTCGCGCGGTCCGAAACGTCGCACACGTAGTACTTGACGCCGAGCTCTTTCTCCGCTGGCTCGTGGTGACAGAGCACGACAACGGTCGCACCTCGCTTGAACACCTTCCTTGCAAGCTCAAGCCCAAGGCCTGTTGCGCCTGCAGTCAGCTCATATCTCCCCCATGCACGCACCGCCCGTGACAAGCACGATCTCCTCGCTGAGATCCACTTTCGATGCGGGAGAGAGGTACACCGCCCAACCGAGGGCAGCGGCTGTTGTCAGAGTACACGCCTCTGCATTCAGGCCTACCCAGCGTCAGACATGGCCCGATGAGCTTGAAGAACAAAGGATGGTAGTAGCCAAGAGAGAGCATGCCAAAGCTGACGGCTGGTATGCCCAGGAGTACAATCCACATTAGCCAGACCGCTGCGCTGTCAGCGGCATGACGAGAGCAGCAGGCTCACCATCGTCCACGGTGAAGATGCGCCAAAGTGGTGGAACCTGAACTGGGCCAACATCCGCTGAGCCAGAGTTTGCGCGGCCCGCGTCCTCCCGGTCAGGCGTGTTATCTTCCATTGCGTGAGGCGTGGAGAGGAGCGAAGAGTAGATGTACGAGGATGAAGATGCGAGTGGATCTAGTGGTAACATTCGTGGTGGAGGTCGTGGATGTCCAGTCATCTGCCGCTTTTTGATGTGCAACCGTCGGGATTCGAACGGCGACGCTCGGCTCCTCGGCAGAGATTATGCTTACGATCAGCGCGCGTGCTCGTGTCCCTGGTTCCAGGAATGGCCAAGGCACGATCCTTGCTCAAGTTCAATTCAGACCTTCTGGTGCCAGGTGGAGGTGACTGCGGCGATCCTCCGGCGAGAGCGCGATTTCTGGTGTCACTTTCACACTCTCTCTCACCTCAGACGGTCTCGGCATGCGGCTCCTCCTCCTCGCCGCTTTCTTGGCGCCCGTCCGCGCTATTGCGGGCGAATGCTTGCGCGAAGCCGACCACACCACTATCAATGCGCTCTTCAGTGAAGGTGGCCCCGGCACCAAAGTCTACCTCTGCCCTAAAACCGAGGTGCAGTTGTCCGGCACTATCGTCTTCACCGCCGCGGACCAGGAGCTGGCGACGCTGGGATATCCCGGAGGCGAGCGGCGCGCAAAGCTGCGCATCGTCTCCGACCATGTCGCGACAGCCATCCAGGGCGACTGCCGTCGGTGCGCGCGCGTGGCCGTGCGCAATCTCGTTATCGACGGGGGGCGGCGCGCGCTCGGGCGCGTGCGCGACGCAAACTCTTCCCCCGGCCTGGTCATTCTGGGCGGCAACGAAGGACAGGCCGTGCGCGAGTGCGCAATTTCGGATCCTCGCGGGTTCACCGCGGTGCACGTGCGTGAAGGCGCAAAGCTCAACTGCCGCGGCGCTGTCATCGAGCGCAACGAGATCACATCCGTCGGTGAAGAGTACGACCCTGCGTATGACGGCGCCGATCCCGAAGCCTCGCCCTGGGGCCGGCCACTGGCCGACGGCATTAGCATCGCCTGTCGCAACTCGTATGTTCGCGACAACACGCTCATCGACTGCACAGATGCGGGCATCGTCGTTTACTGTTCTCCGGGTACCAAGATTGAGAACAATCACGTGTCGACGGAGCGCCGGAGCGCAATCGGTGGCATTCTGCTCGTGGACTCGCAGCCCTTTGGTGGTGACTACTCCGGCGTCATGGTCAAGAACAACGTGCTTGACGCCGCTGCGCGCGCCATGCGCGTTGGTATTGGCGTCGGCCTGAGCGTGCTCTCGGATGACATCGAAACGATCCTCAAGGGCGGAAGTGTGATCAGCAACCGCCTCACCGGTGATTACATGGGCTATGGTATCGCAGCGGCGGGTCTGAAAGGCTGGACGATCAAGGACAACTATGACGATGCCCGCTACGAAGGCGAGCCATCCGGCAGGTGCTTTGACGATCCCGTCAACCCACCTCCACAGGCGTTCATCTACAACGCGGTCACGCTCGAGACGTCCCACGTGCAGGACGGTTTCTTCGACTCTGACTTTGCCTACAGTGAGTGTGCACGGACGCGCCCCTGCTGATTGCCAGTTGTCTGTATCGACGGTGTTGGGGAGGTGCCGGTCCGCTATAGGAAGGATATGGACCCAGAACCCGATGCGGCTTCACACGGGTCGCCCGACCACGACACCGCATCCTCCGAACAGCCACTCCCGCCAATATCGACAGAGGAGCGTGATGCCGAGGCCGAATTGCCACCGCCAGAAATACTGCCCGGGGGCCTTCTGTCGACCGGCAACAGCGTGCTTGACGGCATTCTCTTGCACTCGCAGCAGCGCCTCTTCGACAGAATCGACGAGATCACCAGCGGGGTGCACTTATCACTTTCCCGCCCTTCGCCTGCACGTGCGCAGGTCGAAGACTCGGACACGCTGCCGTCTCTCCACGCGCGCTTGGCTGAGCTCGAGCACTCTCAAGCGCGCCTTCTCTCAGCCACCCGCGACGTGCAGACCGCGCTCGCGCGCCTCCGCACCAAGGTGAGCGAGGTGGACGTGTGGGAGGGCGAGGTGCTGCAGTCTATCCAGGAGGAGGTGACGGCGCCTCACGACAAGCGGGAGTATGGGGACGACACTTTCGAGGACGACGGGTTTGCGAGCGTATTCGACTGGCCCGTCCGCGTCATCCTACTTGGCGGTCTTTGTTCCGCCGTCGCGCTGGCTGTGCGCAGATTCCGACGGCCGACACACGACAAGATCGTGTGATCGTGGGATCCCGGTGCTGGATCGATCGCGGGTGTGGGAGGACACGGGACATGTACAACAGCATAGATATAGACAATGGCACGACAGGACATGACACAGCGGAGAGCTCGCGAGCTGGTCGGGCTGCCGCGCGATCAGAGGCACGTGCATGTGCACGACAAAGGTGGTGATTGTTGCCATGTCTGCTTGTGCGTGGTGGAAGTGTGGGGCAGGGTGGGGTGCACGGTGACGGCGGCCCGATCTGCGGTGGCGTGGGACGAAAGCTGGAATCCGGTGCGAGCGTGGCGGCGGCCGGGGGCTGCGCAAGGGCCACAACAGGCGATGCGGCCGGCCGCGAACCGCTTTTGCGTGGGACGCCGACCACCTCGGCTTCGATACGCCCGTGCGAGGGCACAAGGCTACGGCTGCCTCGCCTTCATGAGGATCCGGATCTCCACCGATCCACCGTCACTCATAATCTCACTCTCCATCTGTCTCTCAATCGACCTCTCCTCCAACCGCATCCACGTCTTCAGCCACAAGCCACTACATATTGCGCCTCGGAGGCCTGAGCCCTCCGCCACCCCGCATACCCTCCGCCGCACACCCATGCCGCAGTTCACCTTCTTCAGCTCGCCGGCGCCGCCATCACCGCCGCCGAGCGCCAAGTCGCGCAGATTCAGCCTGCAGCTCCACAACCCCCTGCCGCCATACTATGCGCGCCGCAAACGCCCTATGTCCGAGTACAAGCCCGAGCCCGACTCACATATGAAGAGCCACCAGCTCAAGGCACAGGGCGAGATGCTCAAGACCAAACAGGCCAAGCTCGCCGCCCAGGTACCCCCCGTGTCGCCGCCCCTCTGGCACCGCCCTTTGCCACGCGTGCCGCGCGCCCTCCCCATCCCTCCCGCAGAGGACCGGTGCCGCTGCTCAATCTGCAAGCGTGCCGAGGGTGAGTACACCGCAACGCCCGAACTGCGCTCACACACAGCATCCCAGGGCACACAAAACGAGAGCGACCGCCTGTCACGTCTCTCCTTGACGTCGGACGAGTCACATATCTCGCGCTAGATTGCGCTCGTCAGTGCTATGCATCCGCAGCCGGATCGGTCGAAACGAAGGACAGTTGTAACTTGTAATGGACACCCCAAGAAATTAGTAACCCGTATCCTGTGACGATTGCGAGGTAGAGCAAAGCGTCTACTGCCGATGCAGACACTGTGATACATTACAAGAAGAAGACGACGTTAGCTCTGATTCTGGTTATGGACCTGGTTCTGGCTCTGATTCTGGCGATCGGCAGCCTGGAAACGCTCCTGAGTCTGCACACTGTCAGCTCCGTGTCGCAACATGACCCACCATGTCCTGCGCGCGCCTCTGCCAGCCACCTGGACCTGACCAGCGTCCTGGGTCACGCCCAGCCGCTGCGCCCAACCCAGCGCGCTGCTCAAACTGCTGCACGCGCACAGGCTCGGCGCGCCCGTCCTCGTTCACGCCGAGACCTGTCCCACCCGTCCAGCCCATCTTGGCGAGGAGCTTGTTGCCGACATTCTCCGCCGGGGCGATGGGCTTTAGTGCAGGGGCGGGGGCTGCCTCTCGGCTACCTGCAGCGAGGCGCGCGTCTGGGGGCAGCGCTGGACGGTCAGGCTGTTGGTGGACCTCTCGGCGCTCGGCGGCGCGATCGCGGAACTGTAGGTTGGAGCCAGTCTGGGCGGCGACAGCATTATTCTTGCGCCGCTTGCCGGCCTCTCGGATAGCAGGATCCCCAAGGTTAGTCTGTATTCACAATGTACACGGTCGGAGCCAGTTGCGAGAGGATAGAGGTGGTACGATACAGGTTTGGTTGGAAACATTGGTGTTTGTGACACGATGAGAAGGGGTATGAGGAATTTGGAAAGCAAATTCAAGCAAGTCGCGGATGTAATCAATGGACGAGGTCAGTGACCCATTCTGCCTGAACCTACGCGGTTCAGGAATGGAAGTGCGAGCCTTGTGTAGTTCTGACTGCGCGTTGTGCTTGCGCAGCATTTCCTCGGACTTGAACTGTCGCTGGCACAGCAGACACGCCACTTTGCCAGTTGCGGCAAAGTTGTAGGTGTCGCCGTAGTCGAAATCGCTGTTGCTTGAGGGCTGCGGCTGCGCCTGATGTGGGGCTGGAACCGGTACTTGAGCCAGTGGCGCTGCGTTAGCCGCAGATACTCCAGCCGGAGGGGCGCCAGGTGCCTTGGGTTGCCGTGGCTTGGAGAGCTCGGTTTGCTTGGTGTTCCACTTGTTAATGAAGCCTGCGACCTAGAGTTACGTGAGCAGGAGCGATGAGGAGAGGATCCGCAGCATGCAATCTTTACCTTCCGGCTGGTCGAAGTGGGGGGGACGATGTGCGCGCCTTTGGCTGAAACGTCAGTCACGTCGAGTAGGTCCACTAACTCCTTGAAGGCAGTGTCGAGTCCTTGCCCACGAGATCGACCTCATCATTATCGTCGACAAGGGCCTTGGACATAATCTCGACCATCACAGGCTCCTCCTTGGGCTTCTTCTTGATCGCATTGCCAAAGCCGATCTTGATGGGCTGCATGCCTCCGACGAGAGGGCCGGTGGGCGTCTCAGCAGCCTGCGCAGAGGTCGATGACTCGGTGGGCGAGTTCACTACACCGCTGGCAGAAGCAGCCGCCTTTGGAGGCTTCCACTTGCCACCCAGGTTGCCCAGGAAACGCCGGGTCTCGTCGCTGAGCTCGATGGAAGCGCCGCGTGCAGGTACGGGAGGCGCGCCGCGCGGGAGAGTCTCGACGGCGCCAGCCTGCTGATGCCAGTAAGTGCAATACTCGCCATCGGGCGAGGTGATGGTGGTCGCGCCAATGCCACCGTCGGCAGCCGCTCGGAGGAGGAACTGGCCACCCATCGGTCCACATGGCGTGGGGATGAACGCGTTCACATTGGCAAACGACGCAGCGATCGGCACGCCTGAGATCAAAAAGCCCGTAGGCTGGTGCTGTGGAAGAAAGAGGAAAGGCATGAGCGCGCTCGCAAGCTCCGGAGTTACGAGCTCAACGAAGGCGAAGCCCCACGAAATGGCAGAGGCTCTGTCGACAATCATGACCACGCGCGAGATGCACGCCTCGGCATCGCGCTGAGTGCCCTTCCCGAGCATGCGCGTGATCTCCTCTGCTAGACGGCGCACAACCTCGCCGGCGTACGTCCCTGGATCCAAGCCACGAAGGAGGAGCACGCGGCTGCCCCCGCCAGGCTGCCCGATGTCGCGGGTGCCGTCATGACGCGCGCCGAGCTGAGGTACGGGGGTTGGCGCGTCATCCAGCCGCGAACCGGCGAAGTCGATCTTGACGCGGCGCGGCTCGCTGTGAGCGAAGAGCGCAGGCATGGTGACGTGTGGGAAGCTGTGGTCAGCTATGTGCAGTCCGTTGCGCCTCGCGATTTGGACCACGGAAGAGTGGTGCAGAAGGTGCTGGGGGTGGGGCTGGGCAAATCTGAACTCACTTGTCCTTCATGAAGCGCGTGGACTGCTCGAGTGTTGAGAACTGCGCGAATCCAAAGCCCTTGGACTGACCCGTCGCGCGCTCTCGCACGATCTTGGAGCTCTCAACGTCGTAGCCATGCTCGACACGGAGATATCCCTCGAGCTCCTTCTCCGTCAGCTCGGGGTCGAGGCCGAGAAAGATGACGTCGCGACTAGGATCGGATTTGGCGCGCGAGTCATCGAAGCGGCCCCTCGGTGCGCGGTCGTAGTCTCTGCGATCACGATCATCCCGGCGCGGAGCGCCGTAGTCGCGCTCACGGCTGTCGTGGTCCCGGCGCGGGCGATCGTCGTAGTAGTCGCGATCGCGGTGGCGGGGGGGAGGGACACGCTCATCGCGGTCGCGGTCGCGCGGGGGAGGCACCCGATCATCGAATTCTCGATCACGGTCATACTCGCGCCGGGGTGGACGACGGTCGTCGTACCGCCGCGGGGAGTGCGACCGGGAGCGCGACCTGTGCACAGGGCCCGAGGGCGAGTACGCCCTATTCGGTGGCGAGCGTGAGGGATAGCTCATGTGGGTGGCAAAGTGAGGCGAGAGGAAGTGGGTATGGGACGCACAAAGGCCTTGGTGTGGGCGGCAATCGAGGGGCAACAAGCGGGATCAAATTCCTCATTCATGGCATGACGGAATCGGGCAGTGTGGCGTGGCGGATGGATGTTGGAGGACAGCGAGCAGATAGCCAGCATCAACCTTGCGCATCATCGAGCAATGCCTTGGTGTAAACAACCAAGCGCCTGAGATCCACATAGCACCTGTGCCCCGGTGCGAAACCTCTATGCAACGGGGGATCGCCCGCCCACCTGACATCGCCTTCTAAAGCCCATCCTCGGTGTCAGCCCCTCTTTCAAATGAAAAAAGCTCAGACAGTCGGGCAGTGTTGAGAGCACAGAAAATTGGAGAAATGTATTATGAATCAAAATTCACATTCAAGCCTCACGATTACACGCCTTAGGACGCTTTCACGCGTTAGGACGCTTTCACGTCGAGGAAGCCGGCACGACGATGCTATGGCTGAACGGAAAGGTGCCTCTTCGAACACAAGTGCATCTCACCTGCAACAGCCAATCCTTCGAGCACTACTTCTCCAAGCAATAGTCCGATTCGCACGTGTGGTAGTCAGTCCGCTCCCAGCCTCGGTCTCGGCGCCGCTCTTCCTTGTCGTACTCTGTTCCTCTCTGACCTTCTTCCCCAGCTCCACGCTACCTCTTCGCGAGAGCTCTCCGCCCAACCTGTCGGTTCATTTGTCGCTCTCGTCCTTTACTGACTTCGCGCTCATCCCCGATCAATGATTTTACTGCTCTTGTTTGTGCCTTGATCATTGTCGGCAAGAGCCTCATCCAGATCCGAATAGTCGCAGAGGCCGTCCGAGTGGTCCGAAAGAGAGTTCCGAATGATCCTCCTGGCGTTAGCGTAGGCCATTAATCAGCACTAACTCCATGCGCATAACCTGAGCCCCTAGAGTGGAGTTTTCACGTCGTAAGCGCAGATTATCTGCTGAAAGAGATTCGATCCGCGATCGTAGCTCGTCTAGTTGCTCTTGAAGAGGTCTGACTAAGGTTTCTCTCCATTCCCAATCCCGGCAGACCTGGTCAGCCTGGCGCTTGGCGTCCCTCTCTTCGAGAGCCATCTGCGTCCAGTCTTCCTGCTCTCTCGTCTCCTTGACGTAACTCTTCACTGCCTTCATCTCTTGCTCGACCTCTGTGGCTTTTCGACGGAGAACGTGAATGGCCCCCATGGTCTCTCCTCTCCAGGCGTCGAGCATGGGACTGACTGCCTCTGTAATGGCGCGATAAAGCCGCCTTGTGCGGGTGCTTGTCGGGCTTGGAGGAGGAGGATGTACATCCGGAGGAGTTCCCATAGTTGGGAGCCACTCCAGGTCGTCGCCTGGGATCCAGCTCACCCGCTTCCCCGAAGTGCTCTTGTCGTCGTCGGAAGAAACAGGTGCACTCAATGGGCGTGCTTGAAGGGCTGCAGACGATAGCGGTCGAGGGGGCGAGTCGGGCCAGATCAGGATGGAGTTGGAGGAAGAACAACGGCGAGTTGGGCCAGGGGCTTTTTGCCACAGTTCTCTGACGTCGTTCAACTTCGGGCTAGGACGAAGAATGGACGTAGGAATGGTGTCATTGGCCGCAAAGGGACAAGCTTCATGCTGTTTGGAAGCATTCTTCTCATCGGCGGGAACACAGGGGGTAGACGGGGTTGATCGTATCTTGACATCGTGAGGCAGGACGGGAACGGAACTTGGAGAAGTCGAGCGCGAGGGGTCGGCAAAGTCGATAGCATTCACTGGAGGACGCGAGAAAGCTGGGTGAGATGGCGGAGATGAGACTTGCCTGGTGCCAATGGTCCGTGGTGCGGACGGGTGGGCGGCGTGCGGAGCGATAGCGATAGCGGCATTGGGAGCTGCGGCCGGGTGCGTACATGAGCTGGTCTCGGGAGGTGTGAGGGATAGAGGACCCTCGGACACATCGGGTGGTGTCATGAAGAGCGAAGACCGCCTGGCTGGGAATGCTTGGGAGGGAAGGGGCGGTCTGGCCTTCGGAACCAAGGCTGCACGCAGCGTTCCATCGCAGATAGCTATCGCTGGAAGACGCTCCGCTTCTTCGCTGTCGCTGTAGGGATTCACGTACGTTGAGCAGTCGATTACGCGAATGGTGCGGTAGTTGAGGATGCTTTCGCCGCGGGCGGGCTTGTTGAGATCGGACAGGGCGGCGTTGAGGTCCGGAGATGAGGGAGGAGGGGGGCGGGGTACCTCTTGAAGAGCAGTATCGCGGAGGAAGGGATGGTGCGAGGAGGGTGAGGTCGCGACACTGCGAGGTGTGTGATCGTTTGAGTCTACGACGGGGTCAGACATGAACGCGGAAGCGGTGATGGTAGCAGTGATGGTAACAGTGATGGTGACAGTGATGATGACAGTAATGGTGAGTGATGATGGCACAGGTAGAGTGAAATGGGAGTTGGAGGGAAGGTGGCGAGGTGTAACATGGTACCACCACCTCACAGACAATGCTCGAATCACCGACTGCGCCAATAACCATGACACACCAAACCGCAAGCAACGGGATGCGCTGGCTGACTACATCTCCCAGAAAGTCAACGAAATGACACATGTCCAACCTCAGCTCCTAATCGGTCCAGGTCAACGATGGAGCAGTACCCGGCGCTGAAAGGATGTACTGTAAGTGGTAGGGGTGATCCCTAAATTGCTTGTGGAAGTATGCCAGGCGGTCAAGGGGTAAAAAGCAAACCAGTCGCGTCTACTACCACACCACGAGCATCCCTGGCCCCTCTCGCACAATACCATCGACCCATTTCACCACCTGGCCACCTGCCACCTGGGATCCACCAGACTGTGGCTTGCGAGACAATACGTGCATATATGTCGACCTCAGTCCGTACTTCTTCCTCTTCTTCTCCATGGCTCTTCTGTCATATACCCCGCGTACTCCCCCAGCCGTGACTCCTCTCTCCAGGCACAATCTGCGCTACTCCAAAAAGCGCGTGCGAGACATCCCAAACGGGCTGTAACCACCACAATTAATTGAAAGAAATGAAATGACAAAATTCGCGTGCTCATGCGCGTCGGGGCGGAAGTGTGTCACTGTAGGTCAGCTAAGCATGAGAGAATGCCAAGGTCAATCTCACAGTAAAGACTGCTCGAGTCCATGGCGACCAGGAGATGTGATGTCCGGCAGTTCTGGTGTGGCCAAAATCAGGAGTGAAGTAGAACGGTGTCGAATGCCCCGGAGAGAGAGGTCTACCGTTGCCATGGTCGGGAGGGAGGGGCGGGAAGGCTGAAGGAGGACATTGGGAGGGGCCCGCAGCCGTGGTCGGCCATGGGGAAAAGGCGTGGTGTCGCTCGAAACTCGGAGGCAGAGCCGGCCCCTTGCCTTTACTCTGCATCGTGGCGGGAAAGGTGGCCCCCTGACTGCCGGAAGCCGACTGGCTGAAGTGGGCCGATGCCTGAGTGGTATCGTTCCCTGTACCCAGGCCAACGGCTGCGGCGGAGTGACCCGAAGAAAGGGCGGGGTGAGGCGCCTCCATCTGTTGCAACTGCCCAGAGAGGCCAGCCATTGCGGAAGCGATGGAGCGGATTTCCTCCTGCAGACTGGCCTCAAGCGCAGAGCCGTGCGTCTTTGCCGCCTCTTCTCGAGTTGCAAACTCCATGCGAAGTGTTTGGAGCACATTCTCCATCCTACTCACACTCGCTTGCTGGTCGGACACCTGACACTGGATCAGCATCAAATCCACCAGGCGATCCTCCACTGCCTCCACGTGTTGGGACATGGAGTCGTCGACATCGGCCATTCCCTGGGACAGCTTGTCGACTCGATGAACCAAATCGGCTTGGGCTTCATGGAGCTCGTCGAGGCGGCTGTTCATCTTGGCGACTTGCTCGGTATTCTTCGCGATCGTGTCAGCTAGAAAGTTGATAGCCCGGAGAACTTGGTTGTTGTCCTCCTCGTTCCTGTTGACATTGCCTTTAGCCTCAATTACATCAAGTCGATGGATGAGCTGTTCGAGAGTTGGAGCTGGCCTCTGAGTATCATTGGGGCGGTAGGGGGCGTTAGGGACTATCTGGAAACCGATGGGCTCCAGTGTCTGAGGGTCCAGGTGGGTGTGCGTTGTAAAGCCGTACGGGCAGTGGCTGAGACTACGTGGATTGGAGGGGGAGACACTGGTGTAGGTTTCCGACCCGAGTGTCGAGGTGGAGTTGGTGGGGAAGAGGGTTTCGTCATTGGCAGAGCCACTGCAAACCATGGGGGGGCCAGCAGCATCGACAGCCTGCCGCTTGGGGAGGGGTTTCTGGGAAAGCGACGAAGAATGCTTGTTGCGCTTGCGGGTCATGGTTGATGAGTGTTGGTGAGGAGAGATCGCAAGAGTGGGGGATGGAGCGTCAGGGGTGGCGAGTGACGAGTGAAGAATGACGAGTGGCGATTGAGGGAGGAGGGTAGATTGTTCTTAAGCTACTGAGTTACTGATTGCTGGAGGGGGGAGAGGACAGAAGATTCAGAAGAGGGACGGGTGGTGAGAGGGAGAATGAGAGATGGGAACCAAAGAGGACAAGGCAGTGAATATTTATGTGACGTAGCGGTGGCAAAGCGGGGTGCGCGATGGGGGTTGCGGGTTCGACAGAGGAGGAAGACGGGTCAGGGAGTGGAGGAAGGCTGAATGTCAATACAGAATGCAAACAGTGTTGTTTGGTCCAGAGATTCAGAGACGCATTCAACATTGGCCAGCGTCGACTGGTGTCGAACGGATGAGAGACATGACCTACGTAGCGCAAGGGCTACTATTGGGAATTTTGGGTACATGCTATAATATGTGAAAGTTCGCAGATCCGACACAACTCAATTGCACCATTCGACTTGTGGCTTCGATGAAATTGTGAGGTGGCTGGATGGTACACACAACAAATCGCCGCGTTTCCGGGGGTCCAGGGTTTCGCCAACCAGACCCACGTGGGCTGCCTGGGTCCAGCGGCAAATTAATCCCGTTGTGGCAAACGTCCAAGAGGGGGGAGCGCATAAGCTGTATAACGGGAGGCCCGGATAAACCCTGCAATGGGCACCTGCTCGTTGGTCCGCGCCTCGACTTCGACGTTCCGAACAGCAGACGCAACAGCTCGCCGCAGACACAATGGCAGGAGACCACCGTGAGTCACGAGGTATATGGGAGTGAGCTGACGGCAGACCATGTCCTCGTGAGTACGCGCGATTTGGGCGCGGGCGGAGCACACTAGCCGGGGAAGGGGTCGTCCGCATGGTCGCGCCGAGGCCATCCAGGCATGGTTGCTGCCATTTGGCGCGGAGGGCGAGCTGTGCAGCGCGCAGAGACACCCGGATGGACACAGTGTATCGGGGACTGGGGGGTGTGTGCGGCTGCGCCAAGGCCGGCTCGCATGGCATTTGTTGGCGAGCGCCGCTCTGACGGCTCTGTTCCTCGTCTTCTCCCCTCCGTCGAAGCCGACACCTTCCTCGCCACCCACCTCCAGCCCCCGCACTCTCCACAAGCATTCCCTGCATTCCGAGCACTCGCTAACGCCAGTTCGACCCCGCCATCGACCGGTGGGCGGCGATGCGCGAGAACGTGTACCAGCACTTCAAGTTCTCGCGCCCTATCACGTACAAGGTTGTGCGGTGGGGCCTTCTCTTCCCTGCCTTCATCGCGGCCGTCTCGATCACCTACGACGTGGGTGTGCAGTGCGCGCGCAGTGGCTAACAACAGAACAAGTTCGACTGGGCCGGCAAGCGCCGCGAGGACTCCCTGATGGCCCAGCCACCAACGAAGGAGCAGGCCGAAGAGTAGACGAGCGAATGCATCAAACTAGGATTACAACAGTGTCGGCGATGCGGCATGACGGTCTGGACGCAGCTGGACGGGCTGGGGACGGGGATGGGTTGGTTGGGGAGGCGAGGTGAAGTTGGAAGTCGGAGGGTCTACCATATACGTTTCACCATGGTCCAGCGCTCGACCTCCTCCAGCCGCCACGCCTTCTTCTTCCCGCTGGGTCTTCCTTCGCCTCTCGCGCCTGCACCTTCCGCCTCGGCGCGCTTTGACAGCGGGGGAGATTGCAGGACGGGGGCAGATGGGTGGTCAGGGAGGTCGTCGTCGGGCTGGGAGAGGTACCGCGACGTCTCTTTGTTGTACGCCTGTCCTGTCAGAACTACGCGCCTTCGCAAGCTCAGACTCACTATCTCCTCCTTGCTGACTCCCACGGGTGCGCGCCCGAAATCATTGACTGCATCCTGTGCCTCGCGCTCGTCCATTCCCGCTTGACGGAGTGCAGAGAAGCTGAGTAGGCCGAGGCCGAGCAGGATCTTGAGCGCGATGAGGCTGGTGTCAGATATCTGGCGTCTGCGTTGCCTACCATCCCCAGATGCTGGCTGTGATGAGGATCGCAAGCGCCCACTTGAGCGACAACCAGATCCAGTCAGAGCTGAGGCTTCGCCCGTCGATAGCCTGCGTCGAAGTACTTGTCAACATCCCCACAATCTGGGCACTGATGCGAATTACGAGCACTGCGAGGGGGATGTTCGCGATTCCCAGTCGGCGGGCAACCAGAGGCGATTGATCGAGGAGAATAGGATGCTGCGCGTGTTAAGGTCCGGACTGAAGCAATCGCCACGGCTTACCTTGCGTTTCCGCTTGCCAGAGCTGCTGCCAATGGTTCCGGCCAGTAGCACGTCCTTGGCAAGGATGTCGGTGAAACGGTCGTAGACGGAAGCGCGGACGTGGTTAAACTTGGCGATGAAGGCGTGCTTCATCCAGTCGACGATCATCTCGGATGCAAGGACAAAGAGCACCGGCTTGGTATGAGCGCCGCTGAGGAGGGCAAATTAAACTTACAGAGAAGATGCGCTCAAGCAAACTCTTGCCCCTCGTGAAGCTCTTCGGGAGGAAAGCGAGGTCTGAGCCCGCCATCTCCATCATGTTGCGCATCGCGATGACCAGCAACATTGTTCCAAGCTGGAAGCGTTCCACAATGTCTGTTGTCAGCTTACCGGTGAATGCTGAAGCTCACCGGCACACATGATCTGGAAGAGGTTCTCCTTCTCGAACTTCTTGAAGACAGCTGCCGTCAGTGGCGATCTCACTTATCACTGACAGCCCTTGATCTCCACAAACTGGTTGCTGATAAGGAGAGAGATGAGCGTGTAGTCATACGAGTTGATCGCGACATTGAGCGCGATAAGCATGTAGAAGAAGATGATGGTGTGAATCACTGCTGTCAGCTCACAGTCAGCAACGCAGAACCTACAGACATAGCCCAGGGAGAGAAAGAAGAAGAATGCTGGGCGGACGTGCTCTCTCTTCCGTCTCTTGCCGTTCCGCTGCACGTTGTACGTGAGCGTGTCCAAGGTATCACGCGCAAACAGCGTATCGAGCACATCCTGCCCAAAGGCGCAGCACAACCGGTCGCCGATCTGTCATCAGCTCTTAACCCCACCAGAAGCATGTCTCTCACCTCCAATGCGTTGAAGATGACATATAATTTGATCGTCTCCTGCCCGCGTACGGAATGATACATCTTGCTCGCGTCGGTGCTGACGAGTAACACCGCCGCGGGTATAACGAGAAGGAGCAGCCGGAGCACACTCTGCACGTGTGCAGGCGGGATGGGGGTGAGGGGCTGACGGCGCACGAGGCGCGACAGGATGCGCGTGAACGCAAACGTCGCGCGGATAGGCAAGATCGTAAAGTTGTACAGGAAGCCGTCGAGACAGAGGAGTGCGCCGAAAGTCGTCACCTTCTCCACGGCGAGGGGCACGGCGAGGAAGTTGGCGATGCGTTCCCTGCGGTCAGCACGGCGTGGCGACGCAGACGCACCACTTGCCGTCGGCAATCCAGCCTTCCCACTGCTCGGCCGCGTCCTCGTCTCTCAGCAGATCCCAAATACTCAGCCCTGTGCGTTCGGAGTCGGGCGGCGCATCTCTCGTCTCGGTATGCTCTGAAGTTGGGGAGATGGGCGGCGGCACTTGCGTCGAGTCGAGTGTCTGGCGTCTGCTTCTAGCGGGCCAGAACTGCTCGACCTCGTCCAGTTCGCGCTCGCTCTCGTGCGCGCTAGCGCTTGCGCTGGCACTGCCAAGCGACAAGCGGCGGCGCGTGACGCGCGGCGAGCCTCCTGGATCCAGCCTGGCAAGCACATCGTCGACGTCCACCTCGTGCGCGTACTCAAAGTCGAATTGGGCGGCACGCGGCGACGGGGGCAGCGACGAGTACGTCCCGTGCTGAGCGAGGTCGAGTTCCGCAAGCTCGTAGTCCGTCGCGTAGGGCGTGGAGGCGAGGCGCGTGGGCTGCATCCGGGGCGATGGCGTGGGGAGCTTCTCTATCGGAGTTAGAGTCGTTGTGCTTGCAGGACGCCGCAAATCATCTCCCGACTGGAGTCAGCAGCGCAGACACAAGACCCACCTCCTTCTCCAGCCGCGGCTCGTGAACCCGCTCTTTCTCTTCCATGATGAAGTGACGAGATGTGATGCCTGGGCGCCGGGGGAAGTGGTTTGAACATGACGTTTGAATTATGGCTTGCGCCGATATCCGGTGCCTGAGCCGGTCACCTCCTGCAAGACCGTGTTTCGACTCCCGACAACAATCCATCGCCATGCCTCCGCCCGCACCCGTCTCCGCGGGCGGGAAGCACCCCCATCGCCCCGCCGTCGAGTGGGAGAAGGTGCTCTGGCGCCGCCAACCTTTTCCCGACAACTACGTGCCGCCCTCGTTCCTCGCCGAGCTCGACGCGTTGCGTGAGTGCTCCCTGTGGACGTGTCTGGAGATGGGTCGCGAAGCGCCGAGCGCGCATGCTATCTGAAGACCGACAGCTGACAAGTAGCACAGCGCCCCAGGCCCAAGCTCCTTCCGCTCATCCTCGCGACGCTGCCCGTGTCGCAGCATCTTGCTGTCATCGCCCTCTTCCTGGCCATCTTTTACGGGATGCTCGTCGGCAACTTTGGCGCCGCCGAGGTCGGGTGGGCGTGTGCGACCGTCGGCGTGGTCGCGTATGGTCTTTGGCGTGTGGGGTGGGAGGCGGCGAAGAAGGAGAATGTAGGCCGTGAGTGCGCTGAGAGACGGAGGAAGGCATCATTCCAGCACTGACACGTAGCCCTCCTCCCCGCGACTTCGGCACTGCGTCCCCTTCTCCTCCCGCCGCTGCTGCTGGGTCTCCTCGCCCCCGTCCTCGGAACACTGACCTCGGCAACGACCAGCGACTCGATCTGGCCCCTCGCCGGCCTCCTCTTCTTCGTGCACCTGCTCTTGACGGACTTCCGCACGGGCCCTGATCGGCGGCGCAAGCGGCGACGAAGGAGGCGGAGCGTCAGCGGCGGCGGCCGCGACGAACCCGAGGAGAAGAGGTGAGATGCGCTTCATACCGGGCCGGACAAGCTAGGAAAGACTCTGACCCCAGCCTCACATCTTCCCTCTCACTCACCTCCGCGCTCTCCGCCAGCGTCGTGCTCGCCTCCCGCCTGCCGTCGACGGGACACGTCTTCTCACTCGTCATGCTTGCCGCGGGCCTGTTCGCCGGCTGGCCGAACCTCGCCAAGGGCGTGCGGGTAGGTGTGTCATGCTACGTAGCTGACAGCAGGAAGCGGGGCCTGCGTTCTCCGTCGCCCTCACCTTCTCCATGATATGGCTGTCGGCGTCTCTCCTCCCCCCGTCGCGGCATCCCACGACTCTCGGGCCCTTCCCCGTGCCGGGCGGGGCGGCGCGCGTGTTCTTCGCCGTCCTCCTCCTCGTCAATGTTGGCGGGCCGCTCATGCTCTGGTGGGGATGGCGGTGGAAGCGAAGGTTAGGCGGCAATTGGGACGCTGCAGTGGTTCGCGTGCGGAAGCGTGGCGGGTAGATGATATGCACGACACGTTGACTGAGACTGGGGCAGATGTCGTGAGATTACACGCCAAATTCTGTCCACCTCGCCCAGTCTTCTTGATTATTCACTTGTCAGTCTCGCTCAACTCCACAACCCAAAACACCAATCGTGCCAATGAAAGTCCATCAAGTGCTACCTGTAGCTAAGGGAGTGATGGAGAATGTATGGGAGTCAGGCCGCATGTACAATGGATGTGCAACGTGCTGTAGGCCACGCATTACATGATATAATGAGAAATTGTGAAGTTGTGGAAGTGTTGCTGAGTTGTTGGCGTTTGAATGACAAATGTGACGTGACGGAGAAAACCATGGCTGGAGCGGATATCATGCGAGAGGAATGGAATTGTGTAGTGGTTTGTATTGCTGCAGGCCGCCTTAGTGCGTAAGCGTCTCGCAGCGGTCCACGATCGTCTGGTAGATGAACTTGAACGCCCAAACCGAGCCGCGCAGACGTTTGATGCGAAGCAGGTACAAGCCCTGCAGGTTCTTGATCCGGCAAAGCTCAACGACAAACTTGACCTCGTCGCCGTTGTCGATCGCGTGCTCGCCGTACACAGGTTCTGGAGCCGGGCCGAGATGAGGCGACGCCAGCTGGGGTGTAGTCGATGTGGACGCAGAAGCGAGCAGGTCGCTTTCGCTGCGGGCGAGGGCGTGCGAACTGTACGAGGAGTACGAGGAGCCACGGCGAAGGAGCATGCCCTTGAGACCTGAGAGGCCGCCCGAGCCAGTTGAGGGAAGAGGACGGCCATCGCTGCTCTTACTGGAGGATTGGACCAGGGCGATGGGCCCAATTCCGGCAGCACCCGTGGACAAACCTGTCGTTGGACCGGCCTTGCGACGGCGAACACGAGTGCAGCGCAGACGGTAGTCGGCCTCCTGCTTGACGTCCATGCCCATACCGTGAAGTACGCGAATGACCTCGGCCATGACCTCCTTCGGCGGCCGCGAAGTCAGTACGGACTGGTCGACAAGACCGCTGTGGACGCGCATCTTGCTGTCCTCGACTGAGAGGGTGCCGTTTGCCTGGTGGCTTGCGTCCGCCACATGGTGGGGGTTGACGAGAGATGCGGCCGCAGACGGTGCGCTCGGCGTACGGACCGACTTGGACCGCATAGGAATTGCGCCGCGCTCGGGCGAAAGCAGCGTCTTGTCAACGTTTGCCTTGCTATTGGCGGGCGCAAGCGGGATGCGCTTCTCAGAAGGTGACGTCGCAGAGGGTTCTCGCCCTTCGGTCTGTTTGCGACGGATCGTCTCTTTGCGGTCGGGCGACTTCTGCTGAGGGGTTGACTCGCTGACAACGATGGAAGGGCCGTCTGTGAGGGGGCTGATACTCTCGTCGCGCACCATCGACCTGGGCGGTTCGTTGGAATTGGTAGGCGCCGTGACGTGGACGTAGCTGCGGTCCGCGCTAACGGAGGGACGGCCGGCAGAGCTGGAGATCGAGTCGGCGCGGAGACTGCCGGACTTGATAGTGCTCAGGGTGTCCTTTGCGAGAGACTTGCGTCTGAACCAGTCCATGACCCTCTTGGCGGCGCTGCTCGACGCGGTGCGCTGGCCATGCGAGTCTCCAAACGCGTCCACTGTGACAACAGACGTGCTGCTCGGCTGGTCCTGCGATGGTCGCGGCTGGATTCCCTGAGGGCCAATGACCACATCCTTGTTGGAGAAGCTCGAAGTGTGCGAAGCCCGCGACGACATGTTGTCTGGGGTTGAAGTGCGGGAAGTGGGGTTCATGAGCTGCACCGTTTTGCGTCGCGCCTTCTTTTCGGCTGAGCCGGGAGGGGCGGGAGGCGCAATGGAGGAGGGACTAAACGCAACAGAGTGGCTCTTGTTGTGCTGTGAAACGGGTATGTACGACGGCCGAGAGGAAGGTGGGGCTGGTGTTTGACCCAAGAGCTTGGCGAGACCGAATTTGTCAAGAGACATGCCCATGCCCCGACGACTAGTACGGTCCCTCTTCGGCGGCCGCGTGGGAGCGACGTTTGTAGGCAGCGTGCCCGAAGGCTGAGCTCTAGGGGTGGCGACACCGGGCGGAAGTGGGGTAGACACGGTGCGAGAGCGCGCCTCGGCTCTTGGAGTCGGTACCTGGCTCTCGGACGCCGTCGTAGCCTTGGGGGTCGTCACGATCGGCAGGTCATCAACCTCTCCCTCGCGCGGACGCTTGGATGGTGTCTGAGGAATTGAGGGCGAGCGACGGGGTGGGCGGGGAGGGGGAGCGACGTCCCCGGAAGCCGAAGCGGGCACGTCTGTGAGGTCGATTGGCAGCTGCTCAGCCGGCAGCTGAGGCTGAGGCTGCACACGGGCCGGCACATTGGTCTCAACAGTGCTTGTGGCCTCGGGGTTCGCTTCGACCTGCTCAGGCTCCTTGGTAACTTCAGGAGTGATGATGGCCGCTGGCGCTAGGCCGGCCCCTTCAGTCGTAAGAGGGGTGTGGGTGCGCGACTCCATCTTAGAGTCGATCTCAGATGTCGAGTCCACCTCCATGTCACCGATCTGCGGGACATCAAGCGGCTTCGCGGGAGCCGGCTCCACAATGTCCGCAGGCTTCGTGGCCATGGCGTGAAGATTCTTGAAGCGCTCCCAGCCCTTGTCGCCATCGTACTCTACCTGGATGGTGTGGCGATTCTTGTTTGCCGACATTGGAGTCCGGGGTTCGGCCGAACCTCTGCGCACCGGCGTGACTGGCTCAACAACCTCTCGCTCAGGCGTGTTGAGACAGTGGGCTGAGGTTGTGCGCGGCCTGGGAGGCGTCTGAGGCGGGGTGGTGGGGCCGATTGAGGATTGTGGCTCAGAGATAGGCTGGTGAATCGGCAATGGGGGAAGGGCGAGTGAAGGAACGGCAGAAGGAGCGGCCTGGTCGCGATGGTGTTGCTCCCGGCGTGGCTCCAAGACGGGGAAACGGTCGCGGTGGCCGGCGTTGTAGAGGTAGTCTGGGACCGTAGACGTTGCAGGAATACCGCTGCGTTGACGCTGGTCCTTGGCGCGGCGATGGTCGTCCAGCATAACGTTTGAGCCTGGTGCCGTGCTGTGGCTGCGCTGGAAAGCTTTGACGAGCTTGGCCTCCTGCTGCAGGCGACGACGATGGGCAAGATCGCGCTTGGCGGCCTGGCTCTTCTTTTGCATGTTCTCGGTGAAGATGAGCTCGTGCTCCTCGACGGTCCGGTCAAAGATGGATCGCTGAGCGTCCAACCACGGGTGCATCTCGATCTGGGGAATGTTGCAGCGCTCCTGGGGGTCGGGCACAAGCATCATGAGGAGGAGGTCCATGGCCATGCGCGACATGTGTTCCGGGAAGTTGAGCGGGGTGCTCATAATGTACTTGTAGAGCAGGTTGATGTTGTCGCCGTCCGGGTTGTCCGGATCGTCATCGTACGGCAGGTAGCCGGAAAGCATGGCGTAGAGAATGACACCACACGACCACACGTCGACGGCGGTACCGACGTACAGTCCTTCGGACACGACGAGCTCTGGTGCAGCATAGCATGGGCTGCCACAGCTAGTAGCCATGAGGTCATCGCCTTCGCGCTCGAAAGCGTTGGCAAAGCCAAAGTCAGTGATGATAATGTTGCGGTGGCGGTCCAGCAACAAGTTCTCCAACTTGAGGTCGCGGTGCACAATGTGCTTCTGGTGCAGGTAGTCAACGCCCGAGATGAGCTGAGCGAAGAGGCGTGACGCGTCCTTCTCCTTGAGGTAACGGTTTGCCAGGATGTAGTCGAACAGCTCGCCACCTGCGGTTAGGCTGACTCTACTGCACAATTATCCCACCTCCAGCAAACTCGAGAACGATGCCAATATACTTTGCCGTGTCGATGACATCCAACATGCGCACAATGTTGGGGTGCTTCAATTGCTGCCATTGTTAGCTCGTGGCCCTTCCCTGCGCGTCCGTCCAACCAGCACACTGCCACACTCACCCTCAACACCTCGATTTCGCGCTCAACCTTGTTGGCACGGCGCGACTCGGTCTCCAATTGCCCGCGGCGGATGAGCTTGATGGCGACCTCGACGCCATACTCGCTGTGAACGCCAAGCTTGACCTTGCCAAACTCGCCCTCGCCCAGTGTCTGCAAGAGAATGTAGTTGCCGAGGGCGATCATGGGACGACCAGGATGCGCCTGCTTGTAGGCGTGGACCGAGGGGTGGAGGACGTACTCATCCGACAGGTACTCTTGCTTTGGGGGCGACGCGTGGGCGATAGCGGCAGGGTTGTGCGACTGCCTCTTGCGCTGCTGGGCTGTTGGCTCGTAGCCAGAGGATGAGTGTGACTGAGACATTGCTTCAACGGAAGGGAGGGGCATGGTGGGGGGGACATTGCTTGAGCGATGAGGACGAGATGAAGAGGAAGAGGAGGAAGTAGAGGCGGCTGGAGGAAGGTATTGACCAAACTCGTCTGCGATGGAGGAGTAAGCCGCACCGTGCATTGTCTGAGGACGCTGTGATGAGACAGAGGCCCTTGTTGACGCTGTCGAGGGTAAGGCGTGCAGGGGAGCTGAGCCAGGCATCATCATTTGGGGACCAGTTGGAGGTGAGAATGGGGGAGTTGGGTATCGTGCTGAGGGTGGGACGTCCATCGACGCGCGCCCTCGTGATGGGGCAGCGAATGGATCGGACATTGGGTGCGGTGGAAGGACGGAGGTCATCAAGAGGACTCGAGGACGCGATGTGGTTACGCGACCGACACTACGCTGTTGGGATGTGGTGGAGTGTTGAGGGGGTTTATCAACGAAGGTGGAGTTGAGGCTTTGAAGAGGATGGCGAGATGCCTTGGGTGGTGTGTACAGTTACACAGATGGACAGTGGAGGGATGGCTGGGAAGGGATCAGCGTCAGCCAAGGCTGGGGGGGGCGAGGGAGGAGCAGGTGGGGAGCGGGGGAGAGGGGGGCTTGTGGGTGGGTGGGGGAGCGCCGGAGAGGAGAAGAGTGGCTGAGTGGCTGGGTGGAAGAGGTGGATGCGCGGCAGCTGCGAGAGTGGTCACAACTTTGCAGTGTAGCGCAGTGGGGACAGCGGCGAGTGAGGTGGGGGCGAGGGGAGCGCTTGGTATGGGACTGATTGACGCGCGAAGATGGATGGGAGATGGTGGTGCCAGAGGCCGGTGGCCGGGAGTCGAGTTGAGTGTGGTGTGTGAGGGGGAATGCAGACTTACGGAAGTGGACGCGTGCGTACACGCGCGTGCCCACGACGTGTGGCGAGGAAGTGGGAGGTGGGAGAGTGCAGTGGACCGAGAATCGAGGATGATAGCGACCGCGCACTGCGAGATGCAAGATGCGAGATGCGAGATGACAGATGCAAGGCCGAGGGGCGGACGGAGGTGGTGTGAGGTTGAGGGAGGGATGAGGAGGACGCGATCAGAGCGTTGACCGGGTAAAGGGGCCGAGCTTGATCAGGGGGAGGTAGTAGACGACGGCCTGCAGCCTGCAGCCTTGCAGTCTAGCAAGCTTGAGGTGGACAGGTCGGCGGCGGCGTAGGCGCGTGTCGGGGGAGAGGGAGGAGGATAAAGGAGAAGAGGAGGAGGAGGATGCGAGGAGCGGGTGGTGGCTGGGTGGAATGGGTTGGGATCGGGAAGCAAAAGGGTGGGTTGAACGGGGCAAAGGGTAATCGACTAGGTGTTGCCTGCTCCGTGATGCGTGGACCGTTACACGCGGCCCTCGACGACTTGCTTGATCAAGCTATACAGCGAGTCACCTCTTAAGGGTGATTCAATGTCGCGGCGCGTGGAAGATACACCGACGCGCGGGCCAAAGTAGACAGAGAAGATGCGAATGAGCGTGTATGCAACTGTCGAGATGAAGATGGGGCGTTGCGATGGCTACGCTACAGTCCTGTCAAAGGAAGTCGAGCGATAGAGCGAGTGGGCGAGTGGGCGAGTGGGTGAGAGGAGGTGGGTGGAGGAGCAAGGTGAAACAGGTGCGGGAGTGAGTGAGTGATGCGTGACTCGAATTGTCCAACTTGGTGGATGAGATGCAGTGACAGGTTGATGATGATTCCCAAGCGTGAGCCAAGTTGGGTGGCGCTCGTTGAAAACTCGTCGTCCCTTGGTGGCCTGGTGGCCTAGTGGTTGGAGAATGGGGATGGGAAAGAGAAAGATTGTTGCTGTGCGAGCGGTCAAGCCGAGTGGATATACAAGATGGATTAGTCTAGTTGGTGGCGAGGAGAGACGGAAATCGGATAGTCCGGTGTTGTTGACAAAGATGGGCGCTACAACACTGTTGACTCTGGCGATCTGGCTGACAACTGCTGCTGCTGCGAAGTGATTTGGTCGCCACTGGAAGCGCACTGGAATTCAACCGCAGGGTAGCTCCATCACTCGTCTCCGGTCTCTTGCAGCCTGCTCCTCTGTCGCGCGCGCTCTCGCTCTGTTGATTCAACTCTCCTGCTCTCCAAACCTACACAGCGACGCAAGCAAATACCTTCCGGCCATGCCGACCAAGGCACACGACGACCAACTTTGTCCACTTTTCTCTGCTTGCTCTGCCCCTACTTACTCGCTGTTCCCGACCAACATCGATCCCGGCCCCGGATGCCAGGATTGAACACAAAACATCTGTACTGGCCTCGAAAGCTCAACATGACCGCCCGATCTCTCACGCGTCTCGCCTTTGCTCTCCTCGCGCTCCTCGTCTTGCTCGCGCACACGCACCAGATGATCACTTTGTTTGCTTCCCTGTCCTCCCTGTCCTCCCTGTCCTCTCTCCCTCCCTCCTCCCTGTTCTAAACACACGGTCCTCCCGCCCAAGCGCCACGGCGCACGCGGACCCAAATGCCCAAGTCGGATCACCAGGGGTGTCCCCTGGCGTAGGGCTTGCTCTGGCGCGCGCGCGCTGGCGCGTCCCGTATCCCAGGGTTTCAGCCACGCCCTGATGCAATAACCCCTGCCCAACCCAGGTTTTAAACTTTGCTTGAATCCTCCCCCCACTCAAAGTGAGACAATCAACGACGCGTGACGCGTCCCCTTCCTCCTCGCGCCCCGCGTGGCGAGGGCTGGCGAGATCACTCCTCACTGACCTCTGACCTCAATTCAATGCATTGTTTGTACGTTGCATGTGTGCATGTCACGCGAGTACGCAGTCATCCTAGACGGCGCCAGACCGGAGTATTGCGCGAGGAACAGTAAACTTGTTAGGTGGTGCCGTGGCCGAGTCTCGCGCACGACGTGGCGACGGACGTGGCGGTTCCGAGTGGAGATTCTTCCGCTCGGCACAGCGTTCCTGGCTACTTCAATGCTCCGAGAGGTGCAAGTCGGGCTCCCTCCCCGATGCTGGTGTTGGCGACGAGCATGCACGCAACGAGAGACCCCGGAGCACATGAGGCCTTTCACGATGTGGTAAAGTACTGTACAGTAGCTTGAAGCGGATGGTCGCGCTGTCCCGCTGTCCCGCTGCCTCCTTGCCCCCTCGCCGCCTTGCAACCTACAGTCATGCAGGCCATGAGAACAGTCGCCTCGTCGGGCCGCGTCTTGGTCGCACCGCAGGTAATGACGGCCGGTGGAGGTGTCTGGCAACCGTGGGAGACCTCCTACGGGGGGACCCAATAAACCCCCCGATGCAATGACGTGAACCCATCTCCAACATGAACATGAGCGAAATCACATCCACTCACCACCCATCACCAACAACCATGGACGACTCGGGCCCCGTCGCCTCGAGCTCGACACTACACCTTCTCGACCCCGCCGGCCTCCTCTCCGCCCCCGCTCGCGCCCTCACATCCGAAGTAGTCCTCGCCTCCCTCGATGCCCTCCCCCCTGTTGTGCGCCTCATCACGGCCGCCAACCTCGTCCTCTCCGGACGAGTGTACGACCAGACACTCCTGCGCCGCGTGATCGATGCAGGCTTGAATGCTGGAGAGGAGGAGACTCTACTTCTCGAGGGCGATGTGCGCGCGCGTCTCGAGTCAGCGACGAAAGCGCCGGGCGGGTGGGAAGGGTGGGGCCTCGCGGACGTGTTCGAGGCAACTGAGGCCGCCGTGCAGGACAGTGCGCGGAGAGAGCTTGTGCGCGCCCTTGCAATTCTGGCGCAGGCCCGACGGCGGCTCGATACCTATGACGCCTTCTGTCCTCCACGCACCGCGGCGTCAGCAGCGACGAAAACGCCGACGATCGAGGACATCGAGCTCGACGACCCATGGGGCGAGGACGACGACGGCGACAATGTACCGCCCATGCTCGACGATCCGTGGGCTGACCAAGCCTCGGAACCACCCACGCCCCCGCAGCCCCCCAAACCCCTCCCCGAACCCTCCGAGCCGCCAATAGACCCCAGCACCTTTGTGCTGCAGCCCATCACGCTGTCGGCGCTCAATTTCGCCACAGTCGCGGACGTGCGCGCGCTGCGCATCGTGTGCCAGCGCCACGGCTCAGACCTGTATCCGTACCGCCTGGCGATTGTTGAAGCGATCCCCGGCTGGGTCTCGCCTGCCGAGGACGACGTGCAGAACCTCCTCCCCGGCGTGTGGGAGGACAGCGAGCACGAGCGCTGGCCGACCGGGCGGCTCGAGCACGAGAACACACTTCTTGACGCCCTCGCCACAAAATACGGACTGTACGCACTCAACCCTCCGCCCGCCGCCCTCCTGCCCCCCGCCCACCCCGAGCCGCTGACCTCTGAGGCCTTGAGCGCATGGTACGCCGTGCGCGTGGGCAGCCTCGACGCCCTGGGCCTCCTCGACGCGCAGCTCGCATGGGTGCAGCACGGCGCGGCGCTCGGTGTGCCCGCGCTCGACGCGATCGGGGAGGACCTCAGCCTCCTCTCGCGCCTGATTTACGACGCCAACCTCTCCCCCGCCGAGCTCGGGCGCTGGAACCTCGCGACATGGAGAGCGGCGCAGCCCGAAGCCATTGTGCGCGCCTACCTCGCCAACTCGACGCCAGCCAGCATCGTGGGCGACATCCGTCGCCTCGTCCTCCCCTACCTCTACGTGCTGGAGAGCCGTGCCGAGCGGGCTGGCAAGGCGGACGCCGGCCTCGTGGAGCGCATGCTCGACGGCGCAATCCTCGACCTCTCGCTGCACCTCGCGCTCCCCTGCTTCGAAGCGAGCAAAGCGACGCTGCCCGCCTCCCAACGCCTGATCAAAGACGACCAATCCGTGGCACGCCTAGCCCTGGCCGTGCTGTACGGCAGCGACGAGAGCGCGTGGCCGACCATGTCGGCGATCTTTGAGTGTCTGCCCGTGTGGGACGTGGCGGGCCGGGACGCCGACAGCGACCGCGAAGCGATGGAGACGACGCTCGACTCGCTCGCGGCCTTCGTCCGCCCCACCGTCGCCGGCGAAACACACGACGCCCGCGCCCTCTTCTACTTCTTCAAGCCGCTGCCCTTCTCGTCCCTCTCGCGCGCGCTCGACATCCTCGACGTACACCTCGAAAGCGGCGAGATCCTCGCGCGCCACGACGTCCGCGTGCGCATGCGCACGCTCCTGCAGTCGGCGCGCGACAAGGCCGAGCAGCGCACCCTCGCCGAGAAGATGGTGCGGCGCGCGCGCCCCGACGAGCGCCATTGGCTCGCGCTGTGGGAGGACATGGGCCGCCTGCGCGGCGGAGAAGACACGCTGCTCCGCGGCGCGTTTGGTATGCTCGAGCACGAGGAGGTCATGCGCATTTTCTTGCACGGCCTCTTGAGTTCGGGGAGTGAGTCTGTGGGCAAGGACAGTAGAGCTGACGCCAGACTTTGCCGTCGCGAAAAAGGTCATCCGTCGCCTGGAGCCAGAGGAGCTCTTCACCCCCGCAGACCTCGAGGAGATTGTGCTCACCACGTCCAAAGAGTTCTACATGCGCGCCGAGACGGGCAACATCCACACGGGGGATATGAAGTTGGCTTACGAGTGGTGCGTGCCCTTCCTCTCCATCTCTCCCCCTCCCCGACTGATCCTCCCTCTGCCCTCTCCCGCCTCTCCCCTATCTCCCCGCTCGCGTGCTAACCCCAGCCTCTCCGTCGCGCCCCCCTCGCCCGCAATCCGCGCCGAACAAGACTTCGTCCAAGCCACGTCCCGCGTGGCCTCCTTCAAAGCCCTGAGCGCCCTCACGCCCGCCGAAATCCGGTACACCCCGAACAAGCTCGACCTCGTGCGCCGCGTCCTCGCGACCGACGACGCCTACCGGCACGCGGGCATCATCATGGACCTGACCGCCAAGCTGGGATACACGACGCCGGCGCCGCGCGCCAAAGTCCTCCGGATGCTGGTGGACGCCGCGATCGCGCATTCCGACTGGGCGGTGGCGAAGGAGCACGTCGACGCCATGGTCGCGATGGCCGAGCCCGACTTGGGCGACGCGGAGGCGGCAGACGGGTGGGGGTGGGACGGGGACGGGGACGGGGACGGGGACGGGGACGAGGGCGAGGCGGTCTCGAAGACAGATGCGGTGGGCGACGACGCCGCCGCAGTCCGCGACGTCACGTACCGCGCCTGCGTCGCGCTCGGCACTTCGATCCCCGACGTCGGCGCGCGCCTCGCGCTCCTCGCGCAAGCGGTCGCGCTCGCGCCCGCGGCCGAGCTCGCATCCATCCTCCCGCTGTACCATGATCTCGAGGCGCAGGTCGCCGCGGACCCGGCGCTCCTGCGCCCGACTTCGCCGTCCGCGTCCGCGTCAGCGCCCGCGTTCCCCGCCCTCTCGTCCCTCCCCGTCGACACGGTATTGGGGTCGCGGCGCGCGGCGAAGGCCGCGCGCATGGCGTTCGACCTCGCCGGCCTCAACATCCCCAGTCTGCGGCCGGGGAGCGCCAAGGGGAAAGTCGCGTCGCCGGTCGAGCGTACCGCGAGCAGGGGGAGTATGGAGCGGCCGAGGGGCAGCTTTGAGAGTGGGAGGGGAGACGCCGCCGCACTCTTCGATAGCGTCGACGAGCCGAGTGTGCGTGCCGGCGCGCGGCGCGCGCTCGTCAAAGGCGTCGGGTGGTTGTTGGGCGCCGACGAGAGCGAGCAGATCTTGTAGCAGCATACATGAGGTAGTAATGCATATGCATGTGTACAACTGTCTCTGGCCGCCGTGCTCCGCGTCATTCCACTTCGATGGCCGTGTCCACCCTCTGCCCGTCGGGCTCGCCCCGTGCCTTGCGCGCTTTGCGGTCCAGCACGTCTTGCCGCAGCCGCTCGAACTCGCTGCGCTGCTCACGCGCATGTTTCGCCAGCCCCTCTTTGCTCGCCAGCGCCTCGACCTCCTCTTCCTTCCCCTTGTCGCGGTCGCGGCGGCGCGAGGCCTCGGCGTTCGCGAGCTTCGCCCGTAATGCTGGGAGGGCGGCGGGATGCGATGTGTCGAGGTTGGCATTGTACAGGATCGTCCATTCCTGGAACCGTGCTTCGAGCGTAGGCCGGTCGCCGGTGGTGGGGAGCCCGTGTTCCTTCTGTCAGCTCGGGTCGTCCGAGATGGGGCTTACGGCGAGAAGCCCACGCAGGTCGCCGATGCTAATCAGGCTGTAGTTGGGCTTTACGATCCGCTTCATCTCGGCACTGGGTCAGCTCGGCCACCCACGCGCTCACGTCTTGCCCTTTACGCCTGCGCCCGCGAAGAGCTTCTTCCACGTCGTCTTGGCTGGCGCCGCCTTCGCTTTGGGAGGCGGGCAGCCGCGGTCGATATGGCCCGGGATCGCAGAGATCTCGAGCTTCACTCCACATATGGGACATGGCGCTTCGTCTGCGTTCAGCTCGGCCGTCGCCGCAACTCACCATTCTCGGACAGCTCATCGACTTCAGCGTCGCTCGAATTCATCACTTCCATCCCCTCTGAGGGGGAGGTGGAGCGCGGCTGTGATTCTGACTTGCTGGGCGACTGTGTTCGCGCGCGTTTCAATGAATGGACCGAGGGTGGACCAGAGGAAGGTGCGGGGCGCTTGCGTGGCTTTGTAAATTCGAGCAACTGCGGTCTGACGAGTCAGTAGAGACAGCGATTAGACCCACCGAGCGGCCTCCCATGCATCCGTCATCTCCTCGAGCGCCCGGTTGCGTCGGATCGCGCCTTCGCTCGCTGCTTCCCCGCAGGAGGGGCACTTCTTCGCATGTGTGAGGGAGGAACGAATACACTGCGGTCAGCACAACTACTAGGAAAGCCGCAGACGTACCGCTGAGCAGAAAGAGTGCCCGCATGCGATGCTGACGGGCGCGGAGAGGAGCTCCTTGCAGATCGGGCAGAGAAAGGCCTTGTCGAGGCGCACGAAGGTGGAAAATGAGGGCGGAAATGGCTTGGGATCATCCCCTGCTTGTAGAAGAGGATGACTGGTGTCCATAATTCGATGGATGAGGTTGCGAGGGCGAAGAGCAACGAAGTGCGACGAAGAGAGGCTTCCAGCAAGCAGAGATGGAGCGGCAGCGAAACGAGGCAAAGAGGGCGTACCGCTGCGGACAAATGGCTCGGATTGAAGTGCGCGTGACAGTGGCACACTCTGTTAGCCTCGGTAGTTGCAGGGCCTAAAGTACGGAGGCGGCGAGGACAAAAACGACGATGGCGATGAGGGTTGTTGTGATGGCGAGCGCATGCACCACCCGAGAAGTCCAGTCATGTAATTCAGGGCCTGGAACAGAGACGCGGCGCGTCAGTGGCAAAAGAGCAAATTTGATTCCGCTGCTCAGCTGCTCAGGGGTCCAGGCACCATCGCGACGCCTTCCACGATGTTTGTACCAGCAGCCCCTCACACTTCTGGGAATGCACATGGCGTGGTGAGTCATCCCCGCGCCGCCGCCACAAAATCACAGGACAAGACATGTGATGGCTATGGCTACACAAACTCTTCTACAGAGGTCGCTGCGCGCGCACCGCAACGCACTTCCATCCGTTGTCCGCCCCCTTCTCCACCAGCCAGCCCGTCAACCACCACACGCCTCCGCGGCCCTTGAGATTGGCGGAAAAGCCGGGGAGCACGTGCGCCGTCCAATCTTCGACCTTGGCATTGTAGCCTGCGTTTCGGAGGCGGGCCTCGTACTCCTCTACAGTCAGCCCCGCGGCGAGGTTGGCCGCAGGAACACGGAGCATCATGGAGAGGAAATTGGCGAAAAGCTTGCCAGGAAAGGCGGCGTATGATGGCGGCGCCAGAATGTCCGTGTACGCGAGCACGCCGCCTGGCCTCAGGTTGGGCAGAACCGAGTCCACGAAGGATCCGCGCGAGGGCGGGAAGTGGTAGAGCGCGTCGAGGATGTAAACAAGGTCGTAGGGTTCAGAACCGGGGAGGGGCTTGTGCTCGACCGCCTTCGGGGCCGCAGTCTCATCGTGGTCGTCGAACACAACCTGCTCCGCCTCCTCGCCCTCCGCTTGGCTGCTTGACTCGCCGAGGAACCCGCGCATCGGGTACAGCGGGTGGTCAAAGTCCTTATTCGGGCGAACGCTCGCCGAGCCCGTGTACCACGTAATGTCAGTCTTGCCCGCATGCTCGAGGAACCACTGGTTCACGCGCTCCTGTGCCATCTCCGTGTCAGATGGTAACGAGGCGATTGCCGTGAGATGCTTCGGATTGGATTCCAGGTGGAGCACTGATCAGCATCATGTCACTGATTTGCTCACAGAGGCTGTCGCCGGAGCCGTGGGCCACGTCAAGCACGTTGTCGAGACGAGGTACGTTCGCGAAGGACAGAAGGCGCCGCGCGAGCGCCTCGCCAGCTTCTGAGAACGACGAGGCGTCATCCTGCCGTCAGCTGCCACTTCTGCGCACAACGACTCACCCAGTATCCCATGTTAGTCCAGCGAGCGAGCCCGTCGTTGAGGACGTCCGCGTCCCAGTAGGCGTAGAGCTCTGTCCACTGAGCTGGGAGGAATTGGATGGCGAGCCGCCATATCAGGGGCACGAGGGCGAGCACCACCAGCAAGTTCATGATGGTGTTGAAAAAAGGGGGATGGTTTTGTTGGATGAGAGAGGATGGAGACAGAGGATGATGAGAAAGCAGGACAAGTCAAGAGGCGCACGCGGTGAATGGATGGCCCTCGGCGTGTTTCGGTGTCTCGGCGCCGTCTCATCCTGAGAAGCGCAGCCAGCGACTCCTCATGTGGAGGCGGGGTCTCCACGCATTTGCTTCCGTTCGATCTGCATGTCGCCAAGCGAACCGCCCTGTCCCACCCGCCGATCACCGTTCCCCGTCTCCTAACGTCACTTTCTCCATCGCATCGTCCACCTCCGCCCCCACCATGCTCAACAGGACCCAGTGGATCCTCTTCGTCGCCTGCGCCATCGCCCTCTGGCTCATTCTGGGCTCGATAGTGCGCGAAGAGAAACCGCCAAGGCAGGCGTTCCGACAACGTCTGGTCGCCGTTGGCGACCTGCACGGTGGTGCGTCTCCCTGAAACGCGGCAGCGCTGAGCACAGACATAAGGAACACCAAGGCAGTTCTGCGCATGGCCAAGCTCATCGACGAGCATGACAAGTGGGTCGGCGGCACCGACATTCTTGTGCAGACGGGCGACAACATCGACCGTGGGACGTATGCGCTTGACATCTACCGCCTCATGGCGCAGCTGCGCGACCCTATCCGCGACGCCGGTGGCCAGCTGTACACGATTCTCGGCAACCACGAGTACATGGACGCCATCGGCGACTGGCGCTACGTCTCCAAGGCTGACATCGCGCACTGGGGCGGCCCAAAGCAGCGTCTCCACGACCTCTCGCTCGACGGATGGCTCGGCCAGGAGTGGTTGGCAAACTACACCACCACACAGCGCGTCCATCTTGCGCCATTCAAAGGCGCCCCTTCCCTCTCCTTCACACACGGCTCCCTCCGTCCCTCGTACCCCCACCTCCTTCCCTACCCGGACCGCATCAACGAGCTCGGCGCCTCGCTTCTCAAGCGCGGTCTCACGCCTCCCATGGCCCCGCCTCACCCGCCCAACCCTTACCGAGGGCTGCCGGAGGGCACCACGCCCGCTGAGGCGTCCGTCTACGACGGCGAAGGACCGTTGTGGTGGCGCGGTCTTGCGGACGTGCCCGACGAGAAGACTGTGTGCGCGTGGGCGGCCGAGCTCCAGGAGAAGCTCGGGGTACGCCGTATCATCGGCGGGCACACCCCCGACTTTGAGCGCATCGTGGACCGCTGCGGCGGAGATGTCATCATCATTGACACAGGCATCTCATACGCGTACGGCGGCGTCCTGAGTGCCCTTGAGATCATCTACACCCTCACACCAGTCGACGGGGTAGGGGAGTTGTCGGCAGACGGCGCACACATATTCCGGGAAGGAGATCGCTACGTCGAGCGCGAGGAGGTGTACGCTGTGTACCAGCGTGGAAAGAAGAAGATTGCTGTCGTCGAGCAACAAATCACCATCTAGGGGATACATGCAATCTAGATATCGTTAAATGTTCCCTCCTCATCCAGCCGTGACATCCACTTCCAGAACTGGCTCGACGGGAAGCCCACGCAGTTGTCGTAACTACCGTCTATCCTGTCGATGAGGAGGCCACCGAGTCCCTGGTGTCAGCTGGGCCCCGTATTTGCAAGCTCACCTGGATTGCAAAGCCGCCGGCGCGGTCGTGGCCTTCCCCATGCTCGACGTAAGACTGAATCTCCTCTTTCTGTCCGTCAGCTTGGAAGAGGGCTTTTTGACTCACCGTGTTCTCGAAGAAGTGGACAAGTGTAGAGCATGAGATGGACTTGAGCTTGAACCCCGGGGCCTCGAGGGTAGGGAACACTGGCGTCAGCCAGTCCATACAGATAACGTACCAATGCACACACCTGTGACGACCTCGCAGCTTCGCCCAGACATGAGGTCGAGGATGCGGAACTGGCGTCAGTTCGCGCCATCTTGTATAGCTACCTGCTCGGCTCTGTTCACTGGCTTTTCGAGGATCTCGCTCCTCTCGCCATGAGCGCTGCCGCCCTCGACTGTCTCCTTCTCGGGCGGGAAGATGACTACTGTATCCGCTGCAGTCAGATATACCACTTCCGTATAGCCCACCGCTTATAACGATCTGCGCGGGGTCCTCGTCGTTCTCCCGCATCAAGCGCTCGTACACCTCCATCGCCTGGCGTTAGCTGGTCCTCAGTCAGCTCATACCTTCTCGCCGGCAGTCGCAATGGGGTAATCGGCCAGATGGCCTTCGAAGTCCGCCTTTGACAAGTCCTCCTCAAACGTTGACGGAATGATCTCGGGCTTGAAGCCCTATCGTCAGCAGTGCCGAGCTCGAGGAACCCACGATGTTCTCGAAGATGTCCTTCCGCCGCGGGGAGCCCGAGGCAAGAACGACGCGCATGTTCTTCAACCGCTCAAAAAGTGGCGAGGACATGGCGGAGGGCAGGACGGAAGAGGGGCGCTTGGGTGCCATCTTGCTATGCTGAGAGGAAAGTCAAGCGCACTCATGCATCGCGCCAACATTGCATGCGGGGGCGGAGGTGGAGGTGGTGAGTCGACCGTGGGAGAGCTCTCCACGTGATGATAGATTCCGCGGTGGAGGTTGAAGATTATTTGGGCCAGATGCGATTCATACGGTGCTCGTGCAACACTTCACACAACTAACCATTGCTCGACGCAGGCAGCAGCCTTCGAGATAGAGCATCATGGCTGAACCACCAGCAAAGCGTTTCCGCGTAAGTTTCTGGACGCTTTCGCGACCTCGCTGACACCAGTATGAGACGTATACACAGAAGCTCGGCCACATCTCCGTGGATGTGGGGCGGCGCAAGGGACTCGACTGGGAGAAGGACCCCGAGGTGGGCTCTCCCTCCGGCGCAACTAACCGCAGGAACTTCCCCTCCTCGCTGAGATGGCTCGCCTCGAGCTCCAGGACCTGACAACGGGATACCAGGACCTGGCGCGCGCGCTGCACCCGCTTACGCGGACACTGCCACTCATTCTCCTCAACCTGGAGCCCATCACGGAGCATTTCAGCGCTTTCTTCTCGAAGCTCAAGAACGGCGAGACTCACGAACACTCGGGCCTTGGCTCCGCGCTGCTCCTCGTGCAGGCGCTCTACGCTACGGTGCTCAGCGCCGGGGTGCCGCATTTCGCGACGACAACGAAGGATCTGGTGCGCGTCGGCGCACTACGGGCCCTCGAGCCGAAGCTGGTTGAGGCTACATACTCAACTCTTTCGCGCTCATTGAGCAGCGTCGCGCCGTCACTTACGCGCGCGGAGAACACGGCCCACTTGCGCGCCGCCTGGGCAGCCGTCCGGCCCTACCTCGGCCCCGCGAACAAGGGCTACGTCCGCAAGGCGCTGGCGGAGGCGTGGGCTGCTCTGCTCCGCAAGGCGCGCAATGAAGCCCTTAACCATCTCACTCGTGTGCTCCTTGAGGAGCCAACGCCGGGTATTGAGGCCGTCTGGGCCAATGCCATGAAGGGCACCAAGACTCATCTCCACTCTCCATCTATCACCATTTATACGATCCTTCTTGATGACCTCGCCACCAACACTACCGAGGAGCAGATTGCGACAATGCGGCATGTCACGATCGCCCTCGTGCACCACTGCTCGTCTTCCGAGACGGCACCTCTGATTCAGGCTGTAGTTTCGCGCCTTGACCTGGTCGACCACAATGCTGCAACTAGCTCCAAGGCCAAGTCGACCGCGAACTTCACCACCTCTACTGCTTTCCTCGATGTTCTTGCCACTTTCCTTTTCACTCGCAAGGGCAAGCGCTTCCCTTCGGCCGAGCTCAAGCCCACCATGCTCAAGCTCCAGTCTCTGGTCGCGCACATTAAGGACGTCGCGGCGGACTCTGAGGGTCTCGCGGACGAGGCGCGCGCCGAGCGTAACCGCTGGCGCAAAGCTTTGGTAGCGTGTATCGTCGGGACGCTGAACTCGGGCAAGCTGGCACAGTGGCTTAACCCCGGCGTCGGGCTCATCGACGCTCTGTGGCAGGCGCTGCCGACCGCCGAGTTGTCCGCCTTCGTTAACATGTGCGTTGCCTTCAAGTGGGCTGGTATCGAGCAGTTCCTGCTCGCACACATCGCGCGGACTGCACTCAGCGGGTTGGAGAAGGACCCGCTGTCCACCCTCGTGCTGCTGAACAACATTGCTGGCGCAGGCTTCCTCGCAGGCGGACTCTCCAACGTTCAGGGCGGCAAGTGGCGGCAGGCCCTCGTCAAGGCGCTGGCGAAGACACTCGCGTCGCTTGGCGAGTTCGACACCCAGGAGCGCCGCATCCTCGGTCAGGTCCTCGAGCTTATCCCATACCTCGCCGGCGAGAGCAAGCATTTCTCTGAGCACCTTGTATCAATTCTGGCCGGATTCTTAGAGAATCCCGAGTCGGCGGCGAAGAACTGGCAAGAGGGAGGTGCGTGGAACGACACCCACGTTATCGGACGCCTCCTGTCCTCCATGTTCCAACTTGCGCTCCGCGGCCCTGCCGCCGTACAGGAGCAGTTCAAGGCGTACATCATCGACAACGACATCTTGAACGTACTTGTCCGGCACTGGCACTGGAGCCGCGAGGTGCTGGTTCAGGTCGCAGACTTTGCAGAGCACTGGCCTGAGGCGCCTAAACAGGACGGCATTCACGTTCTTCTCCCCAATCTTATGTCCGCTGACTCTGCCCTCCGTCTCTCTTCTCTGCGTATTCTCGCTGTGGCCAGCGAGGACCCGGCCATCTGGAATCAGTGCAAGGCGATTGAGCAGGCGGAGATATCGCTGAAGAACACACGCGACCGCACAACACAGATCGCGCGTCTTAGCCGCCAGCTCGCCGCGCTTTCTGACTCCGACAAGGCCGCCGCGCCGACTAAGTGGGCGATCAACTACCTTATCGTGCAGCTCAAGGTCAACTTCCGCCCCGTGTGGGCTGAAACTGTGACCGCTCTCACTTCACTGGTCGGCTCTCACGCCGAGTCAATCTGGACGACGGTTTGGGGCGAGCTGCAGAAGACGATCGTCGCCGGGGAGGCCGTTATGCCTGATCTTGAGGTTCTTTACCCCGACTGGACGAGGCAGAAGGCCATCCAGGAGGAGGTTGAGGATGACTCGGAAGAGAGCGCCGAGTTCCGTTGCCACGGTCTGTTGCGTGCGCGCAATAATGTCCTTCGCGCATGGCAGGAGACGAACGATACAGCAAACCTCGACGTGGTGGAAGTTACCGTAAGCTGAGCATTCATACAACGCTTATATCAGTATCAAATCTCCAAGGATCGCCTGGATGTGCTCAACTACGAGGCGCAGCTGCTTGCCGTGCTTATTGCCAACCCTGGTCTCGCTGAAAAACACACTCGAGTGGTCGTCCCCGTCGTGCTTGCCGTCACAGGGGCGTCCGAGGACGAAGTGACCGTTGCCTCCGGGCATCTCTCAACGCGCAAGCGGCAGGAGCGCACCATCAACTTCCTCGAGCTCTGTGCCAAATTCGTCAACCCGAAGGCGGCGTATCGCTCTATTGAGCTGCACACGCTTTACCTTACTCTCCTGTCCAAGGGCGAGTCCAAGGTGCAGAGCGTGGCGCTCAAGTGCCTCATGACATACAAGTCGCCCAACCTTGTGCCATATCGTGAACGCATGTTCAATCTCCTCGAGGACGCCAAGTTCCGCGACGAGCTTGTCCACCTCGACCTCAGCGTTGACTCGGAGGTCATCGAGCCCTCGCACCGTCCCGAGTTCATTGACGCCGCCATCCGCCTGTTGTACGGCATCATGATGTCGCGCAAGGCACGTAGCAGCACTGCGCAAGGCCAGGGCGCGCGCAAGCAGGCTGTTCTCACCGCGCTGAGTGGATGCAGCTCCGACGAGCTGAAGACTCTTGTCGACCTCATGCTCGAGCCGTTCGGCCAGGTCGAAGAAATCTCGCCGATGGCCCTGGAGACCACAACACTTATCGCCCCCGGCCGCCAGCAACTTGGTTACCTCACCTTCCTGTACGACGTCTTGCGGTACCTCGCCCCGCAGACGGCGCCGCATTGGCCGCGCCTCATTAGCACAACGATTGTGCTCGTGCGTCAGGCGCAGGCCGGCATTGATGCCGAGAAGGTTGGAGAAGCGGAGGAAGAGGTCGACGAGGACGAGGAGGAGGTTGAGGCCGAGGACAAGGGTGCCGTGCCCCTCCGCACCGTCCGGTCGACGGGTCTCAAGCGCCTCGTTCAGTTCCTCCGCTCCACCGTGTTGGACTTCGACTTCTCTCCCTACCTCCCCGTGCTGTTCTCAGCTGTCATTTCGCCTCGTCTTGCTCTCCTCGAGGTCGAGAACACTCAGGCGCCCTCTGGCACCCTTGACCTCATCGCGGCGCTGGCGAGCTCACCCGAAACGGCCAAGAGCCTCGTGCAGTACGACGACCGTACGCTGCCCAAGACGTTTGCATGCATGACCGCCGTCAAGGTCAAGCCTGCTGTTGTGGGACGCGTGTTCGACGTTATCGACTCGCTGCTCATCGACGACGAGCCCGAGATCATCACAGACGTGCTTATGCCCCACATCCGCCCGCTTCTCGATAACATCATCGGCCTTGTCGAGACCCTCCGCTCCTCCGCCAACGAGGATATCATGCGCCGCCTGCTGGCCATTCTGACGCGCCTTTCGTCTATCGTGTCCGATGGCAAGCAGGCGCAGCAGCTCGCGGCCCTTCTGGCTCCAATGCTCCGCCAGCCTGGTCGCCAGGTGCCCGAGAAGGCCAAGGTCAACATCCTACTCACATTGCAGAAGCTGTACGCCATATCGCCTGACTTCGCCGACCCGTCGTCGGCCTTCTTCCACCAGAGCTACAACATGATCTCGAACTTGTTCCAGACGCTGCACTTCCCAGCGTCGCGTCGCGCCCTCGTTTCTGCCTTCAATACGTTCGGCGAGGCAGACGCTTCGCTCGCCCGTTCTGTCGCTCTCGTTGCGGACCTGAACGCGTACCGCGCAAAGCGGATGGACGAGCCCGACTTCGACAAGCGCCTCGAGGCGTTTGCGCAGCTCAACGACGCTCCGACAAGCGAGCTGCCTCAGAACGCACGCGAGTGGCTTCCAATCCTCCGCAGCTCGCTCAGCTTCATCCAGGACCCAGAGGAGTTGTCGATTCGCACGAATGCCTCTGGCGTGTTGCAGCGCTTCGCCAAGATCATCGGCGAGGCCAGCGAGGGCCCACTCGTCGACCAGCTCAAGACGGTCGTACTCCCCTCCCTCCGCCGCATCCTGCTTTCCAAGGTGGAGCTTGTGCGCAACGAGGCGCTCCTTGTTTTCGCGGCTGCTGTGAGGGAGTGTCCCGGCGTGCCAGCGCTCGCTGAGATGCGCCCTCTCCTCGGCGACGACGATGAGACCAACATTTTCGTCAACTTGGGTCACATCCAGGTGCATCGTCGCGCGCGTGCGATCCGTCGTCTGCGTGACATCGTGTCGGAGGGTGGCATTCGCGAGGCGTCCATCTCGAGCATTTTCCTTGTCGTGCTGGAGCACATCCTGACCGGCTCAACGGATGTCACCGACCACCACCTCGTCAATGAGGCCATCACCGCCGTCGGCGGTCTTGCCGGACAACTCCGTTGGTCGCGCTACAACGCGCTGATCAACCGCTTCCTCAAGTTGGGCACGCCGCAGACCAACCAGCAGAAGTTCTACATCCGTGCGGTCACCGCGTGCCTGGATAACTTCCACTTTGACCTGAAGGGCGGCGCCAAGGTTGGCGAGACCGAGAAGGAAGAGGAGGACACTGCGGTCGAGGCTATCGAGGTCGAGACCGAGGTTGACGCCAACGGCCAAGCCGGTGAGGCTGAGCTGTCGGAGGAGGCCCAGGCTCAGGCCACGGAGAAGATCACAAACGTCGTCCTCACACGTTTGCTTCCAAACCTGTCCAAGTTTGTCGCGCAGAAGGGCGAGACGGAGGATACCGTGCGCATTCCCGTCGCCCTCGGAATCGTCAAGCTTGCGGCTGCGCTTCCGGACGAGACGTCGTCAAACGAAATCCTGCGCACTGTCACGACGGTCGCCCAAATTCTACGCAGCAAGGACCAGGACACCCGCGACATTGCACGCGACACCGTTGGCAAGATCGCCGTTTTCCTTGGCCCGACGTGGCTGGTCCGTGTCATCAAGGAGCTGCGTACCGCGCTGCAGCGCGGCCCGCAGAAGCACACGCTGGCCATTACAGTGCACTCGATTCTCGTACACGCCACGACTGAGGCGGGCGACCGGTTCGCTAACCTCGATGAGGCGGTCTCGGACGCGGTTGAGGTCGCCGCCGAGGTCATCTGGGGTGAGAGCGGCAAAGATGTTGCCACCGAGGGCTTCAAGACGAAGATGCGTGAAGTGCGCGGCGCGCTGTCTCGTGGTAACGACACATTCCAACTTGTCTCGCGTCTGGTGTCGCCTTCCAAAATTGCGGCTGTGCTCGCGCCCGTGCGTGAGATCATGCACGTCTCTCAGGCGGTCAAGACGATGGCCCAGGTCGACGAGGTGTTGCGCCGTATCGCGCTTGGTCTCAACTCGAACACATTCGTCGGGCCTCAGGACATCCTCAGCTTGTGCTATTCGCTTATCAATGGCAATTCGGCGTACCTTCGCCCGAAGCGTAAGGCGCCCAAGTCTGCCGTCAACGACCGTTTCACAGTGCAGATGAAGCGGGACATGAAGGAGGACGAGGACGTGTACCCACAGAATGCGCACAAATTCGTCACCTTCGGTCTTGACCTGTTTGTCACGGCCTTCCGCCGTGGCAAGTTTGACTTTGACGACATCAATATTCTTTCGCGCCTCGGGCCGCTCGTCAACGCCATTGGAAACACCCTGTACTCGCCGGAGGCGGGTATCCTCACACTGGGCCTGAAGGCCACAGCAGCGGTGGCTAAGTGCCCGGTCCCGCAGGTGGACGAGGCCCTTCCCGCATTTGTGAACAATATCTTCAAGATCATCAAGAACGCTGGCGGCACCGCTGAAAGCGAGGTTGCTCAGACCGCACTCAAGACGCTCGCCGTCCTCATCCGCGACTGCAAGGCGACCAGCATTTCGGATGCTCAGCTCCGCTACCTTATCGAGGTGGCCTCGCCGGATCTGGAGGACCACGAGCGCCAGTCATGCCTATTCACGGTCCTTCGCGCCGTGGTCGCGCGCCGCTTCGTTGTTCCAGAGATCTACGACCTCATGGAGCGCGTCAGCAGCATCATGGTCACGAGCCAGAGCACGCACGTGCAGGAGATGTGCCGCGGCGTGCTCATGCAGTTCCTCCTCGACTACCCGCAGGGCAAGGGCCGTCTCAAGCAGCAGATGACCTTCCTCGCGCGCAACCTGGACTATGTTTTCGAGAGCGGTCGCATCTCCGTCATGGAGGTTCTTTCCGCCATCTTCACCAAGTTCTCGCCCGAGCTGATCGAGGCATACGCAGATATGTTCTTCGTCGCTCTCGTCGGCGTGCTCGCCAACGATGACGCGGAGAAGTGTCGTAACATGGCTGGCGCGCTGCTCCAGCAGCTGTATCGCGCTCTTCACGAGGACAAGCAAGCGCATATGCTGGGCGTGCTCCAGGGTTGGATCGCGGTTAAGGAGGAACAGCCTGCCCTGGCCGCCTCTTCGCTGGCAGTATACGGTCTCCTCTGCGAAGCGGAAGACAGCGAGGGCGAGCTCACACGTGGCCTCCCTGCTCTAATCACGCCCGTCCTCGAGGACGGCGCGGCCAACCTCGCCCGCGCTGAGGCGAGTGACATTGAGCTCGAGCTCGACCACGCCGTCCCGCACCAGGCCCTCGCGCTCGTCGCCAAGGCACTCAAGGCGCGCCCTGCGTCTGCTCGCGAGATGCCGTGGGATGCGATTACCGCCCACCTCCTCTTCCCACACGAATGGGTGCGCTTCGGCTCCGCACGTGCTCTTGCCGTTTTGCTCGCGGCCGACGCGGACGCACTGGACGCCGATGCCGCGCTCGACGTCGCACGCAAGTCCTGCATTCTCCTGGGCGGGAGCAAGAGCGAGACTGGTGCTGATGTCGTCGTGGACGCCAAGCTCGCCGACCAGCTCGTCAAGCTCCTGTGGAACATCAGCAAGCACTGGGCCAAGACGGACAAGGCGAACAAGGGCGAAGCCAACGGCGCGGATGCCGAGATGGACGAGGACGAGGACGACGAAGGCGAGGGAGAGGAGGGCCCGAGCGATGGCGAGCGCCCGCTGCACTGGCTCATGTCGCGCATGTCCTTCCTTGCGCGCCGTCTGATCATCCACCGCCCCGCGACGAACAGCGCGCTCCCCGGCCAGCCCCTCCCGTGGGTCGGGCCGGTGCAGTGCATCCTCCGGTTCTTCGCAGGCACACTCGACGCGCTGAACCGCGCGCAGGCGCGTCAGTTCCTCCCGCACGTCCTGGGTCCCGTGTACCGCATCACAGACGAAGGCGGCGACCTCGTGGGTCTCGTGGGGCCCGAAGGGCCCGGCGGCAACGGCGTGGCCGAGCTGCGCACGCTCGCGACCGAGGTGCGCGACTTCGTCTCGGCCAAGGTCGGGACAACGGCATTCTCCAAGGCGTGGGAGGCGATCCGGCGGCGGACGACCGCCAAACGTGGCGAGCGGCGGGAGAAGCGGCAGCGCATGGCTGTCGCGGACCCGCGCGCGTGGGCGGCCCGGCAGGAGAAGCGTGGCGTCAACAAGAAGGCGAGCAAGAAGCGGAGGGCGGACGCATTTATGGACGTCAAGCGTGCGCGGCGCCGTCAGGATTAGTTAGTAGTGGGCTTAGGATCAGTCCGCCATACCCCGCATGTATACCAGATATAGATCAATGTTACGGATTACCGAGTCGTTCTGGCTGCGTTATCTATTCGTGGCATGGTACGGTACAGTTAGATCTGGAGATCAGACGGGCGCGCGTCGGCGCGCAGGGCTGAGCGGCTCTGCCGGCTCAGCGTGCTCGAGTTCAGAGCGTCTGGTCGCGGGCGATCACGCCCGCTTGTCGTCGGGCAGCGCGAAATCCTCGTGGAACTCGCGCGGCGCCTCGTTCGGGTGGTACGCCCGGCGCAGATGGCGGTACTTGCGGATCGAGTACATTGCGAGAATCTCTGCGGTGTCAGCGAGCACTTGTGGCTGCAGCCGACAACAGTCTGGCGCGTCGACAGTCCAACACCACGTGACATACGCCAAGCCCGGCGTTCTGCGCCGCTGCAACGCATCGCCGAAGAGCGCCGAGATAAGACGACGACGCGTGCAGCGGAATAGCTCGGACGGGCTCGCTTGGGTGCCTGGACATGCGTGGCATCAAGTCGGTTAGATCAACGCGATGACGCGAGGATCCAAACAAGCACTCGCTTTCGGCACTCCGCCCGAGTCAAAATGCCACCACCCCACACGCCACCCCCGCGGACCCCGCAACCACACCCCGTGCGAAAACTTCGCCGCCGCGATCACGGGCGGCGCGGACGCGATAAGGGGTCGCGAAGGTGGAGGTTGCGGAGCACAGCAGAGCAGAGCTACGTCTTCGTCCTCCTCGCCGCGAGGTGTCTTTGCACGCCTCCCCACTGCCCACCCCCCAGCCTCCCACTCACCCTTCTTGATGTGCTCGGCGAGGTCGAGCTGCTGCTTGAGCTTGACGGGGTCGGTAATGTTGGCGTTTTCTGCGGTTAGCTGAGCTCCGCAAGCAGACGTACTCTCGAATGCGCGGCGGAGGCGCATGTTGAAGTTGTACTCGGGGTCGGGGCTGGAGTCAGCGACTGCAGCTGCTGGCGGCGAGGTGACGAGTGGCTGCGATGTCCGAGCGTCGCGACGCGTCCGTATCAGACACGAGGGGCGATAGGATTGCCTGTCGCTCATGTGGAACTTACTAGTCACGGCCGAGACGGTGGAGCTGTTGTCAGCCTCGTTATCAGTGGCAGGGCCACTCACCTCCTTGTATACGCGGCGCGCCTTGGTGCGCATCGACTCCATTGATGGGAGCTCCTCGGCTTCAGTGGGAGGGGTTGGGGCGGCAGCGGCAGCCGTCGATGCAGCGCGGAGGGAGGATGCGCCGGCGTTGCGCGTGGCGAAGTAGCGGAGGGCGGCGCGGAGGGACATGGTAGCGGATTAGGTATGGGGGGTTGGTGGGATGGAAGGAAGAAAAGCACAGGCGTCCCGTGCAGTCACTTGTGAGCGTAGTCAAAGGCAAGGGCGGAGACAAGATGAGGGCGAAGAGAGAAGAGATGGAGGCGAGGAGGAGCTGATGGCGAGGAGGGGGTGGGGGATGATGAGAGTGGCGGAGTGAGGATGGAGGTTCGGAGACGAGACCCGACATGCCGGCCGCCGCTGCGAGAGAAGGTCGGCCCGAGTCATTCGCCTCCCTTCCAGGAACGTCATGACGTGGGAGGCAGAAGAAGACGGAGATCGGTGATCTCCGCCTTTTCCATGCAAGCCAGGGACGCGGACGACCCCGAGCTCCGAGATGATGTCCGAATTCGTGCTTACCAAGTTGTCCTGCTCAAGTATTTTGTTTCTCGCGTCTCATCTCGTTTTGTCTTCGCCCTCATCTTTCACCATGCCTGCACCGTGAGCTAGAACGTTGATTTCGCTGAGACCAGAACCAAGCCCGCGTCCGAGCAGCCCAAGGAGGTCAACCCCCTCAACCCCAAGGGCCTCAAGCCGTGAGTGCTGCAGGTGGAGGTGGAAGCGAGTGTCAAAGACGTGTCGGCGTTGCGGCATAGCGGCTCGGCGGTCACTAGCTCTGACCCTGCCAACACGGTCTTGGAGAGATGTACGCCGAGTGACGCGGCGCTGACTCGGTGCTGACGCGGCGCCAGCGACGCCGGTTGACACCGCTCCGCACTCTTCTTCCCTACCTCCACTGTTGTCGATCTGGGAGGATGCGTTGCTCACGCCAGATGCTGCGCCTGCCCCGTCACCAAGTCGGCGCGTGACGACTGCTTCATCAAGTACAACTCGGACGAGGCGGCCATCAAGTGCGCCGACTTGATAGACCAGCACAAGGCGTGCATGCGCGGCTACGGCTTCAAGGTCTAAGCCCCACACTCCTCATCTATCTAGACAAGCCCGACCCCGTCGGCGACACCGGCTCGGCCGGCTCATTCAGACTTGCATGCACCATTCATCGTGACTGAGAGCGCGCAGAGAAGGGCCACAGTCCCAGTGTCGGTCACAGCAGAGCATGCGAGTTTCTTCCTTTTTCAGCGTCGTGTCAACCTACGCGTTCAACGACCTGCTCAGCCTCCTCCCTGCAATGAGACATGGCGTGCATACATGGCCAGCGGGTATAAGGATACATGGTGGGCCTCGCCCTCTACTTCTTCGCCTTCTTCCGCTTGTCGCCACTTGGTGTTGTGTCGCGACTCGCTGCGTTGCTCTTGACATCGTCCAGTGCGCGCTTCTTGCCGCCCTTGGGCTTGTCGTCTGCTTGGTCCTTCATCAGGCACAGCAGCAACGTCTGCCCACGGCGCCGCAGCTCCTCGGGCGTGCGGCTCTTGAAAAACCAGTCGAAGCGGAACAACGGCCACTCGCCAATGTCCCGCTTGATGAGCTCGTAGCAGTCATCCCTGTCGATTCCGTGGTGGTGCATCCGCACAAGCAGGAATCGATCCTCCTCGTCAGAGTACGACTTGCCCTTGTTCTGCCCATACTGCACGCGCAGTTCCTGCATCGGGTAGTTGTAGGACTTGACCTTTTTGTGGAGCGCCGCAATCTTGTCCACGTTCTCGCGCAGCTTCTCCTCGCCAGCACGGATACGCGCCATGTACTTGTCGGCATCCTTGAGCTCGGTGTAGCGCTTGAAGAATACCTTAGCGTACTCGCGCACCTCCTCCTCGGTCTTGTCCTGCATGTCCGCCGCCACCTTGTCAAGAGCGTCACGCCCGTACCGCTCCAGCCCCTTGATGAAGGCCAGGAAGTGGCGACGCTGCCAGTCGGCAAACCCGTCGCCTGCGAGCTCCTCCTTCTCTTCCTTCTCCTCCTCAGTCAATGGGACGGCTGGCAATTAGCTTGATTCTCTTCGCAAAACTCACCATTGTTGATCTTCTCCTGAGTCTCTTGCCTCTCGGTCTCAACATCCTCGGCAGTCTCTCCCTCCTCAGGCTCGCGCACCGGGACAACATAATTCTGCTCTTTGAGGTAGAAGTTGTGCTCGCGGTTCTGAAGGTCGGTGAGACGGGGAGGGTAGAACTGGAAGTCATTGATGTGTACCTGCTTGGGAGGGCGCGGGATCTTGGGCTTGTCCGGCTTTGATGGTCCCGTCTTCATGTTGTCGCGGTAATACTGATCGATCGAGTAGTTGCCCTTGCGCTCGCGCTTGGCGGGCTCGATCCAGATCATGCTCTTGCGCTTGGCAGCAAAGTCCTCGCCCTCCCACTGGTTAATCAAGCTTTCCGAGCGGAAGTTGTTGAGCGCGTCAAGATCAAGGCCCTGGTATTTCTTATTGAGCTCAGCGGTCTTCTCCTCGCCGCGCCGGATAATGTCGTCAATATCATCGTCAACCATCATGTCTGTCGAGCTGTTGATAATCTTCTCCGCGCCATGCTGGATCATGTCCAGCAGCTCATCCTTGTTCGAGCCAACCTTCTGGTTCTGCTGGGCTCGGCCCTCCTGGATTACCAATTGATCAAGCTTTAGCTTTTGTGTCGCACGCTCCAGAATGCGTTCTTCGACGGCATCCTGCGTGATGAAGCGGAACACGTAGACCTGTTTGGTCTGACCGATACGGTGGGCGCGATCCATGGCCTGCAGGTCTGCCTGCGGGTTCCAGTCCGAGTCAAAAAGCACGACGACATCGGCAGTCACAAGGTTGATACCCAGACCACCGGCACGAGTGGTGAGGAGGAAGATGAACTTCTCGCTGTCTGGAGCGTTGTAGTCATCGATGGCGCTGATACGGTCATCGTGGGCAGTGTTACCGTCGATACGGCAGTACTCTGCACTAGTCAGCCGGGACAGCTCAAGAACAGCTGTGAACACTCACTGAAGCCGCGGAATTGGCAGTAGTCCTCGAGAATGTCAAGCACACGGCTCATCTGCGAAAAGATCAGAACACGCGAGCCCTTAGCCTGCATTGACTTGAGCAACTTGTCCAGAATCATCATCTTGCCCGCATTGTCGATGAGGTGCTCATCCGTGGTGTAGGGAGGACCGGGCTCGGCGCCGTCGAAGACTGTGGTTAGCTGCTGCTGTCGCTGCACGCTCACGGTAAGGATGGTTGCAACACTTGCGTAGCTGCATGACAATGTTGAGCAGACGCGTCTTGCCCTCCTTCTTGCCGGATGCACCGTTAACCGCGTCAATGTCCTTCTCGAGGAGCATACGGTACCACTTGCGCTGCATCTCGGTCATGCCGACGTAGAGATTGATCTCCTTTTTGGGGAGGAGCGAGTGCTCAACATCAGACTTTACACGGCGGAGGAGGAAGGGACGAAGGACCTTGTGAAGCTGCTTGACTATCGCGTCCGGCTCATCGCCCTCTTTGGACTTGAACCACTCGTCGAAGTCCTCGCTGGACGAGAAGACGTCGGGTAGAATGAAGTTGAGCAACGCCCACAGCTCCTGGAGATTGTTCTGGAGTGGGGTTCCGGTGATCAGGAGGCGGCCACGGGACGTGAAAGTGCGGATGATCTGGCTGAGAAGCGAATCGACATTCTTGATGCGGTGTGCTTCATCAATGATGATGTACTCCCAGCTGAACTTGCGGAGAGTCGACTTCTCACGCAGACACATCTCGTAAGAGGTGATGAGGATGTCAAACTTCTGGGTGAGGATCTGGTCATTGATGAGTTGGGCCTGGCAACGTTAGCAACATTCCGTTCGCGATTTGCGCAGCACTCACGCGTTCCTCCTTGGTGCCTTGGAGCACCAGGACGCGGAATCCGGGCACCCATTTGTTAACCTCACGCTGCCAGTTGTCGAGGGTGGACTTGGGCACGACAACGAGGTGGGGACCATTGATGCCGCGGTGGAATTTGAGGTAGCCAAGGAACGAAATGGTCTGGAGCGTCTTGCCGAGACCCTGATACATCAGCGCAGTTGACAAAGACGGCCCACCATCTCGTCTGCCAAGATACCGTTGATGCCATTGTGATGCAACGAGGCCATCCAGTTCAGACCCTGCACCTGGTAGTCGCGCATCTTCCCGCCTTTGACGTCTGGAGTCAGCTGGAGAAAGTGTCGATGAGATCTCACAAGCTGGGCTTTCCTCAAAGACAAAGGCGTCGTCCTCGGCATCCTCGTCCTTCAGGAGCTCCTCGTCCTCCTCCTTCTCAGACTTGCGGTGGCGGTTATCGCTGGCGTCAACAAAGTCCTGCCTCCACAGCTCACCTCGCCTTCTTCTTCCCCTTGGAGCTTTGAGCAAGCTGCTCGTCAAGCATGGCAGCGAACTCGGGCTCGCGCTGCTTCTGAATTGTCAGTTCCATTCCGTTGGAGAACCCACCTTGAGATCCACGAAGTGTTGGAAGAGCTCCGTTTGACCAAGCAGGTAGTTGAAGCGCTTCATTGAGTCGGCGAGCTAGCACGTCAGCTCCCGGGCCCGTGGCTGAGCCTACCTTCGCCTTCTCCATAGCACCGCGCTTTTGGCTGATGTCCTGAATGTGCGCTTTACGTTGCAATGTGGCTGCTTTGCGCGCGGCCGTCTGCTCCTGCCGACGCTGAGCTGATGGTGTTACGGTCTGCGATGTCAGCTGCCCTCCCTTACGCCTTCTTACCACCTCGCCACCCGCAATGGCCTCCTCATCGAGTTCATCGTCCGAGTCAATCAACTCGTCCTCTCCATCATCTTCAGGCGTTACAGGCCCGGTATTGATGTGATGCTTGTCCGACCCCGATGTCGATGCCTGAAATCAGCTGAAGTGTTCGCTAGGCTAGCTTCCCGACGCCTATCCCCTCGCTGCCACTTCAAAATGAAGAGCAAATTCTCCCTTGCTCGCCGTGACGCCCGATATCGACGTTCGCCTAGGCGAACCTCGTCACAGACGCGTCATGCAGGGATTGCGGCAAGGAATTATAGGGTACAGCGCGACTCACAGCTCGAGACATGGAGAGGTCGCGCGAGTCTGGGACATAGTCGGAAAGCTTGTCATCGTCGAGGCCCGACTGCGCCTGGTTGGCCGCCGCGAGAAGCGGATTCTGTTGTCAGCACTGAGATTGTCGAGGATGTGTCCCACAGGACAGCTGCTGGAAGACAGAGCAGTGACTGACCATGACTGTGGGTGTGAGAGTGGTATCGCGGGGGGTAATGCAAAAGTGATGGAGAGAGATGTGAACGATAGCAGTTGCAAGAGAGAAAGGAAAGGAGTGGGATGGAGGACGAAGTGGTGCCAGGAGGAGCTGCTCGTACAGGTAACCCTTCATCAGACTACGCGCGGGGGTGGAGGCAGCGAAACATAACACAACGCGCGCGACTCGTTATTCAGGCCCTCCTCTTGCAAACTAATGAAAGTATTAGGGCCATTAGGGATCCCTCATGCCTTCCAATCTGCTCGAAATTAGCGCGTGTCTACTCCACGTGGCTTGGCATCAATTGGGGCTTGCGCGCCTATGTGCTACCAAACAAAAAGGCGTGGTACTGGGTGGCGAGCGAGGGGTGGCTGAGTTGCGGTGTCGCTGGTGATCGCTCGATAACCACAATCCACCAACAAACATCTCTTCATTCATCCCAGCTGTGCACAACCGCCGCATCCATCGCACTTTCTCGCGACCCCCTGCTCAGCATGAGCGCCCCGTGGTCTGGAACAGCCACAGAGCCTGTCCCTCACCTCCCTCCAGGCGCCATTGCGCAGGCAAACGCTCTCTCCCTTCCCTCGCCCCACCCTCCATCCATACCGTCCGCCGGTGTCCAGCCCGACGTCAAGCCCATGTCCAATGGCTCAATAGCTCCCGGCTCGATAGCAGGTGCCGCGCCGCCTCGGCCGGCCGGTTCAGCGCCAGGAGTCAACTCTAACGGTGTGTTTACCTACTTGTCCTACCATGGCTGTGGGAATCATGCTAACGCGCAGGGAAGCGAGAGCTGTCGCCGGGTCCACACGGGCAGCCGCCGCAGAAGACGATAAAGGCGACACACGCAGTGGCAGCGAGTGGTGCGCCTACGCGATTGCAGAGTACTGATGTCAGCGCCTGCGCAGGCTCCTCCACTGGCCGGGCCCGCTGTGTCCGCACCTAGGCCCCCCGCAGCTATGCTTCCCATGGGCCGTGGACAGGGCATCGACCTCCGCGCCGAAGAAGAAGCAGCTCGTCGCGCTGCGCGCTCGGCTGTCGGAGGAGCCAGGTTTGCAGGCAGCGGGAGTCGCGCAAAGCACACCGACCTCCTGGGCGAGCAAGCTTTGAGGGCAAGACTGCATCGCATATGTGCGCAATCCAGCTGATGGTGCTAACTTTAGCGCACGAACACGGGATGGCGTTTGATGACGAAGCAATGCGCCTCCTCGCGATGGGTGCCGAGACACGTATGCGGTCTCTGCTTGGGTCAGCGGTCCGCGCGCAACAACATCGTGTCCACTCAACGCACCAGCATAAACCACCTATGCGTGCGAGCGGTAGTAAGGGTGCGAAGCCTTTGTGGAGCCAGAAGATCACATCGGACACGGCTGCCGTAATGGCCGCACTGGCTACGGCGAACAGGGAGCAGAACAAGGCGCACCGTGTTGCGAGGACGGAGCGCAATGCGCGTGAAACAGAAATGGCTCGCGCCCAGGCTGCAGCTAAGGAGCGCGAGGAGCGCGAAAGCGGCTCGGCGCCGGACACCGGGGCCGGCGCATCTCCAGCCGCACCGCCAGACGAGCCCGGACCATCCCGTCAGCGGCCCAGTGAGCCGGTGTTCCAGGCGTCACCCACGTTCGGGGGCCCTCCGCCGGTGCCAAAGAAGTCGAAGGGCAAGAAGGCTGGCGGGCGTGACATGAGCGCCGAGGTTCAGGCCAAAATAACGAACCAGACAGCGACTGTCAACGCTGGCCGCAAGCGGTACGCGTGGGAGATGGGTGGCGGGGCATTCCGACCACAAGTGTCATCGCTGCTGAGCGGGAAACGGAAGAAGGAGAAGGTGGAGGAGGAGGAGAAACAGCCACGGGAAGAGGAGGTCGAGGCACCGCCACCACCCAAGAAGAAGCGAACGGTGTCAGCGCCGCACCGCCGCCCAGTCGATGTGGCCGTGCGCGGTGACAAGCGTGCTCGTGACGACACAGCCCTCACAGTGGTCGACGTCGTGTTTGCGCTCGAGCGTGAGGGGAGCGGGCGCGGGATGGGGACTGCCGATGAGATTGTTCGCCGGCAGTACGCCAAGCCAGGCGGCCCCTATGGTCCGTGGCAGTGAACATTAACGGTTATTGAGATTAGGAGTAGTCGTGAGGCGTGTCGAATGTCCTGCGCGTAGTGTAGCCAGAGCGCCCCCTGTACAATTAGATGCATAGTGGCTACGCGCGCAGGAGGGCGCAATGCTCGCAACAATGGGTAAAATAAGAGACACTTGTTTTGGTGCCGTGGATGAGAGGGGAAATGATACATGCTACATGATCTGGCATACTACTGCAGAGCCTTGGCGACGCGCGCCGCCACGTCCTTCTTGTCGACGGCGGCCCGCGCCTCCCCCAACCGTTCCCAGAGCGCCTTCATGACACTCCCCGTCTGACCCTTGTTGCGCGTCTCGAGTGAAGCGACGATCTCGTCAATGATCTTCTGCACCGCCTCGGGCGTCGGCGCTTCCGGCATGTACTTCTCGAGCAGGGCGATCTCGTTGTTAAAGTTGGCGTAGTGCTCCTCACTGGCGCCGGGCGCGCCTGGCGCATACGACTCGGCGGCCTCGCGGCGCTTCGCGATCCCCTTGCGGATCGTGTTGACGACCGTCTCCTGCGTCGCGGGGTCGTTGGGCGTCGAGCCGCTCTTGACGACGTACGTCACATCAGCGATTATGGCCTGGCGTCAGGTCTCCGCACGTCAAGTCCGCGCATACCCAAACGCACCTTGAGCGTCGAGACGGCCGCCTTGTCGCGCGCCTTCATCGCGTCCTTGAGCGAGTCGCGAAGGCGAACCTCGAGCGCAGACTTTTCGGCGAAGCGCAGCGCTGAGGTGTGAAGTGCGCGCACATTGAGGGCAAGGACGGAACGGCGGAGCATGGTGAGACGAGTGCAAGTTGCTTTTCCGCCCGAAATCTCTGAAGTCGCGAGTTCTTGGGCGGAGCGCGGCATCTCCGGCTAATTAATTGGATCGTCACCACCAGAAATTTGAGCCCGCCTGGACGATTTCTTGCCACTGGCCACTGGCCGAAGACATCCCAAGCTTGTCAACAATCTTCCTCGCATGCGCTATCTCTTGCGCGCCATGACGAGACAGCAGACACGCGGTTGGGTACGCGATCCTCGCTCGACTGAGCCCGAGCTGAGGGACGCCGACTGGACGTCCGACAGCGCACCCACCACCTCCTCTTTCGCGTCATTCGGCGGTGCGGCGGCGCACGGTCACCTGCCACCCCCAGCGAGTCGCCTCCAGCCGGATGACTACGGTCGCCATCACCAACAGCCAGGTTACAGCGACCGGTACCAGAACCATAATCAGAATCAGTACCCGCACCAGGACTGGTACCAATACCAGCCGCGCTTTAACTCAGGCAGATACGCATACCAGCCCGATCGATTCGACGACCGCCCTAGCTACAGATATGGCCGGGACGAACGCCAACGCAGTGGTAGACGCTACTGGGAGCAGCACCAGGGCGTGGGTTCCTCGTCGTCAGTGAACGGCAACGGGAGCTACTCGTCCAACCCCGGCGGATATGGTGATGGCAACTTCAAGCAGTCCTACCAGGGCTACAGCTACTCCTCTCACTCCTACCAGTCCATGCCCCCGGCTCCCCAGCACTCTTCCTCACGCCACTACTACAGTCGCTCGTCATCTCAAGACTATGACGGCGGGGACCACTTCCGCTCGAGGTCGCACCAGGATCGGAGCAGCGCACGGCCAGGCTCCTCCCGCCAGGGGACCCCCGTGCGCGACACGTTCAAGATCCTTCCCCCTCGGCGCGAGTACATCTTGTACTCTTGTGAGCCTTTGCATTCACCCGAGGTGCCCGTTCCCAAACTCCTCGTCCTCGACCTGAACGGGGCGCTCGTGTATCGCACCGAGCGGGGAGGCTCTCCACGCGTTGCATACCCGCGCCCCTTCTTGGCCAACTTCCTCAGTTACGTGTTCGGCAATGATCCCGACGGGCGCGGGTATGAGGTTCTTGTGTGGTCGTCGGCTCAGCCGCACAACGTGCGGAACATGGTCGAGTCAACATTCGAACCCTCGCTTTACAAAGGCGTGTGGGAGAGGGAATCGCTTTCAGAGGTGCGCCGCCGAGAGAAACGTGGTGAGAGCCGCCTACTTGACGTCTGGGCACGCGACAAGATGGGCCTCAGCGCCAATGCATATGGTGAGTGTGAGGGTGCAACTCCGCTAAGACCAGGGCAAAAGGTCCAGACCGTCAAGGATCTGCGCAAGGTCACAAATGTGTATAACATGTACAGCGAGAAGACGACCGTGCTCCTCGACGATAGCCCGCTGAAGGCTATTCATCAACCGTGGTCGCAGGTGGTCATCCCAGAGTTCGACCGGCCAGAATTCACCCAGGCGCGCTCTGCCGCCCAGCGTCTGTGGGAAGAAGCGGAGACACGCGGTGCAACGACCACAGCGTTGGACGACGGCTCAACGGAACCAGAGATGGACAACATTCTCCTTGGTGTGATTGGTATTCTCGAGGCGATGCGCGATGTGGATAACGTGCCCGCGTGGGTCCGCGCTGGCAACCTTAGCTCGCCTGAGCACCCCCTTCAAGAAGTCCCTTCGATGTCGGTTACGCTCGCCGACCTTCCGACGCACGACACGTTTGTTCCGTGGTTCAAGGACGGGGAGGCGCACAAGTACTGGATCGAGCGCGGGAAGGAGGCGCTTGCACGACGCGGCATCCCCGTGTCTCACGGCCTCATGCCAGACGGGCACGGCGCAACATCGACGCGCATCGAGGATATCGAGCGTGTCGCGGAACGGAAGCGTACTGCAACGCTCGAGCGTATCGCAGAACGGACGCGTACTGCAGAGCTCGAACGCATGGACGGGCTGGACTGCGCGCGGCCCGACGGCAGTGCGTCGCAGCCGATCGCCATTCATAGTGACGTCGAAGAGGAGGACGACGACACTTCTGACGATGGGACACCAAAACAGACGAAGAAGGTCAGCAAGCGGAAACTGAAGAAGAAGGCGGAGAAGAGGGCATGGAAGGAGCGGGTCAAGCTGGCAGAGGCCAAGGCTCAGGCCGATGCTGAGGCTGGAGTCGGAGATGGCGGACAGGCGCGGGGCGCGCGCGAGGATAGTGTGGCGACTGTCATCGACGCCCCTCGGGACGACTTGCCCCCGGGAATCGAGCCTGTGCCGATAGTGGAGCACATTACGGGACGGAAGCAGGATTCGACACTGGGTCGCGCCGCCGTGGCGCCCGCTCCATTCTATGTGCAGAGGCCGGCCCCTCCTACGCGACACGCGTACGGAACACGCTCACAATCCGCCGCGGCCAAGGTCACGGCCACCGCGCCTGCCGACAACTCCTCCCCCACGTTCTCCCCCTCGCCTAAACCCAGGGAGCGGGAGTACTCGCCCTCCAAGCCTGTGTATTGACGAGCCACCCACCTGCGCGTGTAGATTCGGCTCCTATAGTTTTCGTGATATTGCGAGCATACGACCCTGTGAGCAGTCGCGAGCAGCGATAGCCTCGGCTAATGAAGTCGCTGCTCGGCCGTGGCATGATGGGGAAATGATTACATAGCATTGTAATTTGTGTGTACTATGTTTCCTTGGCCCACACGCGCTCTCCCGCGACCCACGTCTGCGCGACGCCCTGCTGCGCCTTGCGCAGGCTATCTAACCGGCCGTCAAAGGGGTCGATGTCAAGAACAGCAAAGTCAGCCGACTTGCCCGGCTCGAGGGTGCCGACCTCCTTGTCCGCACGCATCGAGTACGCGCCCCCGGCAGTGTAATACCGCACCGCGGTCTCGAGTGAAACGCAGAGACGAGCAAGGTTCTTCGTGCGCTCGTCGACGGGATCAGGCAGCGAAGGGTTGATGGCGCTCAACCGCGTCGTCGCGGTATACATATTCGGGAGGGGATGGTATGGTGCTGTCGGTGCGTCCGAGCCGAACGCGACGTCGGCGCGCGCATCCTCGAACTCCTTCCACGGAAACTTGCGGTCGCAGCGACACCCGTATCCGAGCTGCGCGTCCCAGTTGACGACCTTGACGGGATCGGCATGCACAGGCTGGAGGGACGCGACGACGCCGAGGCGGGCGAGGCGCGGGATGGCGTCGGCGCCCACGACTTCGAGGTGTTCGATGCGGTGCCGGCGCTCGCGCGGCCCGTTGGCGGCAGCCGCCGCCTCGAACGCGTCGAGCGCTTGGTCGACGGCGGCATCGCCGATGGCATGGCACGCGACTTGGAGGCCGAGCGCGTCGGCCAGCTGCACGACGCGCGTCAGCTCGTCCGCGGGCCAGATAGGCCCCGGCGCCGCGCCGTTCGGATACGGCTCGCGCAGGAACGCCGTGCACGCGTCCACGACGCCGTCGCTGATGATCTTTATGCCTGCTACGCTGAGCCACGGGGCGAGCGGGGCGAGGCGCGCGCGGTGCGCCGCTGCGACGCGCACCTCGTCTGCGGGCGCCGCGCCGGGGCGCACGAGCCAGTGGCACGCGACGCGCAGCGGCAGCCGGCCGTGCGCCGCCGCATACGCTTCCAGCGCCGCGAGGTCTTCCGGCGTCGTCGCCATGTCGACGGCGCCCGTCACGCCCGTGGCGAGGTACGCGTCGAAGACGGAGGCGAGGAGGGCGTGGCGCTGCGCCGCCGTCGTTTGCGCCGCGACCCACGGCCACGAGTATTCGACAACGGCGGTTTCGCGCCAGTAGCCCGTCAGCTCGCCTGCGGCGTCGCGCACGAACTCGCCCCCCAAAGGGTCCGGCGTGTCGCGCGTCACGCCGATGGCGGCCATCGCGGCAGAGTTCAGCCACGCAGAGTGCAGCGACGAGTTGTCGATGATGCATGGTTTGTCGGGGCATACTTCGTCCAGCCAGCGCTTGTGCGGCGGCGCCCCGATCGCGTCGTACTGGAACTGGCAGCCCAGCACCATCTGCGCGTCGGGCTCCGCGTCGTACCGCGCCTTTATTGCCGCTTGGATTTCGGGGATGGATTTCCCGAGGCAGTCGACCTTGGTCAGGCTCCCGCCGAGGAGCATGAGGTGCGAGTGCGCGTCGATGATGCCTGGCAGCACAACTTTGCCGCGCAGGTCGACCACCTCAGCGCCCTGGGCGTGCGCGGCCGCGTCGGATGCCGAACCGACGAACACAATCTTGTCTCCCCGGATCACGAGCGAGTCGTGCAGCGTCCCGTCGGACGTGCTCGTGAAGATGCGCCCGTTCTTGAAGTGCGTCGTCTTGCTCATGGTGGGGATAGTTGACGCAAGGATGAGGGCGCCGTGTATATGGGCAGGAGGGAGGTTGGAGGGGAGACTTGATTTTTCGGCAAACGTCGCTCAACTCCGACGGCGGATGTACGGACTTTTCCGAGGCCAGTGGAGATCCGGCCTTCTTCAACCGTAATAACTCAACGATGAAGAGGTAGATGATACAGATGCATTCTTTTAGGTTGCCCGGCGCTGCGTTCCACTGCGCGCAGTTGCTCGGCAACATGTCGCCACTGTGTGATGCGCAGACGCCAAACGACCCCCTGCGCGCCCCCGCCCCAACTCACTCGTGCCCCATCAACTCGCCGCCCGCGAGTTAAGCGCTCCTAACCGCCGCTCCCCACTCAGGGGCGGCATGCGCCGTCGCATATCGTCCGGCGTCATGGACCGCACCGCCGAGCTCGCAGTCACACTCGTTGCAGGCCCAGGCGCCCCACTCGACGCCGAGCTCACTATTCCAGGCCGTGGTACCATGGGGGGAGGCAGACGCCGCGGCGCGCGCTCAACCTCGTCGACCACAATGACCTCGCCGTCCTCAGCGTCGACCGTCGACGCGCTCGCGTCAATGTCCTCGCTCGCCAACGCGCTCGCGCTGTCCGTCGGTGCGAGCGCTGCTACTCTGTCGGCAAGGTCCTGTCCCAGCCGCCCTATGCCCTGGGACATGGCGTTCAGCGCGACTGTCCGCAGGTCCGTCTCAGTCGGAATAACCGGGACAGCATTGGGCGAGTCAGGTCGGGAGAGGAGACGCGGAAGGCCGAAGGTCAGGTGGTGCGGGTAGACGAAGCGATCCTGGATTACGGCGCGGAGACGGGCAACAATGAGTTGCTCGAGTTTGGGAATATCTAATGTCAGCGGGGAGCGAATGTAAATAGTCACCTTGCAACTTTGCCCTGCTACCGAGCAGACTCGTCGTCTTTAGGTTGAGGTGGAAGTCGGGGAGGAGGCACACGTGCAGGTGCTGTCTGTCATCCTTGGGGTGGTGGATCTGCACGCTCAGCGTGCCTCCGACAGACACGAGCTCAACGCCGATCTGCACTGGGAGAACGGCGAAGCGCGGGCGCGGGAAGTTGACCAGCACGCTAGTCGCGACGGTGAGGCTGATGCTGTCGGCGAAGTCGACGTCGATCTCGCACCGGACTCTTCCCTGGTCATCGGCAGGACGCATTCTTGCATTCGACAGCAGGGGGAATGTCTTGCCTAGACTGACCGACGTCACGTCAATCGGGTCCTGTCGTCAGCGTACCCACTGCACCTCACTCACCAGCCAAGACAGTGTACGACCAGGCGGGTTGAGCCAGCGTTCAAACTGCTTCCTGGCACCTTCTTCGCCGCCACTGCTCAGCAGATCGTTCCGATAGCCTTGCAGAATTTGTGCGCCGACGACATTGATCCAGTCGGCCGATTCGGCGGGATGCGTCGCCATGTCATACCCCGTGTTGTCGAGAAGGTAGCTCGTCGGAGGCGGGGGCACGGCCGTAGTCGACAGAAGCGCTTTCTGCCGTCAGCCCCGACAACATCTGCACGTACCTTTGCCCGTTCTTCGCGGCGCTGCCGCCAGGCTACGGGATCGAGGGCGTCGGCGGGGGAGAATACGACATAGCGCACGAAGAGGAGGCCGAGGAGGATGACGGTGGCCTGGCCGAAGAGGAAGCCTTGGGTGAAGGTCCAGGCGGCGGGGCTGGGATGGGGGACAAGGAGGGTGGACATGCTCCTGCTAGATGTAGTGGTCTAGATGGAGAGTCGGGGGTTCATGTCGATGCGTCGGCGGGGCGAAGAGATGGAGCGGATGGTGTGGACGGTGCGGAGATGAGCCTGGCGACGGAGTCGGAAACGGAGAGCGTGAGTGGGCGTCATCATTGCGCTTAGGTAATCTCACGCGGCGGAAGTGTCCTCGGCCTTTGGATATTCAGTATTTATAGATAAAGAGATCAGGCTTAATGCCTTTATAATGCAGTCTACCAAAGCTATTTTGAAGCTGGCGTGAGCGGTTGGCTGCGCGAGGACAACGTTGACGCCGGACTGTTGTGCATTGAGGGTGAGTAAGAATGGCTGGTCTGAATGGTGCTTCCATATCGTTACTGTACAGTGCACGCGTCATGCAGGTCACGCTATCACATGCTACCATTCTGTAGATGGCTGCGGGCGCCGCCCGGGACTCGTGGTCCCCGATGTCCGACGACTGCGGCTGCGGCACGCTTCGAGGAGAGTCAGTCTAACTGGCATGACCGCAGACTGCCTAGCAGCGTTAGAGGGCTTAGTGCTGCTACTTGCCTTCCAGTGACCCTCGCCGTCGAGTGCCCCTCGCCATCCAGTGTCTCGTGGAGAGACAGCGACCTCACCGACCTGCAAAGATCGTCGAAGACAAGAGCTGCACTGCGCTCCGATGCCCTCATGTCATTGTCCTTGAAGTTTCCCAATGCGTGGCCCATGCACGCAGATGAGCCGTTGAGAAAAGGCTCATGGCACGCGGATGACGAGCCCTGTCTCCCGTCGATGCACCCGCCTTCCCAATCTGGGCAAGACAAAGCCCAACATTACAGAACATGAGGATGGACATGGTAATGTTGCCTGGCGCCTGAATGGCGTATGTCATGCTCCAGTGCTCTATATGATCTGGTCCAGCTGGTCAGACCAGTGCACCAAGGAAACGCGCACAGACTCTCACAACACTGCATGCGCAATGGTGCATCAGACAACGAGGTGGGCACGCAGTCCATGCGCCGCACCTTGCGTAACACGACGCTCCACCCTACCACACTGTCACCGCGCCACTTGACGGAGCCACAAGGCAGGTCTTGACGCGGAATGCCCATACCGTCACCTTCGAGCGCCGAGTACATGAGATCTTATGGGAAGCTGGTGGTCCACGTTACAGGGTGACGGTGGCGGCTTGTCTTCTGTAATGAGCCCGGGGGGGTTGTCAGCTAGCGCCATCTCTTTGCAGCGCAGTAGGAGGAGGAGGAGGAGGAGGAGTAAGAGATGGCTGTGCAAATGAGCAGATGGTTGATTTCTTTGAGCGTGACTGATTTTGGGTGTGGGTGCGGCATGAGCGGGGAGAGTGACACATCAGGTACCGCTAAAAGGCAGCAGGGAGGAGGAGCGTCCTCTCGACCCTGCAGGATGCACCAGTCCACCGTGTTTGGGCTTGCAGTACATCAGTCCCCAGCTCGCGACTGCATCGTCTTTCAACATCCACTTCATCAATATCCTCATCATCTCATCAACTCTCCTCCTCCTCGCGCGCCACCTCATCACTTGTCTCCGCTGGCCAACTCCCTGCTCGCGATCACTCGCCTTACCTAATCACTTACGCCAAGGCCAACACGCGTCGCCCACGCCTCAATCGGCGACCCTTTCACCTCTGGCGCCTCTCAGTCACCTCCCTGGCATTGAGCATCGACTGGCGTCTTTCTCCAACTTCCATCAACGCTCGCCCCCGCACTCGGACCCGTCCAAGCGGCCTAGCGACGTCGCTCTCTCGCACTTTGTCATCTTCTGCCCTCCATCTCTCATCAACATTGTCCGTGCGCGACGGTAGCCGTGACACACCACGCCCAAACAAGCCTCCCCCGTGACAAGCCTAAAGGGCCTGAATGGTGAGCCAGCAAACAATCATCATCATCTCTCGTTTGCTCACTTCCAGTAAATCATGTCGGGGCGCTATCCCGCCTCGCTCTCGCGCAGACCCGTCCAGCAGCGCCCACCACGCCCCACCTCGTCAACTCCCAGTTCCATCGATGATGAGGTCCCCTCCGCCCCCCTTCCAGAACTTGCCTCCTTGGAACTCCTCCTCCGTCAAGCTGGGTACAAGGAGACGCGCGTTTTCACGCCAGAGGCCGAGCGAACGCGTCCACGACTAAAGACTCGCCTCGACGACGAGGACTCGGCCGAGCTCGCCAATATGTATGCCGCCATGGGTCTTGACCCCGAGGCATCCATTCAGGTCCGCCATCTGACGCAGCCTAGTGTGCCATTCCGGTCGAGCAGCAGCGTTTTGCGTAACGTCGCATTGCAGGACGCGACGGCAATGCTCAACGAGGTGCGGAAGCGTCGCGGTGCCGGGACACAAGAAGGTCCAGGTGTTCCAAAGGCCGCCGACGCGTTTTGGCGGCCTGAGATACTGGATCGGGCGGCCGCAGAGGCAATGGGCAAACACATCGCGACGATTAGCCCCCCGAGGAATCGCAACTCGACAGACGGCGTTGGGCTTGGTCTTGCGCAGCAGGGTCGCGGGGTCCGCAAGGCCAAATCCAACATGGAGCTCGTCCGCAACATGCCTCCATCTCCCGGCAAAGAGGATGTTCCACCGGGATACTACACACTTCATCGCGAAAATCAGCCACCAACCGCTCCGGCGCATACAACCGCCTTCCAGCGTGAAGTGCCGCCCTCCATTGCCGCCATGTTCTCCCCTCCCACCACCTCCCCCCTTCAGTCTGAGCAGCCCCAGTTCGTCGACGACGCTTTCGATTGGGGTCAGCTTCCAGCCGACTACGAGTCCCAGGAGATTGATGACGATTACGCCGAGATGTATGGGAGCGGCGGCGATTCAGACTCGGACAGCATCGTGTCTAGCATCAGCGTCCGCAGCAGTCTATCGCTTCGCCGTGCTAGGTCCGTGGAATCACCACCCCTCCTCGACACTGACCAGGTGTTGGCGGAGCTCGGACTTGGTCCTGCGCCAGCCAGGGACACCGATGGCGAATCACTCGCTGGAGATGAGGAGATTGCCGAGGCCGAGGCCGAGGCCGCAGCTATCGGACAGCGCATCTTGGCAACGACGGTTGAGTACGATGACGACGACAGTGAGGACGAGTTCGACCCCAACAGCTCCCCAACCCCCAATACCCAACTCGCCAGCGCCGTTCCCGTCTTCAATGTTACCTCCCCTTCCCCTCCGAGCCGCAAGCCTATGCTGCCACCCTCTCCTTCGCCTGCGGCGGCGCGCCTTTCCGCAGTACAAAGGGCACCAGCGACTCGCGCAGCTCCCCCTATGCGCACTCCGAGGAAAGTCGTCTCACGAGAGGTCAGCCTGGCCGAGGCCATGTCGGAGAGCATCATTTCACCACCCAAGCTGGCCAAGCCAGTCGTATTGCCTGCTTCCCCTCTGCGCGCGAGCAAGTCGGTTCCAGTGCTTCGCAAGCAGAAGTCGTTTGTGCCGTTTTCCATCACGCCGGCGGCCCTCGCCGCGCCATCTCTGCAGACTGTCGCCCCCGTTCTTTGCGACTCCATCTCGAACGATGCCGAGGACCTACCCCCCCTCCCCATACCGCCAATGAATGATGCAGCGCCCACGTCAAGCATTGGATACATCGCGCTGAAGGCTCGCAAGTCGCTCAGCGCCCTTCGCGCTTCCTTTTGGGCCACTGCCCCAGAAGGACAGCTACCCTCGACCTCGACGGCCCCGATTCTGGCTCCTCGCCTCGACTGGGGCGCCCAGGGTGCCCAGTTCGCGGGCTGGAACACGGATCAGGACGAGAAACAGCACAAGTCGCGTGGGTCGGTTGAGTCGACCTCTTCGGTCGACACGATGCGCGAGATCGACACGTTTGACGACTCGTGCCCCATTGACTATACCAAGTCGTTCTTCTACAAACCAACGACACCGCCACGTCCCTTCAACTCGGTGCCATCGCGCGCAAGCAAATTGAGCAAGCAGGCGTCGGTCAAGTCGCTGCGTCGGGCCTTGCAGATCCCCGTGGCTGCGCCCCCAGTCCCTCGCATTCCGAGCAAATATTTGACGGCGTCAAACGCAAATCTTAGAGGTGCGCGAACCCCTCCGCGGCTACAACCGCCTGAGATCCGCATCCACTCGCCTGGCGCTTTCGAGGAGGGTCGCCCGCCCCGTGCTCTCTCACTCACAGGCCAAGAGTGGGAGGGTCGGGATGTGGTTCCCAACTGGGGCAAAGGTGTGCGCAAGAGATCACGCAACAAACGCTCGCGCCCGCGCAACCCATTCTCAGACGACTGGGATTAAGCTTTGCTTCACAGTTCCGCACGAAATTTCATGACCTCACGATACCCGGGCCTCTTCATTCGTTCCTCTTGGGGTTTGTACACCAGGCTTGACTCTCGCATTCGCACTCGCACTCGCACGATCTCATTCTCACTCCCAGTCCCGTTCTCATTCCCTTTCCGCACATCACACTCCCGTTTGCATGCACTTGCGCGGTCTGGGCCTACCGCAGAGCCGATGTATCTCATGTTGCTTGATGTTGCTGCAGAAAAGAAATGGGCGGCTCTACATGCAAGTTGGAACAACACAACGCACGTCTAGCCGAGGTATCCGGCCTTCCACGCGACGAACGCAACGATGAGGGCGAGCACGACGAAGAGTGGGCTGGCGTGAGCGTGTGACCGTCGAGATTTCGACATACAGCTGGCTCGCCCCCCCCGGGCCCTTGTTCACGGTGGTGTTGACGCCCGGCGCCGTCTTGAGCGCGCCCTGGAGTCAGCGCCCCGATGCGATCATCGCTGCAGCACTCACCTCATCCGCCTGGCTCAGCGTCCCGATCTGCAGGCCCTTGAGGAGATCGCGCGCCTCGTCCGAGTGCCCGACGTCCTCGAATGCCTCGGTCGCGTCCCGCCCCGCCTCTTCGAGAAGCACCTCGTCGCCGCCGGGATGCTGGAGTGAGCGCATGTTAGGTTGGGGGTCTGGCGCACGGACTCGGAGTCCCACGCCTCCGGCTCGGCCTCGATCGACCTCGTCGTCTCAACCCGCCGTCTGCGCTCATGCCTCGCTCTCCTCCAACCATCCTTCGTTTCACCTCCCCCTCCCCTGCCCTCTCCTCTCCTCTCATCTCCCTCCTCACCCTTCGTACTCCCCGCCCTTCGTCTTCCCCGCCAGCCAAACCCACCTCGTCAATGAACTGTGTCACGTCGTACACCTTCTTGTGGAGCGTCAGCCAGAGGCTCTTGCGCGTCTTGTGCGCCTTGATGTCTTCGAGCGAGTACGACATGGTAGCGTGTACAACGTCAAAGTCAGTGCCCAGATCCAGCATGTCATGGGCGCTGGGAAGACATACCACAACATGTTCGGCTGGTGCCCCGGCTGCGGATAAACCGGCTCGAATAGCCGGGGCATGATTGGTCGTTGGCCGGAGATCTCGCGTCCGCCGTACGCCGCGGAGGGCGACGGAGAACATGCTGTTGGACGGAGAGAGAGTTGAGCTGGGTGGCGTTTCGGTACGAGATCTCTGGACGAAGTTTATCCGTGTCCATAACGATCGACACCCCACTCAACGCGTCAAAGGCGAGGCATTCCACTCGCAAGGCCGAGGTCGACCCGAACATCAGTCTGCCTTCCGCCATCCGCCATGTCCTAATCATACATAGTGTGTCATACCCGCATGTCATCGAGCTATGAACTGGTGATCCCAACAACAACCTATCTACCTCACTGCCACAGCAGCTTAGAGCTCGAGGTGGACGGTCTTGAGGTCCTGGCCGGCGCGGCGGGCGCGCTTGATGAGCTTGGCCTTGGACTTGGGGCCACGGAAGCCACCGCCCCAGTGGCGCGAGGCCTCCTTGTTGGTCTCGTTGAACGAGTTGACGGCCGAGAGGACGTTGGCGAGGGTCTTCTCGTCCTCCGAGCGGACCTCGGTGAGGGCGGCGACGGCCGAGGTCTTCTTGTTGACGGTGAGACCAAGGCGGGCCTTGCCCTTGACCACGGCGTAGGGGACCTGAGGGTTAGCCGACGTGCACACTCGGCAACGGGGGAGCCGTGCGTCAAAGTGTACTCACGCCCATCTTGCGACAGAGCGCGGGAAGGAAAACAACGAGCTCAATGGGGTCGACGTCGTCGGCGATGAGAACGAGCTTGGCCTTCTTGGCCTCGACAAGGGCAACAACGTGGTTAAGGCCGTACTTGACGACGACGGGCTTCTTGGTCTCGGTCTTCTCGCCCTTGGTCTTGGCCTCAGCCTCGGCCTGGAGACGAGCCTTCTTCTCCTGGGTCGACTCGGGCTTGTACTTGTTCAGGAGCTGGAAGACCTGGGTCGCCGTGTTCTTGTCGAGGGTGTTCGAGAACTGGGCGATGGCGGGGGGCACCTTGAGGCGCTGGTTGAGGATAACGCGCTGGCGCTGGAGGCGGACGTACTCGGGCCACTTGACGAAGCGGGTGAGGTCGCGCTGGGGGGGAAGGTCACCGCCGATGCCGAAGGTGCGCGAACGCTTCTCGAAGAGAGGGTTCTGGGCAGCCTTCTTGGCGACCTTGGTGCCGTAGGGGGCCGAAGCGGGCTTTTTGGACTTGGAGGTAGCGGCCTTGGGCTGTATATGTGGTCATTGAGACAAGCGTCAGCCCGTATTCGGCGAATACAGGGCATCACGCCGCTCTAAGCCTTCCTCCCTCGAAAGGGAGGAGGCGGCACAGCTCGACACATGGTCGGCGTCAGAGATGCACTACCACCTCATAAAGGTGGCTCAACGGCAGAGCTCCGCCCTCGAGGTCATTGCGGCTGCTGCCATGCGCCAGAAGCGCACGCTGCTGGGCCACTCGCTCGGAGCCAAAGGAGAGGAGGTTAGCAGGCCTCGGCACGCCGAGGCCGCGGTCACCAAGCGTCTCTCGCTATCATTTCGCGATCGCTCGCGCGGCAGGGCTAGACAATGCTAGACGCAGCTTGCACTTGAAGCGGGCGTGATGCCTCACGGATAAGTGATGCGCACCATTTTTGTTGTTGTTGGGTCTTTTGATGGATGAGAGAAAGACGAGATGGCGGCGACGAGCAAAACTATGGCCTCGAGCGAGCCAGGGCCGAGTCAAGTTTGAGTCACGGGTTCGGATCCGCGTGGCTAAGTGGGGGTGTTAACGCCGACTCAGGCGAGTTTCAGGCACAAAAGTCGTACAAACTGGCCCTTCAATTGCTTCCGCCCATCCAGCCAACCCCGTTTGCTTCCGTGGGGTTTCGTTGTCCGGCGACAAGTTTAGCTGCCATCTCCTCTTCCCCAGCCTTCAAGGTCACCCACAAAAATGGTGAGCTGCGCGACTTTGGCAGCGCGCAGAGCTTCGGATGGGCAAACGGCATCGGCATCGGACGGCAGCGACTTCGATCTCGGCAACGGCACTGCGCGCGCGCGGAGGGATCGACATCGAGGGGCGGAGGAAGGGAGACTGAGTGCTGAGGGCTCACGGTCGGTGAAGGAGGAAGGTCGGGCGGACCGCGCGGGACTGGGTGGAGCGTGCGCAGGAGCGGCGGAGCACGACTGTGAGGTGCGGCGGTGCGCGCGTAGTTGATGCGCACTGCTCGCCCTGCTTGCGTTTCTTGTGCTGTTTCTGGGCCGGTCCGGCTGGTCTTGCGACGAGTTCTCTTCGAGTTCTCCGAGGCGCCTTCAACGAGGCCTCGCGATCTCGTCGGCCTTCTCCCGGCGCCCCTACGCATCCCTCGACCTCCTCCCGACCTCCTCACGTCCCCCTCTGCTGTGCGCCGTTGCTCCTCGTCAAGCTCAGGCAGAGAGCAGTCGAAGGACCTCGGCGTTGGCCCGGCGCCGACCACTCTCCCTCCTCAACCCGACTGGGCGTCGCGTTAGCGAGCTGCGACAGCCCTCTAGAATCTCGTCCCCTCGCCCGCCCGTTGCCTGCCTCGCCTTTGCCCCCATTGCCGCCCGACCGATTGCCCGTGCTCAAACGAAGCTCTGCCGCCCGCCCATTTTTGGACCACGCTAACCCCTCAGCCGCAGCAGATCAACGACATCAAGCGCTTCCTCGAGATCGCTCGCCGCAAGGACGCCGTCGGTTAGTCTTGAGTGAAGGATGGCGCTGTCTCGTGCAAGATGACCGCTGCCTCCTCTGTGTTCCCCCCTCCGTCAAACGCTGACACCAGCCGCGCGCATCAAGAAGACGGTCGTCCAGCCCAAGCACAAGGGCCCCGCCATCACCAAGGCGCAGAAGGCGGCTGCCAAGCCCCACACCGTGACCAAGTTCAAGGTCCGCTGCTCCAAGTACCTGTACACTCTTGTCCTCCACGACGCCGAGAAGGCCGAGAAGCTCAAGCAGTCGCTTCCCCCCGGGCTCAAGGTCGACGAGATCGCCAAGGCCGCCCCCAAGAAGAAGTAGAGCGCTCTTCTGTAGACATTGGGTTAGGGACCTGGAGACTGGTGCATGCACCGTGTACATCGTACGCGAATGAAAGGGAGGGGGCCGGGAGGGAGAGGGAGCGTGACTGTCGGAGGATGGGCCAAGACGGGCAGCGTGGGCGAGTGGTGGTGGGTGATCAGAGGTGAAATCGCAAGTGTGGCGGTCCCGGCGTGGCACACGATATGGAATGTGAGCTGAAACGCACCGCGCCACACGGAGTTCCTCAACGTGTGAGATATCCACTAATTCTAGACTATCACATCTCGCATCTTGCATCTCGCACTAGAATAGGTGCATGCACGTTCGCAGATTCTGCGCCGCTGCTCGGGCCACAAGTCTGGCCGCTACGCCGCATGTCACCTCGCCTCGCCACGCCACAGATCCGCGCCTACAGCACTCGCAGCTTCCCACACTGGTGTGTATTCCATCCCATGGCATCACTTCCCACCGCTCATATTAGTGACGCCCGCCTCACAGGGAAACGTGGGCGCAGCGGCGGCTCGCGGTCCGCCGCGCGCCCGTCTCGAACACGGCCGCAACCGTCGACACCACCTTCAACCGCCGCATGCGTGGCACATCATGACGGCGGACTGCGCTCTTCTGCCTCGCCGACGTGATCGAGGGAGACGGAGACGGAGAAGGGGACCGAGGTGGAGAAGGAGAGGGAGGAGAGGGGGAGGGAGGAGATCGCGGAGCCGTCGGCCGCCCGGCTCGAGTGGGCGATCGCGAAGCTCGCCGCGTGGTGGGACCCGTTACGGGCTGGCGGGGGACGAGCTCTCCCCCGAGAACAGGCACTGGCGTTATGTGCGCTATGGGTAGGGTATGGGTATCGGATACATGCATAGATATCAGCGGGTTCAGGCGATACATGAGGGCTGGCAGCGTCTACGACTGGCCCATGGCGAGGGTGACGATGACGTAGCCGTTCGCGAGCACGAGCACGAGGTTCAGCAGCCACCCGAGGCCCGAGTACCACTTGGGCGAGGTGAAGTACTTGCGGCGGCGGCCGGGCGCGGGCTCCTCGTCCGCGACGACGTCGGGGGAGGGCACGCGCGTCGGCGGCGCCGAGTGGCGCGGCAGGAGCGACGAGGGGGACACGGGGCGCGGGCACGGCCCCGCGCTGTCGGCAATGTCGAGCTCCTCGACCTCGTCGGCGTCCGTCTTGCCGCGCTCCTCGCGCGACTCGGTCCGCGGCGCCTCCTCTTCAATCGGGCCTTCGACCACCATGATGTCCTTCCGCGAACACATGTACACGAGCGGAATCGTGACTGTCGGCAGCACGATGCAGAGGATGACCTGGGACGCGACGAGCATCGTGTTCAAGCCTTTGTTGCCGACGGCGGAGGCAACGATCGCGGCGGGAACGACACCGATGAGACGCGTGATGAGGCGGCGCACCATCGGGCTCGTCTTCCACTCCAGAAAGCCTTCGGAGACGATCTGGCCGGCCAGCGTGGCCGTGATACTCGCGCTCTGGCCCGCGCACAGCAGGGCGAGCGCAAAGATGATGCCGGCAGCCTTGCCGACGTACTCGGACACGAGCTTGTGTGCGCCGCTGAGGTCGGCGTCGTCGGCGCTCGCCCCAGTCTCGCCGTAGAAGAAGGTCGCGCCGGCCAATGTGAGAATAGACGAGTTGATCGTAAGCGCAAAGCCGAGGAGGGAGTAGGCCGTGTCAACACTGGCATGCCACACGTGCAGGTTGACCCAGCGGATGCGGTCGAACTTGCGGATCGCCTTCTCGTACTCCTGCATCTTGGACTCGTACTCGTCGTCCTTGTCCGAGGTCTTGACGAGGGGGAGCTGCGGGGGTGGAGCGGAGTCGTGCGCAGTGGAAGACCCGTGCTCGCGCCCCTCGACATTCTCGAGGGGAATTTCGGGGTCGGTCTCCTGCCGCTGCGGGCGGAGGCGGCGGCGGATCGCGGCGGCAGGATTGAGTGCAGGAAGACGGTTGTTGGTCCGCTCGCGGCGCCGCTTCGGAGGGCGCGGGAGCATGTTGAGACGGTCGACGCCGGCGAGCGCGGATCCAAGGAACAATGCGTGAGGCATGACCGTCGCGCCGATGATGCCGATACCGACGTAGAGCGCGCCGGGCGCAAAGAGCGTCTGGAGTGAGTTACGTCAGTGCGAAATGCGCACCTTGGACGGAACTAGGCCGTAGAAGACGTCGCGCCAGACGGGCTTGATCATGTCGAGGAGGATCATGAAGCTGACGAAGACGGCGAGGACCAGTGCGACGATCACGATCTCGAAGAGCAGCATGCCCTGGCGCCCCGAGTCGGAGCGGAAGAAGATGAGGACGATCATGACATCGACGGCGGTGATGAGGACACCGGCCCAGAGGGGAAGCTTGGGGAAGAGGCTGGGGTTAGCGAGGCGCATGTTGATCTCCACCGGAAACGACGCCGGGTGCCCACACAGTCATGCTCGCTGCGCACCCGAGTCACGAGCGCTCGCCCAATCTTACTCACAGGTTGAGCGCAATCGCGGAACCAATGAGCTCTGCCAAATCCGTAGCGATGATTGCGATCTCAGCGATGACCCAGAGCGAATACAGCAGGGTGCGCCACCAGCGGCGGTACTGGGGCCAGCGCGCCTCCCAGCCGAGGATGAGCTCGCGGGTGTTGCGCGGCAGACTCTTGGACGTGACTGCGCCGAGGCGGACGCTCATGACCTGGAGACAGACGGCGGCGAGGCCTGCGACGAATACGATGAAGAGGAGCTGTGGTGAGCGGGGCTGGGCGGATGGCGCTAAACACACTTTGTATCCCCACCGGGCGCCGGCTTCAAGATCGGTCGCCCAGTTTCCGGGGTCGACGTACGCGACAGCCGCGACGAGGCCGGGACCGATGAACGCGGCATGGCTGGTGTCAGCTGGAGCGTGGGAGCCGGTCACGCGACACGCGAGACGCAACACGCAACGACGCACCGCGTAAGCACGCGCTTGGCCGTTTTGAGCCGGGACAAGAACATGGCCGAGGGCTGATGTGGGCGGTGCGGTGTCGAGCGTCGGCGATGTATGTGGACGAGAGAGAGGAAAATGCTGCGGTGTCGATGAGCTCAAGAGGACTTGGCGCCGAGGCGCGGCAGATGGAATGACCTGTGTTGCGGGCCGTGCCTGGAGTTAGTGGGCGATTGATCCCGAGACCTCCACTCGTCATCCGTCAGTGGCGCCACATTGACGTGAGTGGGTTGCCGTGATCGAGAAATCGTAAGGAGCGAGGAGGCAGCGAGCAGTGATGGATGGATGGGGAGGACGAGATGGGCGGGCGGGGTAAAACTTGCCCCCCGGAGGCGCGAGGGCGCTGATAACGCGTGATCCTGGCCGGCGGCCCCGGCACGACATGCGTTGTTAGAGCATCTCAGAGCGGCAAGCGGCAAGATGATCCGACGAGAAGATATGAGCGCGGCAGGTCCTGTCGGCGGCTAGAGCTCGCATCTCGGCAGGTCGGCAGGTCGGCAGGTCGGCAGGTCTGCACTCGCCCCGCTATTGTTCTCTGCACCGCCTCATCGCCTCCTTCTTACGATCGCCATATGACGAAAACTAAGCAGATTCATGCCATACAACTATACAACTAAGCAGCAGGCCAGTATACACAGAACTAGCAATACACAGCGGGGCGCTGGAATGTCCACGGCAATTATGTCATTACGATGCGTCGGGCCGGGCCATTGGTCATTGCCGGAGCTCGAGGAGGACGCTCTTCTCGTCGACGGCGGCCTTGTCGCTCGCCGCGATCTTCTCGAGGTCTTGTGCCGCGCGCGAGCGTCTTCTGCCCGGCGTAGCCGGCCGGCCTCTCGCCTCCTGGGGTCAGCTATTGTTCTCGGGACTGTGATGGCGAAACAAGGCCAGTCCGCGCGTCCCCGTATGGTTGCCACCGGATGCCACCTGCATGCCGGACTACTCACAGTTTCATGCTGGCTGGCGACGGCAAAGTGGGCGGCGCGCACGGCGTCGCGCCATTCGCGGGCGAGCGCCCACGTCTCGGGCGGGCTGCTTTCGCTGCTCGTGATGCACTGCACGAGCTCGTGGACGGAGCGGAGGAGGGGTGCGGGGGTGGGCGTCTCGATGCCGCCGGCTTCGTGCGCGTCTACGAGGTCGAAGAAGGTGTCGAAGAGCGGGAGGGCGGTGAGTTCGTGCGGGATGGGTATTGGGTCGCGCTTGGGTTGGGTGGGGAGGGGGAGGGAGAGGGCGGGCGGGGTGAGGACGGGCTCGAGGGCGCCGACGGGTTGTCTTGAGAGGATGCGGTACGGGAGCGGGGAGGGGGAAGAGTGTGCTGCGCCCATTGTGGGTTGCATACGTCGTAGACGCGATCGTTGGGCAGGCGCTGGATGGGCGTGGGCGTGGGCTGAATGGGAGTGGAATGGATTAGAAGTGGGAGTGGGAGTGAGAGCGTCGATCAGTGCTGATCTGAGAGTTAAGATGGGGGCGGGGGACCAGATCATGGCGGGCGGATAAATAGTGTCGACGGACGGAGGGAGGACGGGGGACGCCACCGACGACAACGCTGTGCGAGTGCAGCGTTGCGCCGTGCATGGTGCGTTGGGCGTTGGGTGTTGTGCGTTGGCGCACCGGCGCGACCGAGCCGTGCGAAAGGCCGGCCCTGTTCCGCGCCGGCGGCGTCGGTTAGTCCGGGGCCAGGGGGAAGCGTGGAGAGCCAAGGGGGAGGGGAACAGAGCCCGCGTCCGTGCGCGAGCTCGGATGTCTGCAAGTTGCCGCCACACGAGCGTGGCGAGTTTGTCCGGCCGCACGAAGGCGGAGGCGAGGCGTCAGAGGCCAGAGGTCAGAGGAGGAGGAGGAGGAGGTGAGTGGCCGGTGAGTGGCAGCGGCGGGAGGCCGCCACGCTTCTTTCACGAGCCGAGGGCGGCGAGCGGACGTGCTGTCCGATGTAGATAGATGGGTAAACAGATGCCAAGAATGACGCGGTGGCTCTGAGTTGCAGCTGTCGCTGTTAATCCTGTTGCTGTTGCTGTTGCCTGACACATGACCGTCGCATGATCGAGTGTCGACGTTGACGTCAGGAGTGGGCGAAATGGATCGTCTGGGTTTTTGCCACATCCCAGCATACCGCCAACCGTCAACAGCATGTAGACACGAAGAGGCGACCCGCGACCCGAGCGACAAACGTGCGTGGGTGTGGCCTGGCGTCACCCGGCCAGCTCCAGGATGTCATCAGCATGATTGCCCGATTATCCGCACGCCACGGCATGCTTCTGTCGGCGTCGGCGGCGTCGGCAGCGGCGGCTGCTCCAGATGAGGCCGGCCGGGCCAGGCCCAGTGAATGCAACAGAGCGGGGTGGCGGCCTGGAGCCCTCCGGAGCCATCCGGAGCCCTCTGGAGCTGGAGCCCTCTGGGGAGGACACGCGATGATCCGAGCGGGTCACGGTCGGACGCGTCGGGCGGGGCCATGGTCGCCAAACGCGTCGGCTCGACTGGCATGCATTCCGCCGCGCTGGCCGGGCGGCACGTCCGCCCGCTGCGCGCTGCGCGCTGCCCGCTTCGACCCGACTAGCCTTGACATTCCTGGCGATGCGGCGTCCGTGCAGGGTGACAAGTGGGTGCCATTCGCGCACGATATGCCATGCCGCCATTCCCACCGTCCGGCCGCCGTCTGACAGACACTGTTCATCGGTAGCAAAGTCCAAGGAGTGGCGGCTACGTACAGTAACACAAGGCGAGTGTCGCGTTACAGGTATGCTACAAAGACATTGGGCCGGCGCCGGCACTGGCGAGTGAGGCGCATGGGGACACTGCTTACAGCGCGGCGAGGGCGACGACGAGGGCGACGGCGGCGAGGCCGGCGCCGGCTGCCGTGCGCGACGCGGCGCTGGCCACTTGCCGCGCGCCGCTGTCCGTGTTCACGACACCGTCGGGCGTCGCCGCCGCCTCGGCGACGGGCGCAAAGCCGAGCGCGGGCGGGGTGAGGCGGTGCGCGGTGTACACGCTGCGCATGAAGGCGGCGCCGATGATCCACTTGGGGGCGGCAAAGTCGGCGGACGGCGGCTCAAAGATGTCGATCGCGGCGCGGCAGTAGTAGTCGTCGTCGGCGCCGGGGAGGGACACGTTGAAGCGGTCGCGGATGTACGAGACGGGCGACGAGCCCATGATCGTGTCGGCGGGGTGCATGGTGTAGGCTACGCCGCCGAAGGTGAGGGAGATGGGGGGCACGCCGTTGGCGCAGGGGAAGACGAAGAGGCCGTTCGAGATCTCGGTCGCGTTGAGCTTGGCGTACATTTCCGTGATGGCGGCGCGGGGGCCGTTGACGAGCGTCGTGCCGCTGTCGATGACGGCGGCGGGCCTGCCGCCCGTGTGCGAGTACGGCGCCGTTTCGAGGGTCAGGTCGATGTCCTGCCCGCTGACTTTGAGGCCTTCAAGCGGAATGGTCCACCAGCCGGTGATGTTGGCATCGATCCAGTGCAGGTCGCCGGTGAACTTGGACGAGTCGACGCCGCCGAGAGTCAGAAGACCGTTGCCGGGCACAGGGTTGGCCGGGGCCGCCTGCTCGCTGCGGCCGAGGTAGAGGCCAAAGATGGGCTCGGCCCAGGTGCCCGCGACGCGCAGGAACCAGGCGCCGGTGCGGGGAGAGAAGCCGGTGAGCGACGAGAAGGAGAGGCCCCACTCGGTGAGCTCGTCGACCATGACGAATGCAGCCTGGGCTTTCTGCCCTCCGACAGCGATCTCGTCGTAGGCTACATGGCCGGCGGCGGAGCCACGGCCGTACTGGATGTCGTAGGGGGTGTCGGACTCGAGGAGGGTCGAGGACTGCGAGCCGTTGAAGACGGGCGCTTGGCCACACTCGGAGGGGTCGGTGCAGTTGGCGATGACCCATGTGACGCTGGAGCCTGTGTCGATGACCGAGTCGAACTTTTGGGGCGGGTTGCTGGTGTGAGCGAGGAGATGAGCTGGGAGGGTTCCAGGGGAGGACGATCATGGAAAGGGCTGTGCGTCGCTGGCGATCATTGCAGAAGAAGAGATCGTCGCGAAGACTGTCCACAACGCCCAAAACAAACAACGTCGCAACAAAGCACATAGCTCGCGCCCTCCTCTTGTCCACGACTCACCCAATCTCGAGCGGGACGGTATACGTGACGCCAATGTTGCTGAGGTCTGCCGAGCCGGCCTGGCGCTCCTCCATGCCGCGGCGCGCGATGCCTTGGTGCCCGTGGCCATACTTGTTCGCGAGGTAATCCGTCTCGCTGCCCCAGAGGGAGAAGAAGCCGTGCGCCGAGACGGGGAGTGTGATGGGGTTGGGGCTGGGGGGTGGGGGCGGTGCGGCGGCGGCGAGGAGGGGGAGTGTGAGTGCGAGGGCGAGCATTGTGGGGGGGGGTTTGTAGAAGGCGGGGGATGTCTATAGAGAGAAAGAGGGCAGACGCAGACAACAGAAGAGACGAGATGAGATATATACGTGCGAGATGCAGGACAAGGCGATAGCATGTGCCTTCACGCCTGGTCGCATGTCCATGGATCCATGGATCCATGGAGCTGGCTGCAGCTGCACTGTCGACGGCCGTCTCGAGAGACCTCGGAGCCAAGCCACAAGCCACACACCCCCACATGACGCGGGCCAGGGTGAAACGAGGCACGAGGGGGCGAGCAAGATGCCGTCGTGTGCGTTTCACCGCCCGTGCGCTTATGCTTGCGCTTGCAATTGCCTACCGCTTCCAGCTTGGAGCTTGTAGCTGGGAGCTTGGAGCTTGCAGCTTGCAGCTTGGAGCTTGCTTGGTTGTCGCTAGCTTCCGGACCGGCACGGCACGGCATGCACATATAGTTCGGACGCGCTGTTCACACGCGTTGGTGTCTGCCCACCGCCGTAGTTGCCCTAGTGCTAAGAAGCTAGCTGAGGGTCGAGCCGGGTTTGGGGTGGTGCATCGAGACGCATGCCTCGCAACGATGATTCAGTCCGGTATCGCGGACATCGCAGACATCGCGGACATGTCGCATCGGACGCTGATAACGCCCACATGATAATTCCAGGTCATGAGCGTCCCGTCTTTGTCGGGACGGCAAAGATGCTTGTTCCGTCGTGGGCCTACTCGATGACGCCCAGCGTCGCACCGAGCCACGCCACGTACTCTGCCAGAGTCGTCGTGGCTGCATCTCTGGCCCAGTCTCACACTCGCCAACATGTCCAGTCCGAAACCATGCATTACAAACCCAAATACCCAAAACTAAGCATCCGCACGCAGCCGCGCGCGCAACAGCCCAATGAGCCACGCCGGGTCCCACGCCGCCACGCCGCGCTCGTACGGCATCGGCGTGGCGGGGTCGACCTCTCTCGGCGTCTTGCACAGCGAGCTGCGGCGCGGCGGCTGCCGCTCCCGGCTGGCCGCGAGGGGGCTCCACTCGTCGCGCTCGCGGTCACGGTCGCGCTCGCGCTCGCGCTCGCGCGCGGGGAACGCATACGCACCGAACGGCTCTTCGAACTGGACTTTGCTGGGCCGGCGGGCGTACATCTCGCCCATGGGCGTGGGGGTGGGCGAGTGGCCCGCCGCGTGTGCGGCCGCGCGCGAGATGCGGTCGATCGCGCCGGCCATGACGCAGCTGTTCTGCGCGCGGAAGAGGGGGAAAGGGTGCCACTGGTCCGCAAAGGACGAGACCGCAAAGTCGTAGTTGGCGTACAAGACGATGATGTGAGGCGCGGCCCAGCCGGGCGAGCCGGCGCGTGCGGGCGCGCTCGGCGTCAGTGGCACGAGGACGGGGTGCAGCGTCAGCCGCGGGAGGATGTACGCCATGTCCTCTTGCGAAAGGAGGTCGTCGAGGAGCGGCACGATCGCCTTCTCGAGCGCGGCGAGCAGACGAGCGACGCGCGGCGGCGCGCTCTCAGGGGTCATGTTGCGCGAGATGACGTTTAGCAGCGTCATGCCGTCCAGCCACGTCACGGCTTCACCAATCTCCTGCAGCGTGCCGGCCAGCCCGTCGGCGACGTCGACCGGCAGACCCGGCAGCGTCGAGAACGTGCACACCTCCCGCATGGGGATCTGGCTCCGGTCCTCGTTGTCCAGCAGGATGTGCAGGCCGTCAAACGGCGTCGCTTGCACCACGGCGACGCCGGCGTACAGCGTGTTCGGGCGCAGCGACATGCGCAGCGTCTGGTCGCAGAACACCCGCATGTCGTCGAGGAACTGGAGCACGCCATCAAACGGTGTGCTCAGCGTCTTGTGCAGCGACGTCGCGACCGACGGCGCATCGGCAAAGATAAAGTGGCGCGAGAGCAGGTCGGATCGCTCCTCTTCCGACGTGACGCGGCGCACAAGGAAGATGAGCTGCCCCTTGGACACCGTGTCTTTGCCATTGCGCAGACGCACCCAGCCCGTAGTGAGGATCTTGTCGTACAGCACGCCGAGGCGATTCAAACCCTCCTGCTTGCCCGTGAGGCGCACGGACAGCTGCGTCGCGGAAACGGCAAACTTTTCGAGAAATCTCGCAATGTTGAGCTTGGTCAACACTGTCATGGACGATATAACGGATCCCGTGGTCGTAGCGTTGGTCGCGACAGACCCGCGGTGCTGCATGTGCATAGGCGTAGGCGGCGGGGGAGCGAGCTGCTGGTGGGCCGCAGGCTGCGGGGTAGGGGCCAGCTCGAGCCCGTTTGCGCCCACCACTTCGGAAGCCGACGCGAAGGGGTTGAGCGACGACCAAAACGCGTTGCGCCACGACCACGTCATCTTCATGGCCTGGAGGAACGCGTCGTTGTGCGTCGTGAGGTCGACGCCGAGACCGCTCGACTCGATCGACGACGCCGTCTCGTTCAGCGCCCACTTCTTGGCTTCGTCCGTGGGGCTGAGCGACGCAATGTCGCACATCGGCAGCAGGCCGTCGATCGCACTGACGAGCATGCGGTCGTGGTTGTCGAGCAGCACCGACGCGACAGCGACGCGGCGCCGCCGCGCACGCTCTTTGCGGTCGCGCATCGAGTTGATCACGATGAACGTCGCGACGCCGAGACACGCGAAGAACGCCAGCGCCGCGACGATGCCCGTGATCGCGCGCTTGGTGCCGCTCATCGACGTCGAGCCGCTCGGTCGCCGGTCCGCTTCCCAGCCGTAGATCGTGCCCCGCATCCCGGTGTAATGCATTCCACACACGGCGCCGGCGAGGATGATGGCGACCATGATCTTGGACACCCACGAGTGCTTGAGCTTGGGCCGGAGCATGATGAACATGATGTACAGCGCGATGATGACGGCGCCGGACGCAATGATGATCGAGCCGACGATGTAGCCGACCTTGTACGCAATGTAGGGGATGTCATTGATAGACACTTGGCCGATGTAGTCTGGTGTCAACGCGATCTCTGTTTGCAACTTACGCATTCCTGCCACTCCCCATCCCGCCACCATGCCCGTGACGAAGATCTTGATCACCTCTGTCCACGTGACGACGTCGAGTCCGAGGAATCGTTGTGCACGCTCGAGGCGGGTGAGCGGGAGGCCCGTCTGAATCTTAAGGCGGAGGCGCTGGCGCCACCCAACCTCCCTGATCTTGATTTCACCTTCTTCGTCGTACGGCGCGGGGTCAAACTCGTCGCCGGTGCCCGTCGTGGCATCCGAGGACGATGTCGTGCCCGAGCTGGTGGCCTTGAGCTTGGAGTCGTCGGAGGCTTCGGTGAGATGCTTGTCGGACACCTGTCCGAGCGGGGCCACATGTGGCGCTGTGGGCATGTCTGGATCTGGTTCAGGGAGGCTCTGAATTCTAGACAACGTCTGCGCCACACGCGGCGCGAATGGCGTTGTGATGATTGGAAGAGAGGCGCGACGGCCGCTCTGCAAGATAGCGGGCGGGACAGTCAGTCCGAGGGACGCGGGGGGAGGGGCAAGTGGCTCGTTGTGCGGGATTAAAGACGTGGTCGAGTTGATCAGGTGCGTCGTCGAGTCTCTGGGCGGGAAGGAGTATCCGGGGTCGAAGGCAGGGGAGGGGGAACGATAGGCTGGTGGCGCCTGCTGCTGTTGCCCGGAGGGATAATACCGCGCGAGAGGAGATGCACCGAGCTGCTGCATATGTGAAGCTGCGAAGGGCGAGACCGGCGAGACGGGCGAGGCTGCAGGGGACGACGATGGCGTGCCGACCTGGAGCGCGCGCCGCTCGATCTCATCACGCACCGCCTGGCGGCCGCAGCGAAACTCGAGCTCGCTCAACTCCTTGTCCTGCTGAATAAGCGTATCTTCGTCGACATCGGCGGGGAATGTCCGCGAGGGCATAGGGGTCGAGGATCGCCGTCCGTGTTGCCACATAAGAATCTCCTTCCATCCGCCCGTGGAGTGGCGGCGGCAAGGTGCTTCCAGCGACCAGGAAGGCACCATGCCTGCTTGCTGGAATATAGTCGCGACATTAGCAGACTTGGCTTTACCACTTTGCAACTTCCAGCTGGGGCTCGACGAGGTGCGGCGCAGCTTGGGTTCGCTGACGGCTGCAGAGGTGCTGGATGAGTACCACCAGTGCTTCCACTGCGAGATGCGTACGTTTGTGCCCATGACGAAGAAGGCGAATGTCATGGCGAGGCACGACGCGACGAGAGAGAGCACGGTGTAGCCGCCCTGGTACGAGAGGTAGATGTTGGGGTAGGTGGGGTCGTTGCGCTGCTCGGGATGGTGGAGCGCCAAGGACTGGTTGCCGACAAAGTGCATGGCGAAGGTGGAGACGGCGCCGAAGCAGATGCCGGCGCTGGCGAGAAGGAGAACGTTGGAGAGACCGCGGTTCGAGGTGCGGCGGATGAGGAGCTCGAGCGTGCAGAGCGCGCCGACAAGTGATATAAAGTAGGAGAGCACGATGAAGCCGGGGCTCATGGTCTGGCGGAGGATCACGTAACCCTCAGGCAGCCTGTATAGCTGTTGTGCGTCGTCAAACCAAGCCGCGCGGAGCTGTGGCCATCTCCTGTCTCGTGCGCTGTGCAAGCGCGAGATACTCTTGATCGCGGACTGGAGGAGGCCGAGGGTGCCGACGACGGCGGCCTCGGTCCATGTCGTATCGCGCTCCTGGGTGGTGGGGGGATGTGGGTCGTGACCCGACCGCGTGGGGAAGGGGAGTGGGGACGCCGCGGCGAGATATGGCGCGGTGAGGGCGAAGACGAAGGCGACGGTCGCGGCGCGGAGGGCGCGCGCGCGGGGGCGGGCGGCTCTCCGTGAAGAGGCAGCTGGCTGCGCGGAAACGCGCTGCGCCGAAGTTTGGAACTGCGCGTGCATAGTGTGGGCGCGGGGCGCGTGTGTAGGGCGCAAGGCGCTCGACGTGCGTCGCGCCGTGTACGAGTGGGCAGAGGCTGGGCGGCGCGGAGTTGAGTGGGATGTAGGATGGGAAGATTAAATGAGAAGATGGTGACTAGCCCCCGTGTTGATGATTTCGGTGGAGAATATTACGGCAGGGTGGATACGGGAGGCCACGGGAGTGAAGCTGGCGTTGAATTGAGCCACAGAATTGTGGCGCGGAGAGATGTCAGGTGATGGGGGGGGGGGGGGGGGGGGGGGGGGGGGGGGGGGGGGGGGGGGGGGGGGGGGGGGGGGGGGGGGGGGGGGGGGGGTTTGCGATAGCGAGAGCGACGAGCGACGAGCGACGAGGCGCGAGTGGTGTGAAGAGTGATGGAGACGATGAGGACCAAGACGAACAAGTTGGAAGGAGTGATCGAGGAATCAAAGAATTAGGGAATTTGGAGCTTGTTTGCCATCCTGCGATCGAAATCTCATTCGAGGCTCATCTCGCTAATCTCGTTTCCGCTTGGCGGCTGGGGCCATTTCGCCACTCTCCCATGCGCCGCGATCCGCAGCCTCCAGCTTGCTCCAGCTTGCTCCAGCTTGTTGATCTCGACCAAGCGCAGAGGTTAGTGCCAAGCCCTTCCCGGGAAACTCGGAGAGTTTGGGGCCTCGGCTCAGACTTCCGGGTCACGGACGTGCACGTGCCGGTCCGCGCCCAAGCCCCGGCCTGGCCAGGCGAGGGATAACTCGGCCATGAGACATGAGACATTGAGTCGTACTTCGGACTTGGAGCATTACCACGCAGCTGTGCGGCTTCGCTTGCGGCGTCGCGTTTGACGCTGTACGCGTACTAGTATGACGTGCGAGGCACCGAAACCGAGAGTTAGAAGCTTGTGGTGGTAGGCGCTCCAACATCAAGCAGGCGCAAGCACAAGTTGGCTGGCCCATGTGATCTGTGATACGACCGCGGGCGGGCGTAGGCTACGAGGGTGTAACAAATTGTGCTGCGTGTGCCAATGTCCACCCCCCCCCCCTCTCGACAATGGTATTCATGCAACGACACGACGAACGGGCAGCAGGTGTACAACAGCATGCAGGCTGCCTGGGTTTTCTTGACAACAATCGGGAGGCATCGGTGCGCGGCTAGTTGCACAGGAACCGGCGGTTCAAGCAGTGCTGGTGTGAGCTACTCGGGCTCCTCGGGCAGGCAAGGGCAAAAGCAGAGTTTCTCGGTTTGGCGCTGGCGCGCAGGGGAACACTCACCACATCGCGACAAAACGTTGGCCACGTGTACAGAATCTTGCGCGGTGGGGGCTCGCGATCGAGAAGCGCGAGTGCCGAGGGGTCGCGCACGCCAGCTTCAATCGCTTCGCGCTTACGCGCCGCGCGCTCCTCGGCCTCGGCGCGCGCGAGCTCGACCTCCCACCCGAACAGCTCGTGGAAGAAGCGGAGGTTTGGCTGGATGAGGACTGGGGTTAGTTGTGCGCATCGCGTTCCCCGTGCTTGCAGGCGTTCGCCTACGCTCGCGGCGCTAGCGCGCCTGCTCGCTGACCGCCCACTCACCATTCAAGCGCCGCGCGCGTGTCATGAGATACGCGTCCATGAGACCCATGCGGCGGTATTTCATCAGGTAGGCCATCTGCGTGAGCGGGGGCGCCCGATGCGTGACTCACGACAATGCTCGCGCTGCGCGACACGCCGACTCGGCAGTGCACGAGCACGCTGCCGCCGGCGGCGCGGGCGCCCTCCATCCACTCGCATGCACGCGCGATGACGGGGCGCAGGGGGTCGTTGCCGTCGTCGCGCACGTCGGCGAGGTCGAGGCTGGTGTCAGAGGGGGGGGGGGGGGGGGGGGGGGGGGGGGGGGGGGGGGGGGGGGGGGGGGGGGGGGGGGGGGGGGGCCTTGGAGGAGGTGGGAGGAGAAGCGATTAGGGTGGGGAATGGGATAGGTGAGGGGAGTAGTAAGGGGGTAGCCAACTCACACTTGAATCCGCCCCGCTCTCGCCTCGGCCGCGAGCGTGTTGCTGCCGACATACCCATGCAGCGGGTCATGATCGATCGCGACGTCGAGCAGGCTCTCGCCGACCGACACGACGTGCGTAATATTTAGCGCCTTGAGCATGGCGGCGTTGCCCGCGTGCTCAAGGTTACCGAGGTAAAGGAACGGGAGGATGCGTGACGGGAAGCCGTCGAAGCGCTTGTCTTCGAACCAGACGCGGCAGTCGAGGGCGGCCTGGCTCCCGCCCTGCCCCTCGTCGACGAGGACGCGGCGCGCGGCGTCTTGCCGCGCATCGGGCCTGTCTTGCCGCGTGTCTCGCGTATCAGGCGGGCTGCGCATAAAGCCCCACGGCTTCCAGCGGGCGGGGGAGCTCGGCGCAGGCGAGGCGGGGGACGCGGAGCCGTTGCTCGCGCGCACGCACTTGAGCGCGCGCTCGCGCCGCTCTTGCGCCAGCCGCGCTTCGATGCGGTGCAGCAGCGGCTTGTCCGTCGGGTAGAGGAAGAAGGAGCGCTTCGCCACCAGCTGCAGGTGCAGGTATGCTTCGGGGAGCGAGACGCCGAGCGAGGCCATGATGTACGAGAGCACGAGGATGCTCGACTCGGTGTACCCGTCCTGGCAGTGGATGAGGACTCGGCGCTTGATGCCTGTCTTGTCGCGCCCCTCGATGATTTTGCGGAGGAAAGTCACGAGCTCAATCACCTTTTCGGTCATCGTGGCGAGGTTGCGCATTTGGCCCGTGATGGTTCTACATGAGCCCGCGCACTCGATGGCGACGTAGTGGTTCTCGGAGGCGTGTTGCTGCGCGTAGATGTGCGACTCATCCGGCGAGGTGCCGAACGCATTTACGCGCGGGCGAGGGACCGGCATCGTATCCGCGACTTGGGGCGTGGCAGGCCCAGTGGGCGAAAGGAGGTTGCGCAGCGCCATGGTGGCGGGTGACGCCGTCCACGAACTCTGCAGCTCGTCCTGTTGCCCCCGGAAGCGGTCGAGCGCCAAGAGCTGGCGGTATGCGACGGCGATCGCCGCGCTCGTTGGCATGTCCGAGCACTCGGACGCCTTGACGCACAGGTCGAACGGGACTCTGGCGCCCGCACCATCGTCCGCGCCGCCAGGCACGTCCGTGTCGTTGCCCACCCAGAAGCCCTCCACGACTTCGGAAGCACGGGTCATGGCACGGCTCTCGTACGCCTCGCGCTCGAACAAGTCGACGAGGCGCGAGTTGGCCGTCTGGTTGCCCATGCAGTCAATGTTGACGAGGTCGGGGCAGAACTTTTCGACCTTGGAGAACGGCTCTACGAGAACCCACACGCCATACTTGACGGGCCGGTTCAGGCCCTCCCCATCACCACGGCCGTGGACGTGGCGGTAAAACTCCTCAACACGCTGGCGGTACAGCTCGTCCTGCGCGACCGCCATCGCCTCGGCGACCTCGAGAACGCCGGGGCCCACGCCGTTGCGCGTGTACACGATGATATCGGAAATCGTCGCGTACTTGATCTGCTGAATGTTCAGGTTGCGGAGGTTGATCTGGTTGGGGAGACGGGGCGCGCGGAAGCGACCCCATGGCCGCCCGTCGGCGTTGAGCGCAGCCCGACCAAAGCTCGGCCGGCGGCCCGGCGGCGGGTACTGCGGGAGCTCGAACACGTCCTGCGCATGGACAGCGTTCATGAGGATACAGTTGGGTCCCGGGTCGTCGTCCGAGATGTAGGATTCATCGCTGTCACTGTCCGAATCGTCGTCCGGGACGATCTCGGGCGGCGCAGCATTCTCCGAGTGGGGGCTGGCTACGCCGACACGCTTGTCAGCGCACGGGTGCATCTGGACATCGAGCAGCTCGCCCTCGGACTCTGACGAAACCTCGTGCACGCCGACGGTGGCGTGGAGCTTGTGAGTGGTGGACGGCGGTGTCGATGGGTCGAGTGACTCGGCGGTTGTCGTGGGCGACGTGATGGCCGTGCTTCCGGTCGACGAGTATGAGCCGGAAGAGTTGGAGCCACTCTCACGCGGCGGGGGCAGGTCGAGATGGTTCGGGGAGGGCGGACGTGCGCCGCCCACGAGCTCATGAGACGGGGCCAAGGGGGACGTCGCGATAACAGGCGACGTCGCAAGCCGCTGTTGCTTATCGAGGGGGTGAGGCGGTGCCAGCACGACAGTGAGGCCGCGGTAGGGAGGGGGTTCAAAGGGCGGGGCGTAGCCAAAGAAGGCGCCCATCTCGCGCCCCTTCATCCCATCGTCGGCAATGCCGTGGAGCCAGGGAAAGACGACCTGGCTCGGGGTGTCGAGCAGTGAGTGGCGCTCGATCAGTGCAGGGAGCTCCTCCATGCCGACGAGACGGACACCGGGGCGCACCTCGGGCCGCTCGTCTTCGAGGCCCCACTTGGGCATACCCCAGACGCCAGAGTCGTCGCTCGTTGGCGCACCCAGCTCGGGGACGGGTACCTCGACCTCGTCAATGTCCATGCGGTCGTCGTGTTCCTCATGTTTGAGCTCATGCTCGTGCTCGTGCTCGTGCTCGTGTGCGTGCTTGTGCGCGACGAGTCCGTGTTCGTTCTCGAGGGCGCGTGCGAGTGTTTGTGCGTGCTCGTGAGCGTCGCCATCGTCATGCTCGGGATGATGCAGGTGCTGCGGGTGAGGATGGGCCAGCGGGGGATGAAGATGGTCATCTTGGAGCTTTGGAGCCGGGACGAGATCATCAACGACGTTGAGGCCGTTACCCATGTCGGGGGAGCCTAGGGGGGATACCTCGGCCGATGCGGGAAGCTCTACGACGGAGGTGGTAGCGGCATTGGCGGGGGGGATTGCGCCCAGGGGGTGGGGTTTGCGGGGAGTGGCGTCTGCGCTGGTGGTTCCCGAAGCCCTGTCTGGTGCACGGACGTGTGAGTGGGAGTGGGTAAGCACGGCCTCGGAGGAGCGGCAGCGCTCCATGCCAAGGGCACTGAGGCCGGGCATGCCTGGGGCGACGTTTGGGAGGGGGATGGGAACGAGATGGGTCGTGTTGACGGGGGTGGGCGGGGCGGAGATGGGGTGGTGGTCCTTGCTTATAGGCAAGCCTCCGGCGGTGGTGCCGCCCATGTTGAGGCCCGGGGGCGGAGTGCCGGGTCGCGAGTGGATGCGAGCGGATATGGGCGGGGTGGGACAATCGCGAGCGGGGGAGGCGCCGCGGCTCACGCCTGGAGTTGAGGAGCGAGAGACAGCGTACCGGGCCGCGGCTGGGGGGAGGGGCATGACGAGCGACATGCCCGGCCGTGGGAGGGGCGGGACGGCTGGTAGGCGAGAGGGGGAGGATGAGCGTCGACGGGCGAGGGCGGTTGAGCGCCGAGGCGATGTGCGGACGGTGATGTTGGGCGACAGTGAGGGAGGGCAAGCCTATGTCACTGGTCGGGTCGAGGGGGGGGGGGCTAGCTACTACTGGGTTTGATGAGTGGGTGGGGAGCTGTAAGGCAGTATAGAACGGGGAGTGAATGATGTTGTGGATGGGGGAGGGGAGGGGAGGGGAGATACAGGAGAATGAGGATGTTGGAGGATGGAGAGTGACTCGTGTAAGTGTGGGGGTGGGTGTGAGTGGTGTCGTGTGAGGTCACGGCGATTGCGCGCCCAGGCGGGATGGGGTGTGTGTGTG